CGCATCAATCGCAGGAGCGCCGGGCGACGTAGACCTGGGCCTCCTTGGGGGCTCGCCCCTAGGGCTAGGCGTACGCCGCTTGTCCTGCTCCCGATTCCTGGGAGAGTACCTGTCCCTTCGATGAGGACTTGGGGTATTACCGGTCCTCTTCCTCGGATCGCTAGGAGGCCGATTAGGCCTATGGGAATCTCCAAACGGAGATCGTCTCCTAACGGGAGGACCAGGAGCACCAGGCTTCTGGGCTCTGTCTCTGGACTGAGATCGTTCGTAAAAGTCTTTGTGCATATTGACCTGATTCTTACGAACCCTCCAGCGGTCAATTTCGTTCTTGCAACGAGCACGAAGCCATTCATAGCTACAAACATCAGGATTGGATATGTTCCTATCCCATTCCCTGATATCATGAGCCAAACAGTTAAGGTGTCTAACCTTTTCACTGAATAGCGACCGCTTTACCTGCTCGGTCAGCGGTTCATCGAGACCCGCAAGGATGTGATCCCACTTCGCGATGAACCTTTCAAGTCGCTCCTCTTCAGTATAGAAAGATGAAACACTGCATCGCAAGTTTGAGAGCTCGATTATCCTAAATGATTGCTCTCCGATATTTGCAGTCCTTAAGTGGTCGTATAAGAGCCACAGGATCTGCCTACTCTTGATGCGATTGTTGGAGCGTTGAGCGGCTTCGGTGAGACGATTAATCTTATCGATAATTGCAACAGTCTTGATGCACTTCCGAATGGCTGCATTGAACCTGGCTTCAAGGATGTGGTATTTACATTCCCCATCCAGTTCATCAAAGGTCTTTGCCTTCTCGACTTCAGTTAGCCAATTGATGACGTACAGTCCATCATAGCTGTAGGCATTGCTAACAGCTTCCTTCATATTGGCTATCCATACCCTCAGCCCAGCCGCGTCGGGCTCTGGCGGGAGGTCTATGGGAATGCACTTAGTCGCAGCTGTACAGTTCGGATCATGGTGGCTACCGTACCCGCCGCCACCAGTTCCGAAAAGATGCTGTGGAACCTGAGAACTACCGATTGACAATGCACATACAGGACAAAGGCGAGTAGCCTTCGGAATGCAAATCTCACATGCCCTTTTCATGCATATCTTACATTCCTCAATTTTGCTGGGATCAAGAATATCCCGATCGCACATCCGACATTTCTTGTCAGGAGGATCGGGGCCACGCATGGTCGGCGGCTCAAGGCCTGAAGGATCCTTTGGCCTTGTACCGTTGGGATCAAATCCTGGGTAATATCCGGGGGCACGGGTTGCGTAGCCTTCGGAGGACTCTGAAGGTCAGCCGCGTTGGGTTGACCCCCAGTTGGGGTGTCACGGAATCTGTCAACGGGTGGCCGCAGAGGCGGTGAGAACGACCGCGTCGGGTTCGTCTCAGGTACGCCCCCAGGCGACCTATTCCTGACACGGTTACCATCGGGATCCCTTCTTCTCCTAGTTTCGTCCCTAAGGCACGCAAGACAACAGGGACCCTGGACAAATCCAAATCTCCTGTAGTCGTCCTGCCCAGCAGAATGTCTGGTGCAGTAGTAGGTCTTACAAAACTGACACTCAATTCCCTTGGTCAGGAATGAGCTCTCCCTACAGACTCCGCATCGGGGTCCGTTACGGGAACATTCTTCACACAGGTTCTCTTTAAACGAGAAGCAATACTCACAAATATCACCTCTGCATCCCTTGCAGTGAAACTCAGCCATGAGATGATTATATCCATCACCTACGTATTTACATCTGGGTTTACCAGGGTTGCCAGGGTTCCCACCGGCGGCACTCTTCTTCCCCCCTCCTCCTGGGCTTTGCCAATCTGGAGGAGGAGGTGGTGGAGGATCATCATCAGGAGGGCGAGGTGGAGGTGGCCGCTTATCCGGAGTACGGGATGCGGCACGCCTTCCTTCTGTGTGATCGTTCAATCCACTGCCTGAGGCCTGGTTCGAGTGCCTTGACTCTAGGGAGTTAATTCTCTGGGCTGTATTACCCAGCACCTCGAGCATTTGCTCGAGCTTACTGTTGAGCGTAGTCGAAACGGCCATGTTATGAGTATTTTGCTTGTCCGTGTAGGATTTGCAGTCCCTTGACTTTATCTCAAGGTTGGCTTGTGTCTCATAAAGTTGGTCTTTAACCCACTTTATGCCGTCCCTATTATTGGTCCAGCGTTGTTCGACATCTTGCATCATCCTATCAATCTGACATACCCTAGTGGACAGGTCCTCGATTTTGAGGTTTACCCCACCAATAGCAGGATGGTTGGATTGGCTCTCCACTAGAGATCTCTCGATCATATCAACACGAGCTATAAGCCCGGTTACACGATCAGATAGAGATTCAAAAACAGTTTGAACCTGGGTGATGGAGCGAGCAACATCATCATAGCTGGCTCGCTCATTTAGGGCATCGCTTATGCTTATCATGCGATTGGCAACGATCTTGACGCGTTGGCCAAGCTCGGTCACGATGTCCTTAGTCCCTTGTGATAGCTGCATGGCCGCGTTCGCAGCCTGCGTACACGTGCTACTCACATGGACGCATTGTTCGTATTTGGCCCTCCACGAGTTAACCTCAGTGGAGAGCTGTTCGATGCATTGATCACTTCTATCATTCCTACGCCCAAGGTCTTCGACCTTAGCAACCAGGTGATGAAGGATCGCACTTACCGAAGAATCCACTCTCCCTCTTTCAAGGGCTGTTACAAGATCAGCAACCTCGTTGGGTTGCTCCTCACTCGCAGGACCAAATCCTGATCCGCGATTTCGAGGAGTGGACAAATCAACCATGATTGGATTAGATCTCGGAGGAGTTCTGAAATCATCCTGGACGGCCGTTGATGGCCGTGGGAACTCACTCCGATTAGGAGATTGACTCTGATACGGAGCAGATCTCCTAGCATCACGAACCGCAGAGGGTTGTGTCATGCCCAGGCCTTTGGCCACGGACAGTTTGGGAACAACAGGCCTATCCGTTCGCATAGGAACATCAGGTCTCGAGTCAGCAATAACAATGTCATTCAAGTCGGTCGCATTGGACACTCTAGACTCAGACATCGATTCAATATCAGTTCCATTACTGATGGTATGATTGCGACTAGAACTTGATGCCATCATGGACTCAGATTCTATCGGAACATTAGCTCCGTCCATATTGTCCAGAGCGAAAATGGAAGCCGCGTTGGGCGTAGGGCGAACATCTTGTGCGTTCAAGCCACTTGACCTATTAAATTCCTCCTGAAATGCTTCGATCCCATCAAGCACGTTAACGAGTGTGTCCGCGTTTAACGGGTCTCTACCAATGATTGACGCTGGATCACCTGATCGACCGCGTCCTGAGTCTCGCGCACTGGGGTTACCCCTGTGGGCAGTTTCCCGATCCATCCCCCTTGCCCTATGCGATCCAGTCGAATTTGACCTTGATCGTTTGCTTGGAGTTGGACTGGGATGCAAATCCAATCTATCTACGATATTACGCTCCCTAGGGCTCTCAAATCCCGAAAGTCCCGGGGGAGGGGACATGTTCCTCATGGTCGGGTTCACCGACGGCCTTGGCCTGACGTTACGGCTGGCCACGTCAGGATTGAGATTCTCAATCGATAAAGGTAGCATGAATTCATCGCTTCCAGCAGCCCGTTTTGGGCTTTGGAATTGCGGGAAAGATGACGGGGCGGGTGGCCCTGGCATCCATGCGGCAAAATCCATACCAAAAGTATTTCCGTCGTTGGGCCATCCAATCGAGCCCACCGGATTCGGTCGGCAGATGAACATCAAATGCAACTCCACTGGATGTACCAGGTTCGGGATTACCGAGCACTTGAAAAGCTATGCTACTGGTTGGCACAGGTCTACTGCTACTTCGAGAGTCACGAAACTCGGACTGACCAATATTCATCAGCTCCGGGAAAGATGAGGATTGAACTCCAGGTGCAATACCGGGCTCGTCATCATCACGTCCTGAGACGGAATCATCATGGTCAGGACGATTAGCCCCATGACCCTGAGAGCGATTAGCTCTTGAGGCATTAGACGATAGATCATCAGTGCGAGTAGCACTGGATCTCCCTGAAGGCATTGCTTCTGAAAAAGTGTGGTCCGACAAAAAGTCAGGACCGGAAAACATCGGCTGTCCGGGCACCTGGCCGTCATTCACAACGTCCAAGATTCCGGCCTGGCCGAGAACCCACTCATCGGTCACCACATGAGGTCCATCCTCGGTGATTCCCGCCATGAGTCCTACAGTAGCCTATGGAAAACGGCGCCTGCAGGGTTGTTATTAAATGGGGTTCGCGGTGCCAACCGAGGACGAATCCTACGGCTGATAACCTGCGAAAGGGTTTGAAACAGAGTTTCGGGATGGATAAAACAGGCCCTAACCCACCAACAAGAAGAGACCACCTTATCCCCCCCCGGTCCCAAGGGCAAAGCGGTTGCCCTCGGCCGGCACAAACACGAACCAAAAGGGGTGCCAGTTTAACAAACAGAAGAAAGAACCCAGCAAGGGCAAACAGCGCAGCAAGCGCACGAGCAGCAGCACCAACGCAGGCGAGCAAGCAAAGCAAAGCGAGCAAGCGAGCAAACAATGCACACACCAACCCCAAACAGTCCTCGACCTGCCCCCGCCAAAGAGCGACACCACGACCAGGTGCAGCCGCCGCTTTTCCAGCTAGCGGATGTCCGGCCGTGCCGTGAAGTAATGGCGCCGGGAACAGCAATTATGTTTGCCGGGTTGAAAAGCTTGAGCCAAATGGCGCATTGGCCATGGCAATAATCAAACATGCTATGATAAACGTACATGCCCCCAAAAACACAAAGGAAACCAACTTGTGATTGGCCATTTCAGGTAATTTGTAAAACCCCAAACCTTGATTTAGAGGATCGGCAATGTTTGAGTTGGGTCTGCCTCGAAATGAGAAACGGATGCCTCTTTGGATATTGCAGCTTTCGTCCACTTGGGGGGTCCGAGCCCTGAGAGAGTCATTTAGGCAATCAGGGCGCTCCATCCAATGATCAGCTCCGGATTTATCACGAGGGCCGGACCTGAGCCCAAAGGATGTCGGGGGTGAAAGCCGCATACAAGTACAAAGGGTCTCTGTAAGGATGGCAGACTTCCAAAACCCCTCCTGTCCCAAAAATGTGCTTCCAGAAGAAGTCGTGCACATTTTCAGGATGTAACCTAATACGGCACGAAGGCTACTAACTCACTCGCGCGGCCGCTACAGTCAACACTGGCAGGGCCAGCATTTCTGCTGCGGGTCTAGAAAATTATCCGGGAAATCTAAAAGAACTCCTATAAAGAAGGAATTTGCACCAAATGCTGACCCTGCCAGCATGTTTGTAGCGTTGACTGTCGTGTTGAGTGTAGTGTTGGCTGTAGCGTTGACCAGGCATCATCTGTAAAACTGGCTCAAAGCCGGAATTGGGCTTGCTAACGCAACTGACTGTGCAGGTCCAAGTCTCTACTTCAAAGGCTGAATGGTGAAAACTGACTATCTCACTTCGGTGGACGAAAGACATCCTGCACCGCCTCAGGGAGTGACCCACATGTAGGTCATAGGGCGCAAACCCCATCATTCAAAGAAACAATTTCAAAAGTTGGGAGCTCATTTAGGTGACGCAGGGATTTTGTCCGTCAACAGTTCCTCAATAGTCGCACGGGATTACAAGTATCTCTGCCATACTATGACTTCAGTCGCTGGCAGCAAATGAAAGAAATGTGAACCACGACCCATGTCTGTTTACCCTAGAACCATGAAAGGGCAATGCACTTGCAGATTAGGTAGCTTTCCAAGCGTTAAGTGGCGACCTGGTAGCGTGTCGCCAAGTCGCTCAACCATGCGATCACTCGGAAAGCTGCTCAGTCGGCTCTGGCCAGACCTTAGCAAACATCAAGCAACTACGGCTGAAGATTGACGGTTTCATTCCAGGACAAAAACCGGGAGCCTCCTTGCCCACCATGAGAGGTTCCAGGAACGTTCCTAGCAAAGGCTCTTAGAAGGGTGCAAACGGCAGTGTTCGGCGTATTCAAACTGCTCTTCAGCCAAGTAACATGGACCCCAAAAGAAGTGCTCCCTCGAAAAGAAGACCCCTGTGAATGTTACATGGATCAGGCTGTGAATGTTACATGGATCAGGTGAGTGAGTCTCTGAATCCACCTCTGCCATTCCTTGAAAACCAGAGTGTGTGTGTGTGTGTACGTGTGTGTGTGTGTGTGTACGTGTGTGTGTGTACGTGTGTGTGTGTGTGTACGTGTGTTTGTACGTGTGTTTGTACGTGTGTTTGTACGTGTGTTTGTACGTGTGTTTGTACGTGTGTTTGTACGTGTGTGTGTGTGTGCTTCTTTGATCTTCTTTGAGGGTACCCTTTCAGGTTGGTTGAAAGGCAAATTGACAAGGCAGCCGCAATATTTTATCCCCCAACTGACGCATACCCAGCTGGTCTGCGACCTTCGCACTTGGGCAAGTCGCTCCACCGTGCAAGGACCAGCTCTGGTTTCACGCATGTCGTTGCTATGTGCGAAAAAATAGACAACCTGTGCCCCATAACATCACGTCCAGCTAGGGCAAATCCTCGACAAGATTGCCTCACATGCATCTATCTGTTCTCCCCTTTACAGGACGAATTTGGTTGGAGGTCCGTGGAAGACCAACTTTCCTGTCAAAGGAGCCATGTCTCTGGTGGGTTCTGTGTGAGGATGCCAAGGTTACTATATTCAGCTCATTTGGTGTGCTCGAATTTGGCTTGTCTTCCTCCTCCTCGTCTTGTAGCACTCTTTTAGTCCTCCCTTCATATCCCGCGGATCCACAAAAGCCTCTCCCAGTCCGAGCTTGATAGCAATTCACTCTCTCCTCGGTGCCCAGAGCAGACACCCTTCAGCCTCGGTGCCCGCCAGGAATGGTTGTTAGAAATGATTGAGAACCTTCTTGCGGGGCCCTTGACACTCTGCATAGGTTAAACTTGCTGATGACTAATGGCGAAACGACCATTTTCCAAAATCTCAAAAGGAGCGGCCTCTGTCACACCAAAGGTCAATAGACAGCGCTGCGCCGGTTTGGATCCTGAGAGCCGGTCCCATTTAAGGGCAAACATGAGAATGTTGAAGCAGCGGTTTGACTCTCTTCCTCATTGGCCTGGCCAAATCACATCCACACTTGTTACGTGTTCCTCGAAAAGGGTCTTCCCAACAAGCGTACAGTCCCGACACTCAGGGAGTGGCAAAGTCGCATGCCACCAAAACTTGGGCTAGCGAGAAACCCGTGGCGTTTAACAGGTGTAGGCCTTTCTATGACCAACCTCCAAGTACAGCCCACTAAGGAATCCTGCCACATCGTCTCTGAACGGCTCGAAAGCCTCGAAAAAAAACAATAAACCCAGAACTGACGGACCCAACAGCCCCCCCCGCCTCCCGCCTCCCGCAGCCGAGTGGCTCGTTGGCTCTCCGGTAATCTCCCGTTTCACGGGACCTGGTACCGGCCATCCCCCTATTTGTAGAATGGGCTTGTGAATCCGGGGTTATCAATATTTGCGAGCTCGCATTCGTTGCTGAGAAGCCTTTCCCTCCACCAACCGTATCGAAAGGAAAAGGGAAAATGGGGGGGAGGGGGGGCGTCCCTTGGTGCACCCAAGTTCGCACTTGCGTATCTGAACAGAACGAAGGGGGGGCCTCTCAAAATGGATCCGACTCTTTTCGTGGTTCAAGGAAAACCGAATTGGAAAGCTGGGCGAAAATCTCTGGTCCCTCATTGTTTTAGAAAAAAATATGAAAAACAAAGGTTGAAAACTGCGAACAACCCCCACGCTGAATGAGACAAGCTGCTCGGCCGGCTCACTTCCCTCCAGCCTGCCCTGCGACCTGAGGTGCATGACTTCCGTCGCAGCGGAAGTGAAGCTGCGACGCTCCGAAGATGAGAAGATGAGAAGATGAGAAGATGAGAAGATGAGAAGGGGATCCATGAAATAGCAAAGCGCAGTTTCCACAGTTTCGCCCAAGATATGGTTGTCTTGGCAGGTTGTTTAACTCCATGGCGGTGTTTTTCTTTGCGAAGACATGGCTTTGCTGGCAAGTGGGAAATGACACTTTCCTAAAACAGTTCATGTCGACCCCGGATCAATCAACTTTACAGACCAGTAGGGTGTACTTCCCCCCAACATCCCCTCTTCAGCGGGACAACTCCAAAAAAAAAGTCGTCTATTAATCAACTGGATCCTCTTTTTTTTGTTGTTGTTCCTTCCCAACAGCTGAAAGCTTTGGGGTTTCAGCCCAGGTAAGTTCCGGGGTGGTCTGGGGCGGCCCTGAGGTAAGGTTCCACGAGGGTTCCACGAGGGTTCCACCAGGGTTCCACGATGTTCTGCGATCACCTGAGCTTTTTTTTTGTTCTTTCTCTTTTTTGCGGGTGCCAAAAACAAACCTCTCATTTTTGATCGATCCGCTCGACAAGTTCGACACATGAGACACCGTCAATGATAATTGTGTGCCCCATGACGCTGACAAGATAGTGTGACCCCGGTTTCTCGTGCGCAAACATAGACGTTGGACCCAATAGGAGCCGACCCCCGGTCAGAAGTCGCGAGCCTTTGGGTAGGTAACCAGGGGAATCATGTGAAACCTGGCCAAGAAGCCGAAGGGTTGCCTAAAGTGGCTTGCCTGGAAGCATCCATTTGTAGACGCATATCCGTTTGATGGAAGTAACTTGGATGTCTTGTTCGATTCCAAACGACTCAGCTGTATTCTTTTGGCTCTGAACCGTGATTTGTTGCTTACCCCTTGCTGGGCATTTGAATCCCAAGCTTCTCAAAGGTATCCTCGACAAATCTTGGAAGCACGAAGCCCACCACTTAGGGGGAACAGCTTCGACCCAAAGTCACGAAAGTTATCTTCTTTTTTTTAACCTTGGCTTGGTGGTTCTCTGAATTGCCCCTGGGACTTGCAGGGTTCTCTGAAATGCAGGACCCTGCACGAGAAAAAAACGACTCCTTCTTCAGCGGGCCCCGCGGAAGTGGGAACAAACACATTTGGGGTCGTTCTATTTTGAGGGCAACTGACCATTATTTCGCTTTACAACCCACAAGGAAACCAACTTTCTTTCTTTTCTTTTTCTTTCCTATTTTCTTTGCTTAAGCAGACACTCATCATTGAATCCCTCCTTTAGCATCATTCAGCTCGTGAAATCTCAGGGCTGCTGGGGTGCTTCTGATTTCTCCAAAGCTTCGTGCCCACAACACGTTGAGTCGTCGTTTCCTGACGGGTCGCTCGCCCGGGCGCGGATCATCCGAGCTCTCGCGGTTCTCACCCAGGTCTGACCTGAGCGCGGGATGCGCTTGGCCTGCGCTATGACGCCGAATGGGCCAAACTTCGACCGGCCAAAAGTGGGACACGTTGCTGCGAGCTACCCCCCCCCGCCTTTTCTTACTTGCTGGTGCGATAAGTAGGGAATGAGGGAATGATGAACCTGTGGGTCTGAAGGTCACCACAAAGGCTGGCGTATAGGGGTCAACCCAATTCTCATTCCCTGCCCATCGCACCAGCAAGTTTTTTGACAGAACAGTTCCAGGCAAGCCGCTCATTCACGCGAGAGTCACCTCCAATGTAGTAGTGCTCACGCAGATTTCTGCCAGACCTTGAGCTCAACTGGCTGGTGGGGGGGCAAAAACATCCAATTGGTTGCATTTGGGTGTGTCTTCCCCCGAAAATGGATTTTCATGTTGCTTCTGGCTGTCGTAACCTCCACATTCGGTGTTTGTTGCTCTCTTTGAAATGCCGCGTGCATTGCCATTTCCTTTGTTCGGCCCAAACAATCACTCACACGATCGAATGATGACTGAGTTTGGTTTCAACAACCCCATCCTTAATAATATATCATTCAATCGGGGAGCCAAACCATGCCTTCCGTATTCCTTTGGTTTCCCTTCAAGGCTAATGTGAGAAGCCTTAGAAGACACACATTCATTTCTTGGTCCAACGCTGAAGTATGCCAACGATCCCTTCACATTCTGATTTATATGTAGTCTACCACCTTGGGCATGTCTTTCCGGGACACGCATGCTGGGTTTCCTCGTGGTTTCCCTCCTCCAAACAATAAAAGGGTACCACCACCAGCAATTCACATGGAACCTGAAATTCGGGACCCGGTCCCTGAGGGAAAAGTGGTCCAAACCAGGACGCTCCCCCCCTTTTCCTATGAGATTCCATGGGAATTGGTGGTTGAGGGTAGACCCCCCACTCAGGTTCCATGAGGCCCACGACGAGGCTTCGGGTGCATCTTTCGGCAAGTCGCCCGCTGAGGGTCGGAGAAGCACCAGCCTCTCGCGCACACCTGGGGAGGGTTTTGCGTTTTTTTTCTGCCCGGATCAGATGGCCATGGGCCAAAATCCAAATCGTAGCCCCAGTGAACATCCCCAATCCTCACAGGTGCACCCACCCATGAATCAAAATGGTAACATTGGTTTTGACAACCACAGCCAGATCTCCTCGGTGGTTAAAATAGCGCTCAGTGATGAAATAAGTCCCAGAGTCCCATCCCCATGGCTACTTTGGAATTCTTGGGGGGGTTCCATCCAACCACTACTTTGGCACTCCTTCAGTATAAATGGATTCCTGGGTATCAACTTCGCGCCAGTTATTGGATGAAAACCTATGAATACTCTGGTAGACACTGATGTTTCGGCTAACCGTGGCCTTCAAATTTCCTTTGCTTTCAAATGGAGGATTAGCATAGTGCTGGGTTCTGGAAGATAATTCCAACTTGCCTAGTAGTGTCCTGTTTTCCTTTTGTTCGCCACAGTTCTTCTGAGTCAAGCTCCTTTGTTGGTAGATGTAGTATTTCCCGTCCAATCCGTCCAAGGCTGCAGGGTGATTTTCGGGGAAGACCTTAATGACGGTGCCATGAACACCAGCATAGACGCTACTTTGCAGCAACAAACCCATAAATGACAAGTTCCCTAAAGGCGGCTGCAAGACTGAAGTGTGGTACATCAGCCAACAACCAGCCAACAGGTCGATTGCGTTGTTGTGTCACGAAAAACAGGAAACAAACATATTTACCAGCCATGACAAGGTTCCTCTGAGACCAACTCTGCCAACAATAACCATGCACTACTAACATCACAATAAACACATATGTTGACCCCAAATTCGAGAAACTGGCGGATAAACCGGGCATCGCCACGAAAGTGATCTGGGCCTCCTCTAAATTGGGACAACCCTCAATAGTCAACCAAAGGTCTAAGTCTAAGTCTTCTGGGCATTTCTCGGGGATCCTAAACAACCTATTGGCATTCCCGCAAAATTGGCACTAAGAATCCATCTTGGATGTGAAACCTGTGTCGGACAAAAAAACATCAGCGTCCTTGCTGAAACTTGCTGAAACCATGGACGAGGTTGTACTGCTTAAAAATTCTTCGTTACGCTTTACTTAAGGGCAATATCTACTTGCTCAATCAAGCGTGGAACATATTCAGACCGCGAATTGCTAGAAGGCTGCCGCTGCTCTTCGGAGGGGCTCTGACAACTGCTGTAGCGCAGAAAACCCTTTCACCAGATTCCTCCAAACACCTTCCAATGTCCTCTTTGGCAAATAAGTCATGTTGTAGGGCTTACATGCCCCCCCCCAAAAAAAAAAACACAAAAGCTTGAATGAAGGGGTTCCATGAACTTCAAAAAGGCAACTGCCAAATCCAGGGTGGGGCAAATTTGGTTTGCCTTTAAAACAGCAAATTCGCTTTTCCCCATGTCCCCCCCCAAACCAGCCATTGACCGAACAGCCTCTGAATTTGTCCCACATGGTCAACAGGCAATCCCGAACTGCTTTTGGTTAAGCACCGGCGTTTTGGACCTGGGGAAAAGTGTTGACTGGAAGGCAACCCCTGCGTTCGGGCAAGTCGCTCACGCAAATCACTCCCGGAGAAGCTCTCACGCATCCCGGACCTTAGCACGTGGAGGTTTCTCAACAAAGGGACTCCTTTGGTAAACTCAGGCCTGTATGTTGTTTTTGCTTTGTATATTTAAATGTAAAAAAAGAAAAAAACGAAAAGCACATAACAGTAGTTTACAAAGGGAAGCTAGAAGGGCAAACCATCCAACAGGTTGGCTAAGCCCTGGAACGGGTTTCGAGGAAAACCAAACACAGGAAGTCAGAGCTGGGGGTGTCGGCAAAAAAAACAATTCGGAATTGTTGGGGAAAGTCAAACGATATGGACCCAAACAATTCCCAAACGATTGTTTGACTTACCCAAACGACAAAGAGACCCGGCTTGGCTGTTTAAATGTTTGGATCCAAACGAAGAAGCAGGGTCTCTTTTGTCGCACTCTTTTAGCCCGGAAGGAATCTGCAGGGTGAATTTGGGCGTGCAACACGTCACTAGCGACACTATAAAGACGAGCCTGAACTCAGCGTGGTCCTGCCCGGAATCTTAGGCTGTCCAGCCCAAGTTGTGATGCTTCAGCAAGATGATGGGAGTCTAGAGACCTCTAAGGCACAAGGGTGAACGTACGGACGACTCAAAAGAGAAAGCAAGGAGACCAGCATGAGGTCTCCTTGTCCGCCTTCACATTTGCCTCCAAAGACGAACCTTAGATCCTATTTTGAGGCAACATTCTGAGACACCTGTGCCCCATGCTGGCGGGCCTGTTTCAACACCAATGTAGGTTTCCCTTGGGGCTGATGCTTCCTCTGTGAAGGCGTCCAAAGAAAGCCGGCAGGCTAGCGCAGGTGACACAAAGTTCGCAAGCCCAGCTACCTCTCCCCCGTTCTTTGGGCCATTAGACTGCGCACCATCCGAGTGCGATTTCGACGAGGCGCCCATCTCGGTCACCAGGCTTGGCCTGTCCGCTCCTGGGCGCCCAAAATGGACAAATCGGACGCACGTTGACTTGGTATCTTCTTAACTGGGGCCAAGCAGAGAAACATCACGGACAGTCTGCAACCAGCTTTCTGGGCCACAGCAAACAAGTGAAGGTCCATATTGACAAACGAAGAAGCTTCGGCCCTATTTGGATGGCAAAAGAAGTTGGTGTAACTCACGTTGCATGCTAAAAAGAGCAGCTTGTACCAGCCGTGCACTTGGGGTAAAAGCGCTCCCTCGAGAAACTCTCTATACAACAATGGCAACCGAAAGCCGATGTATAAATCCAACAAGCAGGGAACAGAGGTTAGGAAAGCCTGCAAATCTCGCACCCAGCTCGCTTGGAAGCGTGTGCCCAACGTTTTGATACATATGCGGGCCATGGTCGCCGGCATCCTGCAAGCTCTGGCGGCTGAAACTCCTGTGTGCTTTTGCCTGACTGCCTCCTCCAACGGCCACCCCTCAACAAGTTATTGCTAAAACCTGACGTTGCAATGGAATCCTTAATATGGCGGTCTGACATTCCGTAATTGCTGTACCAGTCTGGGCCCAAGCATAGGCAGGAAACTGACATCATTTAGCGGCGGCTTCTATGGGATTGAAGGGAAGGTACATGGTTCTACAAGTAGCAACTCCACGAACACCGAATGCATATACAAAGGCTTTCGGGCGCCAGACGAAAAGCTATGGCTCACGTCAACCCCCTTCAACCATTGCGCAGTACATCTGCGACTCAAAACTCACTCCAGCTTCATGTTGGCCCCCAACAAAGCTCCAAAAAGAGCCCGTTCCATGCGAATTATGCTACGCCACTTGCGCGCGGCTTCGCTATGAAAAACACCCTCACTCATCGGTGGCTGTTTCGGTCAAACCACGGGTAAGGTCGTTGCAACTTAGCTTTCGGCCAGCCAAAGCTTTGAGAGGCGACTGCTTTCGCTTCTCTGAGTTGATTGGCTCCCACTTCAAAAAGAGATCCCATCTGATTCAGGACAGACCTGAATCCCACTTGATTTCTCTGATCTTCAAAACCTTTTGGCCCATGAGCCAAAAGAGGAGATCCCAGCCTCCTGGCGCAAGAAGCAAACACGCTGGGGCACCCGGCTGATCGGCCTCGGATCAAAACGGGCCCGGGATGTGTACCCTTCACCATGGAGCCCGGGTCCCTCTGAAGGGAAAATTGCCTCCATGGGGCCGGCTGCAACGTGGGATGCTAGTATAACTGCTCCAGGTTTGCAGTCGCAAACAAAACGAAGGAGACCAAAAGGCTGATCCCACAGGTTCCAAAGTCAGAATCGTGGAAGCGCCGTGGCTCCAGGAACTCGCAATGGCAGTCGAAACACTGCTGCTTAAAACTGACAACCACGCTCGCTGGTTGAAAGGTCAGGAGAGCGGACCGGTGGCGTACTCCAAGGACCACCCGCTGCCAAAAACCGCCGGCTGAGTCAGTACTCTGGTGCAAAACATCGGCTGAAGCAGTGCAGGCAATCCCTGCACAAACGTGTGCTTTTTGGATTCCATGAAAAATCGACACAGAAGCTGGAACAGATTGGCACCCAGGCAATGGGAACCGGGATTCTTTCAGATTGTCGATTCATAGGAGGGTTTTCCCCATTAGAATTGGGTCTGGATCCCCTCAAATATAGAACGCACGACAATTTATCAACGAATCTTTCTTTCTTTAAATCTAGAGTGAAGCTTAGTCTCAGTTCTTGAGTGGAGTTGCAATGAAAACACCGGACTATTGTTTGCATCAAATGCTCTTCCAAGCGACAACAGCTCCAGGAACTTAAGAACTCAGCCAACATTTAAAAAATCCTTGAAACCTGCAGCAACAACCTTCCAGGCACACCACATCCCTATTCACATCCCTCATGTAGGTAGCACATCCACGCAGACAACTGACCCGGATGCCTCGCCAGGCGCGAAGTTCAAGCTCTCCGTGGTATCCATGAGGTCTCCCATCGAGTCCTCGCGCTCGTCTCAGAAACTGATGGTGCCAGGCAGAATAGCAGGTAACAAAAACATGTGGAAAACCATTAGAGCGGGGTGGTAGAGTACTTTAAATGCCAACTAAGTCACGATCATAGAGCCCCTAACATTACACTACTCGGATGTTCAACTTACGCAAGGTCGCAGCGGTTGGCTGACTTATGCTCATGATGCTACACTACTTACTAAGTGCGCCGCACATACATGCAGGTGGTGTTTTCTCCGGGCCATCCCCCAAAAATCAACTGATCCTCACACGAGCTGCGCAAAAATCCAATGATTGTTGGTTCTAACAACGTATACTTCATGCATATATATACATATATATATATATGTATTATATATATATATAGGTACCACCCCCCCCCCCCCGAGAGGCAACCAAAAGGTAGGTTTTTGGAGGGGGGGGGGTAGCATATGTATATATATATATATATTCCAATTTTGACACAAATCCAAGAAGCAAAAAGAAGCATAAAACACTGGAAAATACAGGTCAACCGCACCAAACCAGGGTCCATGGGGGGGGGGGTACCATATATATATATATAGGTTTGGCGTGTGCATGTATATCCAGCTGCGCTGTGTGTCTTCGAGCTCGAAGAGTGAGGGCAGCCCTACCCGTACCTACCCGCAGGGTGTACCGCCAGATTTTGTTGCACCAGAAGCTCCTCCTTAGCATCCCCTGCATCACCCGGACGCAGGCTAGCCCAGACATTTGGACACCAAAACATCCCCGACATCCTTACAGGCTCCTGATGCCACGTAAAACACTGCAAATACCGCGCAAGTCGCCCCTGACAGTCGCCAGCATCCCCGCCAACATCCTCTACGTTCTGGCCAACTTCACCAACATCCCCAGCATTCTCGCATCACCGGCATAACGAATAGGGCCAAGTAAATCATCACCAGCAAATCGAAGCCCAGCTTCAAAAGATTTCACTCAGCGAAAGTGAGGACTCCATCCCCATGTCACCTCCGGCTCTGTTTGCTTTTCAGGAGATGCAACGTTGAAATGAGCGCCCATTGCGCCCATCGGCTTCTGAGCTCTACCATCATGGCTATCGTATCATAGGGCCCCATCATTCCTAAGAAGCGTTAACTGAATTTGGGGGTCGATGTACAGCTGGGCCTTTTGGGCATCAGGGGAAGAACGGGCACCCGGTAGAAATCTCTTGACGGTCACACCAATGCCACAAGAATGGGCATGAAAAGGCGGAGGTTGGAAGCCCCTAACCATCGCTTGTGGTTTTCTAGGAGAACCCAACAAACTTGTTCTCCAAAACAAGGTGGGGCACAGCAAGCAAAACAAAAGAAACATCATCAACAGGCTGGCGCACAAGTCGTGCACAAACCATCTCAGGTGTGACCTGATATCAAATGAACCTGAAACCATGAATCAAGAGGGCAGGGCGGCCGCAGCCAATTGTGGCCGGGATTGTCCTTGCCTAACCGTCGCCTATCCGGGTTCGATTGTGGCTGAAATCACTATTTGACACCTTTGCAAGGGGTTTACTTTGCAATCGGTCCTTGGACCACTGCGCTGATTGCCGCTTGGCAGCATCCTCCTCAAACCTGCGTCTTTTTCCCCCTCCCTTTGCGTGTCCCTGTGGTGTGTTTGTGTTGATCAACCTGGAATCCAAATTCCAGGCCCTTCATTGGCTACATGCGGCAGCAAAGGAGGGCCCTCCTCTATTTGCCCTGGTTTTAGAAAGCAGCTTGGACGTGCTGTGGATTCTTTTCAGGACTTTTTTAGTATTATTCAGAATTCTCCAAATCCAAGCTTTTTCCAGAATGCTTACCAACTAAAGTGGCTTGGGTCGCAGCGCACGGACGGTTATGCACACATCAGCCGCTCACACAGTTCTTCCCCACGCGGAACTTGAACTCAACCGGTTATCCACATTGACTAAAACAATCATCATCATCATCATCATCATCATCATCATCATCATCATCATCATCATCATCATCATCATCGCAGGATCAGGAGCAATTTATGCTTCAGAGGCAGGCAGGACCAGTTGCCCAATGGGTGAGGCGTTGCAATCTCGAGTCCACTCTGGTCCGGCTTGCCTTGAAACAAACGAAAACTCACCTTGCAAAGCCAAGTTGCTCCGCGATCTCGGCCTCAAGAGCCTGCAAAATGCAAAATGCAGTGGCATTGTCATTCCTAGAAACCGTGCCAACCCCGAGTGTGAATATCAGCATTGTGTGGTGATCACCGTTTGCACAATTGACTCAGACTGGTGAAACTTGCATGGAGTGGCTGCAGGGTTGAGAATCATCTTCTTAAACTCATTCCCTACATGTAGGAAAATAGAAGTCAAACTGGCTGCTGGATGCAGTGACAGACCTCCCCATTTGCATGCTGAGTGGGATTTTGCCTGCTGGATGATCGAAGTCCTCAAGCAGGCGTTTGCAAGGGTCTACCCCCTCCCTTAGAGATCTCTGCGTGAAGGATTGCTGTGGTGCATCCCTTCCACGATGAAATGGAAAGTACCGGTTTGGAGCTTGATGGAACAAACTAGACATCACAACGAATTGACCAACTCGAGTAATAACGCAGGTTGCATCAAACCTCACTAGAGGGCATCTTAATCTGGTCACAAGATTAAAAACATCCACAAGAATCCACAAGTTGAAGCCAGGGAAAAGAGGACCTGCCCAGGTGCTAGGAAACCGCTCTTTTATGCGTCCGCCAATGACTACATGTTCTACATTGAAAGCTGGAAGCTCTACTTAGTAGGTATAGTTCTACTCATGGCTTTGAGTCAGCCCAACCCAGGCATCCGACTCACAGCCATACAGCACCCAAGCACGACGAACAGATCTTTGACAAACAGATCCACATTCAGCATGGAAGGAGCCTCTTCAGGATCAAGCACGTGCCCATACAGAGATGGCACATCTGCGTGCAATTACAGGTATCTTGGCCGACATCTGTGCAGTAGCAATTATCAGACTCTATATCACGGACCTGCTTTTGAACATGGGGTGTCTGTTTCAGAATGTGTTTTCCAAGTTCAAGTCCTTCCCAGCTCCCAGACTCAAGTTCATAGATCTAGGAATTTCGATTTTGCACGACCATCAAGTTTAAAATATATTATTTGTAAACAAAAACAAACTGTCACGCAAAGGGGGCTGCCCCCCTGAACCAATGATTCTTCTTAATATAACTGTTGGAGTCTGCTTTAATTTCAAGCTATTTCTATTGAGGGGGTGTGAAATTCCCAGATCCGTTTCTAACGCTCTTCCCAGCTTGGCGGCCAAAGGCGTTTGATCTAGGAAACCCAATTTGTAAGTGGTCCCCAGTGCATCCATTTTAACGCTGATTTCTTTATGAAACACCAAACCCAAACAGGCACACAAAGAGGGGTGCCCACTGGAGCCATGACTCTTCTGAATAGCTGCTTTTTTGTGCCCGGGATCACCTGTCAAAACAGCATCTAGACTGGACCAAACTAAGTACTGGGAAGCTAAGAGTGAGTCTGGGCAGTACTAAATGTAATTCGCAATCTAAATCCATGTCCCACCCAAACCTCCCTGTTTTCCACGAAACACTGTTCCAGGAAGGCTGTGGGGTGAGAACGTCCAAGATTACCCCGTCAATCTCAACATGAGAAAAGCTACGAACAAAAATGAACAGTTTGCCACCTCGACTGGTAGTTATTCGAGTCTGGCCGCTTTTTCTCCCGCCTCTTGTGCTGCAGGGTTGAGCTTGTAGCTGGCAGCCTGTCAGGCGCCATCTGTCGATGGACGTAACCACAAAGGCACGAGTGACTTACCTCAGCTGTTGCCCCCAACCCAAAAGAGCATGTTTGACTCTGGTCCATATGTAGTGAGCCTCAACATGAAAAATGATGTCAAAAGAGATCCTACTACCTCGGCCCGTTTTGCACCAAAACAGATTCGCTTTCCCAAGCCTTGGGGGAGCAATGCTCAAACTCACATGCTTCAGCCAAAGTGACTCAAGTTGAAGCCGACATGAAAGCCCCTTGCGGGGTGCTTTAGCAAACGAAATCCAAGGAAATCAATGGTCTTCGGGCCCTTAATCTGGGACAAGCTCGACTACCACCATGATCTGCCCCTGTGACAAAGGCCCTGTCCCTGTCACCTCTTGCACTGCAAACAATGTTCTCAGGGACCCTACTTGTTAATCGCTTGGATGTGCGACCTCCTGCAAGCATGTCGAGCAATATCGCCACAACCCCTGTGCCATGAATCACGCCCTGACTGAGGGAAGTGGAACCAATTTGTCAAAACGTTCCAGGCGAATGGCGCAGGGTTGCGACATGGGACCAAAAAGCCCTATGCCACTCATGGCGATAAACCAACATTTGGACACCTTTTCAGAACCGCAGACTGAATGCTTGCTGCAAGGTCTCGGACTCTTGGAAATCCATCAAGCCGCATCTCGACAGTTGAGTTCCTCGAAAAGGTCAACTCAACCATCATGGTGTGACAGTGGACATTTCTACTTTTCTGCACGAGGACTTCATCACAAGCATGGCAACAAACTCCTGGTGTCTGACCGCGCACTGTAAGGACTCGCAATATGGAAAGCGATGCTTAACTGGTCAAAGCAAGTCAACCCTCCAAACGGATCAGTTGCCCATTTGGAATGCTCCAGTAGAATGAATCAATAACTTTCACGGAGCAAGGGCCATAAACAAATAGTTGGTTCAAACTTCCTCGCTCAAACTTCCTCGTTCTCAGCAGGCAATGAGGGAATGACCCTTACAAATAATCCCCTATGGTTTGCTTTCAGGCAATCCCTAGGTTCATTCCCAAAACCCTAGGTCATTCCCTGCTGAGCACCAGCAAGTTAAACCTGGAGTCTCCCAAACCTTGCAAGCGGTCACCGCACGTGATTCTCGAACCAACCAACCCACGATTTGTCCCGTTCATGGTCCCTTTGAGGGAAAACCAACACAAGGTTGTTTCAACAATCTGAGCAAACTACTATGGACAGGGAAGCCTTTTTTGGATGCTGGCAGTTTTCCAAACCCCTCTTGTACACTTCCATGATTGTTAGCAAAAGGGTTATTCACATGATTATCGGAAATCAAGTAAAGGGCCTTCCTCATGGGATGTGTCGGTAGGCACTGTCCATCCATCAGTCTATGTATCCATTCATTTAATATTTACATGTGTATAAATATGTATATATATACATATATATATATATATCTATATATGTATATACGTGGTCTGTCTGTCTGTCCGTTCGTCTGTCTATCCATGCCTTGAGCCCTTGAGAAGTCTTCCATGCCGGCAGACTGCAACTGACCATGACTGACCGGGCATATTTCAAAACTCGGAAGCGCACCATGTCCACATCGATGGGGCTGGCAACCTGCACGTTGCGCAAACGCGGGAACGACCCAACGGGGACTCAGTGGAGAAATGAACCCCTCGTTCTGTTTTCTTTTTTTGGGGGGTGGGGGGGGGGGGTCAGGTGAAGTTTGATAAAATGCACCCCTGATTGAATTGGTTGGCCTCACCATGCTTTCAAGGCAACCACCCCAAAACCGCAGCCCTGAAGGGAGCACGATTATTCTAAAACGGAACCGGCACACCCCACTGCAATCTAAACTCAAACGGCATATCAATCATTGCTTCTCAGTCGTGCTCGGCAAGCAAGTGCTGGAAAGAACCAGCCTCACATGGCATTCCACCCTTTAAGCTGTCGGAAAGTGAGCTAATCCTGGCTTCACAGCCAATTCAGTTCTTCGGGGGGTGGTGGGTATGAGGGCATGCAACACGCTAGCGACATTTAGGCTTGACTTTTTCAAGGGTACTCTCCTTTGCGTCATTTTGAGGGAAACCAAACAAGGAAATCCATTTTGGGTGTTCCCCTCATTCAGGGCCAACTAGGTTATAAGTCAGGGCGTCCGGAATTTTGCGTAAAAGATCTATCTCGTGTTCTTTGCTCGGAAAACCCATGGGCTATGTAGCGCCCGGGACATTGGAGTCAGCAAAACAGGTACCAAAATGGTCAACCCAACTCCATGTAAGGACATGTTCCAAGGCGGCAGCGCCTGGTGGCTAAGACTGCCCATTTAACCTTCATTCATCTACCCGGGGTTTGATTGTGGCTATCTGGGGTGAAAACGGTCCCCAAATGACAATGAGTAACTTTTCCCGTGTGGGACACATCATCTTGTCGTCGTTTTCCCCAACTCACTTTCGTGAATCGGGCAGAACAAGTCTACCACTGAAATTTGGTGAACCAACCAACAAAAGTTAGGAAAAGTGCGAAACGGAACTCAGCGAGTTCCCCAATCAACCATGGTAAGGGAAAACGTTTGATCAACCAACCCAAAAAGTGTAGTCTTTCCGAAACGGAACTCAGCGAGTTTTGTGACCATGGAAAAGGAGAACTCACCCAGGGATTCAAAAAAAAACAGGACACACCTCCCGTTGGAGGGTTTTCTCTCCTCGGGGCTCGCTTCCATTTCTCATTCGCCACTCTCTCGCGGCTCTCTCGCGGCGTGAGGCAAGTTTTGATCCAACTCATGGCAAGCGCCTCCATGCTGGAGTTCTCCCGGAAGTTGGGGCTCTCAGAGGCTAAGTCCGCCATGGAGTCCTGACAACTGGGATTTTGTTCCAACTGTGGCTCGTCTTTTCCAGGGGAACCCCCCTCAAAAAAACAACAACAACAAACAAATACAAAAAGGGGTGTTTCTATAGGTTTCCCTGTAAAGCCACACCAAATAATGGTACCCACGCCAAAAAACGACATACCCATGTCTTGTAGAACTAGTTGTGCACCGAGTTTTCTGGCTGCGACTCTCCAACCAGTGGCTCAAATGAGGTTCGGTCAACATGTCCTGATCTGTCTATGGCCCATTTGGGAGCGACCAGAAGGGGGACGAGTTGATGTCCTTTTCAGAAACCACATTATTCCACGGTGCCACAAAATAGCTCTTCGTTTTCCAAGGGTATCCCAGCCCACTTTGAAGAAACAGCACGAAGAAAACCACATCACATCAATGATTAGTGTATGCATCTAGCCCATGTGCAAGAATATCATGCTTGTTGTTTGGCGCACAAGGAAGGACGCGTTTTGTTGTTGAACATTTGCCTTGCAGCCAACCTCCCTTCTGGAGGTTGATTGCCCAGTCTCTTCAATCATCTTTTTTTTCAGAAACAGCCCACATTGTTTCACAGGTCTTGGTTGATTTGGGAAAGATTCGAACGGATCCCAGATAGATACAAGGAGAGGTATGAGGCTAGACAGATAGACCAATAGAAAGGTAAATGTGCAAAAAAACAACATATTGCTGGATGGATGGATGGATGGATGGATGGATGGATGGATGGATGGATGGATGGATGGATGGATGGATGGATGGATGGATGGATGGATGGATGGATGGATGGATGGATGGATGGATGGACGGATGGATAAATGACTGAAACATGAATGAATGAATGAATGAATGAATGAATGAATGAATGAATGAATGAATGAATGAATGAATGAATGAATGAATGAATGAATGAATGAATGAATGAATGAATGAATGAATGAATTGATGATGATGGATGGATGAATGAATGGATAGATGGATGGATGGAATGAATGAATGACTGAATGAATAAACAAACGAATGGGCGCATGCATGAATGCAGGAAGAAACACGCGATGAGGGAAGAAATGAAGGAACAAAGGAGAAGGAATGAAATAATGAAGAAATGAAGACACAGGCTACCCAGCAAACCACAAAGGACGAAACAAATGAACAAAACAAACGAACGAACTAACAAACAAGTTTATGAGTGAATGGAAATACTAATGAGATAATCAAATGTCATTGACTGAACATAGCTAAGCGAAAACACCACAGTGTGCATCATCCGTGCTTTTGTGAGCATGCACGCATGCATGCATGCATGTGTGTGTGTGTGTGCGGATGTGCGCAAAACAAATTGCGTCCCAATAGCTGAGTGAACGTCTGTTTTGGAGTATTCCTCTGCTTGATCGAATAGAACGGAAAACTAAATGAGGTTGTCAAACTTAGCGGCCTTGCTTGGCACTCCCCCCAAAAGGGTTTGGTCAAGCCGCGGTTGAAATGGGAAACTATGCCGGGGAACGGGCTCCCGTCTGGTTTTTGACGGGTCAAGGATTCCGCGCCTGCGGGGCAAGCTTGAGCTCCTCTTCATCTGAGAGCTCTTGCTCGAAGGCCTCAGAGGGCTCTATTTGTTAAGAAAAACTTCAATCTGTCGAGGTCACAACAAAACTCCGGGGTTTCAGTTGTGCGGGTGTCAAAAATGCAACTAGGCCTCAGCACTCCAGCAGAGCCCTTGTGGTTGCGGGGTGCATTCTTCCGATAGAGCCAGATTATTTCTGCCCAATTGCCCAGCCAGTCAATTCCCCCACGATCAAGGCTAAACAACCCACAAAGAACAAAGGAAACGAAGGGGGCGGAACTCGCTGGAATTCAAGTCAGGTCCCCCAAAATATTCGCCAATCTCCAGGGATACACTCTCAGGGTACATAGGGGTGGTCTACCCAACCCTTAATTGCCACAAGGGAATGGAAATAAGCACAGTGACCGTTTGGGGCCTTTACTAAAGTCGACAAAAGAGAAAACCGAAAGGTCAATTGGTCGGTGTTGAACAACTAAAAAAAACATAATGCGAGCAATATTGGGATCGAATCATTCTCCATCCATTGTGTCAAAGGGAAACCCTTCTGGCCATAAAAAAGCTTGTGACTGGGGACTGGGGAATCCCCACTGTGTCCAACCTACGTCGCAAGTAGGCTATAACCTCAGCCAGCCCTGCTACCCCACTTCTCTCCATGCGCCTTTCAAAGGGGGCGGGGGGGACGTACTTTTGACCGCCTATCTTGGCTGAACATCCAGTTGAGCGCCCGCAGCCATAGACTTTGGACGCGAAGTCAAGATGTTGACAAACATGTAGAAAAGCCCAAGGCTATACCCTCTGTGCCACACCCGTCTTTCAAAACGAATGCAACAATTCTATACGGGCGCTATGACAAAGCGTAAGTTCATCTTCCCAGAGCCGGAAATCAAGCACCATCTTGGTAACCGACTGTCTCATGTTTTCAGGCGACTCTGCTTGACGCCAGTGTTTCCAAGTACTCTCGCTGTCGTCGAGGCACTTCTGCAACTCCATAGGTGTCAAACTCTGCGGCAAATCGCTGGCAGCTAGCTCCCATCAAATCGCTTCACAAGCTGGATTGGCCCGCAAGGTGATCGCAGTTTGTGAACCGATTTACCTCATGCTGTCACCCAGTCTACATCATGTTGCATCCAAGGTAATCGCTCCCCTGCCATCCAGACAAGATCCCAACCTAAGCGGCGAATAGCACTTGCAAGTCTTCATGACCTCAAGAAGCCCCGGCACACTCGTGACTGGCGCAAAATGCTTGAATCCCAAGTCCAACAAGCAGTCGTTGGTTTTGGTGATGCCTCCCACCCCCATGACAAGTTCAAAAAATGATTCACTACTGTGAATGCTTATAGGGGAGAAGGTTGGACATGAATCCCCATCATTTCCACCAAGCCATCCACGTCCCACTAAAATTCATACCTAGTTTATTATAACACAGCTATCCAAGCATACCCATTGGGAAGAAAGGGCCCACCAAAGGAAGGGTACCCAATGAATTGCATACCTTCTTACATTCCCGGGGGCCACTTTCCTGTGGCACACACCCCAAGGCCCCAGCAGGATGCGTGTCCATGCGCGCGGGCGCCCGGGTTGGGAATCCATCCTCGCAAAGAGAAAAAAAGCCACAAAATGGCCCAAAAATGGCAGGCTTGGTTGGGTGGTTTTCAAAATACCCTCCCATCCACAAACATGGAAGACCATTTTCTTCCAACAGGGACCCTCTCATCGATTCCATGTTGGTGGGCTTGTAGAGGGCTCCTTATCATGTTTGGTTTCACTCTTTGGTTTCCATTGAGAGATGCCCCATGCTGGTTTAGCCACACCCCTTGTTCATCCACAAAAGGAAGTTGCGCCATCTACCTTCGCCGTGTACGGTAGCTAGAGTGTTCAGGCCATAACCATAGAAGTGGCAGAATAGGAGTTGGCCGACTTGCAACCATTACAACATACGTTCTAAGTTGAACATTCAAGTTGGACCCTTCACAAAACGCCCCTGATTTTTGGGTACGTCCCATCATCCCGAATGGTTCAAGGTTCTTTGAGACCTGGAGTTGGATTCTCTTCACCTGAAAAACTGGTTCATTTGCCAACTTTGGACAGTGGTCGCATGGCGCAGCCTATGGCAATTCTGAGCTTTACGCGCAGGCCTGGATAGTGGCCCCCCCGCCCCCTGATCCTCAAAGAATAAACAAACAAATAATGATACGCCCAGTTGTTGTCCCGGACAGGGCCGGAACCCCCTGGAACCCTTCTTTGAACCCTCCCGGAAAGCTGCCCCAAACCACCCCGTATCGAGCCGATCTGGGCCTATCGACCAAATCCATAGCTTTTCAGCTGGGAAACAAGACTAGAACCTTGGTCAAGGGAGGAAGCTCAGAGTCTGGGTTTCAAATACGGGATTGGGAAAAACTTGAACAGCTATCCATCCTCTTTCCGTTTCCGTTAGGAGAAGTAAGCAATTTATGCCTTCAGAAGACCACATTCCTTTCAGAACAGGGGCCGCACATCGGCTACTTGGCATCCAATACAACCCTGAGATGGGTGCGTCTCCAAATAGACCCCCCCAAAAAGCAACATAATATAAAAGGTGGTTTCCTTTTGGCTGCCCATTTGGAACCAACCAAAAGATGTACCCTCCAAACCATACCCAGATCTCTGAGCACTCGGATCGCTTGGCCCGTGGCCTCATCCGTGCGACCTCAGCCGAACCCGGACCACAGGGCTGAGATTGTGGTTGACTCCTGGAGTCTCCGTGGCCGATCGTGACGTACTTTTTGGTAGATCCTTTCTTCGGGGAATGGGGGCATGATTGTTTGCTAGATGACTCCATTCTATCAAATTGAAAATGGGGGTCGGTGTTTGTAGATGACCCGTGAGGATTACTTTGTTAGAGGACCCCATCTTAAGAATAGGAAATGGGGTCAGGATTGTATTTTGGCATGTGACCCCCCATTTGTTTAATGGGACATGGGACGTGATGATTTGTGTTAGATGACCCCACGTTTCTCGGACATGTGGTCATGATGACTCTTGTTAGTGAAGCAAATTATTCAAAATGGCAAATGGGGGGGGGGTCACGTTTTTTGTTAGATGACTCCACTGCTTTTAACTGGAAATGGGGTCAGGATTATATTGTTGATGACCCCATTCTTTACATGGGAAGTGATGGTCAGGATTATTTTGTTAGATGACCCCATCCATCTGTTAAACAGGACATATGGCAAGGATTTTCGTGAGGTTCCTGTTTTCAGAAAATAGCGTGCGTGGGGCCCTGATAAGTGTGTTCACCATCCTTCTTGGCATTTTTAATGTATATGTACTTCGATTTTGACAAAGCGGGCTTCGAAACACACTTCTTACATAGTTTTGCCTTCCAGCACATCGCCTGGCCTCACAGACCTTGTCCTAAGCACAGCATCCGAATAATTTGCAAGTGAGGTGGGAACTGACCGTCAATCGTGGGGCTCCTTATGGTAACTAAGAGTTTCTTGTTGTTGTTTGGTGCAAAGCCACCTAGTCACTTTGACTTTCCGACACGTGCCATGCTAATCGAACGGCGCACCATTTTCTGGACAGCAAGTTCAAAGAATGCGGTTTCACTGTGTAAGGGGAGTAGTAGCAGGCATACAAGAAATGGGACATCGCAAAGTACACATGTTAGGCATTGTTTGCCGCAGGTCGGGCAAATCAAAAGACTCCGCGTGATTGCCAAAAGTTTGGGCTAACAAATCAGAGCATGTCAATCTGTTCTTTCATTTCTGATGTTCAAATAAGGAAATTTATGAATTGCAATGGTGGTTGTTTGACGCGGGTCGCGCAATGTCTGCCGTGGGTCCGGCACATCAGAACAAACACAATATTTTGTTGTTTGCTGTCATTTCATGATGCGTCTCAACATGTGCAACATAATGTCCCGTTTTCAGACGCGAACCAGCACATCACGAAGAAGGCATAGAAGTTGCTAGATCTCTTGGGCGCACATCATATTTTACAGAATATTCGATGTGTTGTGCGGAGTTATCTATTCCAACGCCAGGAATGTGCACCCGCAAAATTAAAATACCCTGTTTGCTTCTGATATCCGTCAACACCAGTCAGAACCTTTCTTAGGTTTTTGGATGCGAGGATAATGAGAACATGTTGTATCCCGTGTTGGTTCTGTGAGGCGAGTGCATGAAAAATAGAATTGATGTCTGACTTGTTCCAATGCTAGTCAAAACATATGTCAGGAAGCCAATCCAAGATTTTGGTTTGACTTGATGCGAGGGTTGTGTAGAAGAACACTTCTGCAATGCTGACTTCGTTTGTTTCTGCGCATCGGAACAAAATCCAGAAATATGAGCTTGTGTCACGCAAGGAAAAAACAGTTTGCATTGTCTGCTGCGAGGAATATACAAAAAAACAAGAAATCCCCAAAGTTCTCATTTCTGATGCGATGGCTGTGCATCCGATAAAAATATAGTTTCTTACATGCGTCAGCAAACTTTAACAAATTGTGATTTTGTCTACTACAACGCCCGGATCAGAAAATGTGTGAAACGTTGTGGATCTAAAAATAATAATGTGCGGTGTTCCTGGTTCGCATCACATATGTTCAGACATCTGTTCTGAATTTGGGAGCTGGAATCAGAAAACTTGCTGGAAGAATGAAATTCCAGAAAAAATCGGAAAGAGTGAGAATGCGGGAGCTGGAATCAGAAATCCAGGAGCTGGTCACAATATTCTGAAATTTTTCGGGCTCTGTGCGCTGGAGTAGAACAAATCCGAGAAACCTGGATTTTTCCGCAGAAATACTATTGGCCGGGCCGGAATCAGACTCAAAAATGTCAAGCAAATCTGCGAAATCCTACGTTCATAACATCAGAAAAACACACGTGCAAACTATCACACACTGTGCTCACAAAAGTCCTGAAAATGGGGTCATGATTATTTTGCTAGATGACTTATGTTTGCTTCATAGGAAATGGGGTCACGATCATTGTTGTTAGATGCCCCCATTGTTGTTAGATGACCCCCCCTCAGCTTTTTGTCTTTCACTTTGATGGGAATTGGAGTCATGATTTTTGGCAGATGACCCCTGTTGTTTGTTTGATGGGACATGAGGTCATGTTTGTTTTGTTAGATGACCGCATTGGTTTATGGAAATGGGTTCACGATTCCTTTTTGTAGATATTCGTTTAAATGAAAAATGGGCTGCATTTTGTCCCATAACCATGATGACCCCATTTCTAAGGAATAGGACATGGGATCATGACTACTTTTGGTAGATTACACCATTTTAGTAATATGGGAATATATTGATACCTGTCCCCATTTGCTCATGGGAAATGGGGCCATGACTATTTTTTGTTAGATTCAAACCATTTTGCTGAACGGGAAATGGCCGTTTGTTGAATGGGAAATGGAGTCATGATTGTTTTTGTTAGGTGACCCAATGTTTGTTTTATGGGATATGGGCCATGATGTTAGCTGATTGAATTTTCTAAAACCGGAGATGGGTCATGCTTGTTAGATGACCCATATTCTATTTTAAATGGGACATGAGTCGCTACTATTTCTGATAGATGAGCCCCATTTTGTAAGATGGGGAATGCGGCCACGATTCTGTGTGGTAGATGACCCCATTTTTCAAGGGTCAGAAAGAGACCCAACACAAGTGAAAAGACGTCCGCCGCCCACCTCCTCCGTCTTTTTCTACCATGTTCAACCCTTGAAGTCGGACACCCTTTGACAAGTCAGCCCTGAACACGGCAGACCGCCCTATTTAAATGGCACAATTGGGGCCGCATATTTTTGGCTGTTTGCTGTTGGGGAGAATCCCACGCCACCATAAGACAAAATGCACAATTTTGAAAGGCGCTGGGCAGTGTAAAAAAACACAATAATACCTGAAAGGAGACCTATTCGGTTGCCCTGAAATCAGAAGGCTGTTGTAGCATGGTTTGTCCTTTGGGGGTTCGCCTGTCCACTTCAATGATTGGAGAAAGGGTTCATGTCCATTGGTTCCCGGCTTGCCTGCCAAAAACTGCAGATTGCGGGTTGCAACACTGTTTTTCGACCGAATTCCTAGCTTGAGGAGCTTGGTCATCCTGAGCAAAAGGGAAACAGAGTTTTATAGACCGCAGTTATTGAAGGCCTTTAAAGGAGTCAGCATTCGCCAAACCCTTCTACCATTGCAGATCTTCACTTGCCCAAATCGGTTCATATTTAGTCTACCCTACAATCTAAAATACGTTCGAAGCAAACCTCGATCAGTAACAACAATGACAAGGTGCCAACATCAATCTATTATCATCAACTTGAGGACTTTGGTGCAGACCGCAAGCAACACCACTCAAGTGTTGCTATCCTTTACATAAAGGCTGGCAACCAAATTTGAACCCCCCAGTCTGACCTTCATCTCGGGGGAAAAACACACACAAAAAACACACACATCAACACTTTAAATGGCGAGCTTTGCCAACAGGCCCTTGAAGCAAAGAGCAACGACCCGATTTCTACCTGAGCTTTCCTCAGATCCCCTTGCTAAAAGGCTTTAACTTTCAGGTTAAGTGGAACCCCCCACTAAACCAACGAAAAAGCTGAAGCCTAAGCGACCGGATGGCTGACTGCCCCTTTCCTCCAGCGCGGAGCTCTTAGGCCGGCGGCTGCGCTCCATCTGCTCAAAGAAGCTGGCGGTCCGAGCCTCGCGGTTCGTTTGGGCAGGAAGTCAACAAGAGGTTCTTTTTCTGGGGTGTCCTTTGATTAGTTGGGTCGAACATCAGAGCCCACCCTGAAAAAGACACGCGTACCAAACCGGCTTCTTTGGGTGGGGCCCCAAGCGTTCATAGAAGTAACATGCTCCTACCCTGAAACCTCCGTCAAGAGGGGGTCCTGACCCCTGATCTGACGCATCGGGGGCATGACCCCCATTGTGAAAGGGTGGAAATTTCAGAGACGTTTCGTCGTTTCAATGCATGGTCAGAATACGTAGGATGAACAACATCCTGCACCAGCTGGAATGGATGAAGCCCTATGAGTACGCGGAGAAACCATCTACAAGGGGTCCCGTTAAGACACAGTGAAGTCACATCCCTGAATAGCCACGCGCACACGCGCGAAGTCCTTTTTTAAACATCATTCAGCACGAATACCTGAAAGCGTGTCCCAACATCGTATGTCCGATGCGCTCGTAAACTTAGCTTGGTTTCTCGCCATCATGGGTCCCAATGTCGTTGCACAGGCAAGTTCCCATTGGCACACTGCGTTCAGAAAGCGGATTGTTTTCCACCTGCCAAATGGGCTCGAACACCTAACCCGAACTGCTTGCCTGCCTGCCTGCCCCTGACTGCCTTAGCCTTACCCCATTTGTTGCGCCCTTGTGATTGGCCTGCCGGGATGCTTTCCTCAACGGCCACGCGCGAACGATGCGACCTTACATAAGCCGATGCGACTTAACCCCAGTTCCAGCTGGTGCTGGGTTTGTCCATCCAAAGTACCACTTTTAACTAGTGGCGCTCCTGGTTTCTCAGGTGATTGAGCACATTCAGCTGGCGACCCGACGATTGTCATGGACCCCCCCGCCTTCAGTACCACTCACTGTCCGGATTCTCGGATGTTCCATCCCAAGCTTCTGAAAAGGCTTGACCTTCCAACCTTTGGTAGCAAACACCTTCGTGTTTTGCAGCCCCTTACTCAAGTGATCAAAAAAACAAGAAAACCACAAAACACATGCCAACAAAAGTAAATTAAAACGCTCACGCCTTGGGTCCAAACTTCAACGCAACAAAGGTCTGTTCACTTCGCAATGACGTATGGAAAACCAGTAACTGGGGTCCGCCATTTGGGGAGTTTCCTCTACAAATCAGGCTTTTGGGGTTCCATGTTGCGACCGGCAAGTGGGAAGATATGCCAATCAAAGCTTTGAAGAGGTATGGCATGTCTCCTCGAACGTGCTGGGGAATCCACCCATGTTGAAATGTCGCATGAGCCAAACAAAAACTCGGCATTTGCCCTCAGCCTATCGGGAGCTGTCTGAAATTTGTCTCAGGGGGCCGTCGATTGCTCCAAGGCTCCGGCAACCACCGGCCCTGTGGCCTGCGAAAGGGAAAAAAGAACGCGCGGCACGCGTTGGAGCTGGAGAAACCTCGCTCGCACTGCGGCCTTCCAACACCTTATCAGCTTCGGATTGCGGTTCGTTGGGACAGACAGGGCCCTTTCTCGCATCTGAAAATATATCCTGAAGGGAATAAAACCCAAAGGGAGGTGTCACACAGGGAGATGTCCCTCATGGAAGTCCACAAGTCCACGAAATTGCCCCGTCCAATGGTTGGCTTCCGTTTGAAAAGCTTTTCTTTCAAACAGCAAAGGGTACAAACAGCTCCAAGAACGACGCATCCAAATGGCGTGCGATCGAATAAATGCAACACACGAAACCAGGACTCATCTGAGACGCGAACAAAGCGGGGACCCCAAGAAAGAAACCTTGGGGCCCAAGCTGCTCAGAAAACATGCAAAACATCTAGGAAATGCTGGGCGATTTTCCCGGTGGCAAACCTCGAGGGTTGACGCTTCATTGATTGAACCCATATGAGGAAACCCTCCCTTGATAAAAGGAAACTTCAGTTTAAACCTCCGAATCCCGGTAACATGTCAAATCTTTTCGCCTCTCATGTACAGTGCTCTTACCAGGGTTCCTCAAAACGTTTAAAGAGCTCTTGGTGAAACAGCCCAAACGAGGCATCGCGGCTTGTCCAGGCTGTTCAACATGGAGGATTGGCCGACCCGATTGTCCATCGCCATAAACCACTACCATTGACACCAAATCCTTCGTAACCCAGGATGGAGGATGTAGGGCTTCACTATACTGCCTGCAACAGCTGTGAGTCTTCAAATTCAAACTGTCAATGGGAGCCTTGGGCGCAAGTTTGCACGAAGTCCACTTCCAAGCAATCGGACAATCAAATCCAGGTCTCGGCATCTATACTCGACGTGTACCATGTGGACACATACGGCTACACGATGTGATGTGTACCAATTCGTCGGCCAAACAGTGATATGCATAAGTAAAAAAACATGTATGCAAAGATATATATATATATGTATGTGTGTGTACGTATACACCTATTCTTATATAGGTATATCAATTCACCCAGCAAAGGGTTGAACATGGCAAAACCTGAGCCAAGCTCAAATTTGTGGTTTGTTGTCCCTTGCAACAGTCCAACTTGTCATGCAATGTGTCATCACTCCATCAAACCTGCCAAAACTGGACGTCTAGTCCTGGGGCCCAAGTATTTCCGGTACATCTTTGGTTCAAGTACATCGGAAAGTACCAAGCGAATTTACGAAGAGAACGAGTGGGCGCTCTTTTTGGGGGTAGTTTATTTGAAAGTGCCCCCCCCCGGCAAAAATAATATACACAAATATGGGCGTGTCCTTGTTTTGAGTGAACCCCGCGGGTGGTTTTGAAGGGACACTCAAAACGAACACCGAAGCCAATTTGGGGGTACCCTAAGAACAATTAAGCACCAACCACCAACTTATAACAAGGAACACAAGTTGGGGCTAGCTGAAGAAAACGAAAAGCAAAAAAAAAGAGAAATAAATACAACAAAGGAAACCAAGGAGCAACACCACTGGAGGGCCACGGGCTTCGAGCCCGAGGCCTGGCTGGTGGCGATATCGGGCTTGAAGGTGTGCTTCCTGGAGCCGATGGGAGCGATGGCGCTAATGGTAAGCCCAACTCTGAGCCCAAAACGAAGAAGTAGTGTGGCAATTCCATTTTTTATGCTTTATATTTTGCCTAACATCCGGTGCTCTGTTTTTTATATATATATATATATATGTGCTATGTTCAATGTGCTGTTTGAGTTATACTTAACATCTGCAGTCTTGGAGGAGACCCCACGAACCAAGAGCTTGGTCAAAACTCCTTGGGGAGGCTGCCATACAAGACTCCTGCTTTTGTCCCCAGCCTCAGCACGCACCATTTGTGTTGCGGTCGGCACTTCTTGCCTTCCGGGGCCTTTGAATGGCAACACGCAGCGCGCTTGGTTCTGGAACCCTTTGAAAGGAAGCTTCCCGTGGAAGAAATCCTCTGTGGCCTTTCAGAAACCCTGGAATGAAATGATTCGATTGCCCCTGCAAATACCAAGAAACAATGGTTTCAACCACGGTTTCAACGTGCGAAATGGATTTCGCGTCCGTCCACAGTGAAATCGGTCGGGATCCCTTCCCTCCGGGGCAACGCCAAATTGCAATCTCAAATACCCCCCAGTGACCCTGGTCCAAAACGAAGCCCGTGCTTGTTGTTTTTCCCAGTTTCGAAAACAAGCAAGAGGAAAAACGGGCCCAAAAGGCTTGGAAATACTCCCCTACAAATTGTCCAACCCCGAACCCAAACTGAGGATCCAATTCCCAAAACTCCTCTACAAAGGTCGATGAACCTGGAAGGGAACCACCATTTAATGGTGGTTCCCTTCCAGGTTCATCGACCTGGTGCGGCTAGTTATTTGGCCCAAACATCAGAAGGCTTGTGGAAACTGAGTTTCAAGAAAGGCCTTGCCTTGAGCCGACCATAGGTTTTGTGGCCCTTTGTGGGTGGAATGCACTAAACTGGGTCAGGTCTAAACTCCCATGAGCCCACTGATCTGCAAATCGGGGACCCGTTTCAGCGGGTTTTCCACTGCCAACCCACCTCTTGCCTGAAAAGGCGCCCAAAAAGCCAGTGGGCGCAACTGTTCAAACAAAAACCAAGGAACAACAAAGAACACCGGGGGTTTCGGTGATTTGCCCTGCCGACTCCGGATCCTCCAGTCCGCGAGCACGTCCTCCCTGTGTGCCTGCCGCGCCTGATCGAAGCCCGGGCTGCGGATGGGCTTTCCGTTTCGTTGCGGATTCGGCTTCGGTTTCGTCGCCCCTAGCAACTTGGAGTCTCCTTCTGACCCTTCAAGCATGGTTGGTCATTACATGGTCATTTCCCAAAATAAGGGGGTGGACCCATTCTTACAGGGTCGGAAGGAGCCTCCAGGTTGCCGGTGCGAGAGAGGCAGGGAATGAGAAATGGAATGACCCCAACAAAAACCATCCAACTTGTGGTTTCCTGTAAGGGAACCCCTTGGTTCGCCCCCTCATTTCCTGCTGAGCACCAGCAAGACAAACTTCCATACAGTGAAGGACACAGCCATTTCTCCAACTTGAATAGTTCACCCGAAGCCAACCCCCCCCCCAAAACAAAAACAGAAAGTGATGCCTCCACCAACCCTCGTCGAGCATAAGCCCAACTCTGGGGACCCCAAAACAGATGGAAGTGTGCGCGTCTGTCTTTTAAGGTAACAAACGCCCCCGACATGGGTGGTGGCTCTTTGGCTTTCCTTTATACCAACACAACTCACCAAAAAACAGACCCAAACATGTTCAGATCCTGTCTATTAAGAGAGACCCCGGATTTGGAGAGCTCCGGAAATGTGAATAAAAAGGTCACATCTTGACAGAGCTGAGGACCAGGAACATGTGTTTCACTTTTGTGCCTGGACTTTCGAAAGGGCACTTGTAATGTCAACCCACTTTCTCATCAACCTTGGAAATAATACGGCAATCATGCGGACGTTCAATAAAGTAAAAGATTCCCTCCAAAAGGGGGCACCCTCTATTTATCAACCAGGGTTTAACCCTGAGTTCCCATCTCAAAGCTGATAAAAAGTACTCACGAAACCGCGGAACGGAAAGACCTGGAGCAACGGCAACGGCCTTGCGATCAGCGTGATCTCGGAAAAGTCGTTCTGCGGACGAGGCGAAATGAGGCGTCAACGCGACCGAATGTGATTCGCTTCGCAGGTGTTGGAGGAACGCTTTGAACGTGCCAGGCAGCATAACAAGCATTCAGATCAAGCTAAGCTAGGCGCCGTTTTTGTTGAACCATCTACTCGTTGAGGATGCCGCCCCTCCCACTTTTTGCCAAGTCTTAAGAGAGCAGCTTTGATCATAGGGGGTCTCCCATTTCGAGCCATATCGGGCGAGGGGTTCCGAGCCCAGCTGCACTGCTGTAGCCCCAAGATCCCCCGCAAACCCAGGGATTCAAAATATCCCCACATATTACTTAGGCTTTTGGCCACCAAGAGCCTGATCGGGCCTTTGGGAAAACCAAGGAGGGCCTTAAAGCGAACATGTTGAGGGCGGTTTCTCCAGCTCGGGTCACAGGATGTCACTCCGGTACATGGCGTCCAGGTCGGTACCCACAAAATCCTGGAGGCCCAATTGATACAGAAATTTGTGCTCGAATGTTTTGGCACAAAAAGTGCCCGAAACGTTTCTGGGAGCCAGCGACTTGGCGCTAGTGTTGTGACCAGAATTTGGGCAGTTGTTGAAATTGCGCTCGGTTGCGCGGATTTGCTCCCGAGTTGCGCGACATTGCGCCCGAAGTTGCGCCGAATTGCGCTCGAAACGCGGTGCGCATTTCGGGCCAAGCCGTCTTCAAAACTGTTCGTTTCCAATCGGGCAGAAAAAAGCGCTCGAACTCCGAAAGTGCAATTGAGCACTTTTTTCTGTATCAATTGGCCCTCCAGGATGTGTCCATTGAGTCAACGCCGGATGGGAAATTTGAAGTTCCCTCCACTTCGAGCATCCCAGTCTTGTGGGTACGCGAAGAGGCTTTCGGGAGGTCCTGCGATGATTGATTCCCTCTGCCAATTGCCCTGCCAATGAACATGGAACCTGACGGAAGGTTCCTGGAAGACCATTTTCCCTTTCAAGGGACCCCCTGTCAGGTTCCATGTTCATTGGAGGGTACTTGCCTGATTGCATTTCTTCGGGAATTGACCATACCTCCCTGCTAGGTGCCTGACAATTCGCCAAAAGAAGTGTGAGTGTGTCAGGACCCCCCCTGGGCAAAGGTTGATTCGGAAGTGTCTCAATTCAGACCATAAAAAGGTGGGTAGTATAGTCACAATAGAGGAACTCCCAAAATGGGAGGCTCCTTTTTGGCTTCCCTTTAAGGGAACAGCCCCAAAAAACGGCACCTTAAAATCACATCCCCTGTTTGGTTGACGCCTTTACCAAACCTTGGGATCCCGGAGGCCGATCACTCCCGCTTCTGCTTGTCCTGCTTGCCCGCTTCTGTAAAGGCAGAAGAGGTACTCAATCTAATTACCCTGTACGGGCAACCCATGATTTTTTCACCTGAGATAATGTTTGATCCGGGGGCGGCTCCAAAGGAATCCAACTCACTGTTGAGGAAGCACCCGCTACACCATGAGGTTGATCAATCCGCCGGCATTCGTATGGAACCGCCTCTGTTTCACATCTCCCGATTGGGTTTCGCGCTGATGTGCAGGGGAGAAGAAACCACACTAACTGTGGGCAAAACGGGGTCCACCTTGCTTGACAGGGATCCTTACATTATACACTTGAACATTGCCATGTAAATGGTGGTTTCCCTGTATTCCGGTGGAAAGCTCTGGGCCGCCGCACCATGGGTTGAGCTCTTGCGGACCATGGACCCATCCGTGGGAACTCGGCCTGAAACACGTGGCAAAACCATGGCTGTGTGTGTGTGTGTCTGTCTGTCGGTGTCTGTGTGTGTGTGTGTGGCGGTTGACGGAACTCCTTTTCGAGGTTGCATTGAAAGCAAGGAAAAGGACATGTGAGCTCCCTCATTTTAACACAAGCCTAAACGAGCTGGACCTGTGTGCCTGTTTTAACACGAATCTGGCATTGGGATACCCAGTCCTCAAGTTGCTGAATCCCTACCAGCATCACCCTATGCTTGCTTTGTGTTACAGATTCAAACCCCCAAGTACTTTCCAATGCTTCGAGTTCAGTGGTCGATGGGAAAAAGCAACATGGAGGTGTACACCTTTGGGGCGTGCCAAGATAGGACCAGACTCTCTACGGGGCATTGCGCCAGCAGACATTGCCCTTCACCGTCAACTAGTGCTGGTGGACGAAATCCACTTCTCACCAGCCGGGGGAGATAAACCCCTACAAGGAGTGATTGATCAGCCGCCAATCCCAAGTGGTGCAGGATATTGTCCATCCACAAGTCGTGGCAAAGGCGCGCAATTGGCCTACAGCTGTCTCTTGAGGACATGCAGCCCGCAGGAACGACCTGGGCATCATAAAACCGTTGTCCCACAACCAACTCCCCAAATGGCTGGAGTCCAAACAGGAAATAAGGTTCGCACTAAATCAGGATCTTCAAGGTGAAAGCCATGCCACGTGAACCAATTTACCCCCCCCCCAAAAAAAAAAGAAGAAACACATCGCTCCTAAAGGAAACCCACCTTGACCTTTGGACCCAAAACCCCCAAACGGACATGTGATCTTGGACCCATGCGCGTCTCACGGCCCCCTTGGGCCCAGGCTCATGCTGTCCCCGAAGCCTGCTCAGCCGTCCGTTTTTGTTTGTGTTTTTTCCCGGAGGAGGCAATGGGGTTGTCTTCAAGTAGGGGCCGGGAAAAATAGTTGGTCTCCCTTTGGCTTCCCTTTAAAGCCAACATAAGCCAACCAAAAGGGGGTACCCTCAAACAACAACATACCCATCTGGGTGTTTACTCCTTTAAGTGAGACGGAACCCAAACGAGGCTGCCGCAAAACGTAGACTACTCATTTAACACATCGTCTTTTTGTCTCCTATATTGCCGTTTGGCCGACTTGAAGATTCCTTCGCGGAAAGAACCACGGTTGCCAGGGGCGACCCTTTTGGCCCACCTTGAAACGGGTTCCAAGTCTGGCTCTCCAAATGTGGCAAGTAGATCTTACTACATGCAAAAACTAAAAAGCTACATCTCATGGACATGTAAATACAACCCATGACAACCCCTTGGACACAACCCCTTGGACCCAACCCCCTAAAGTATCTTCCATGGTGGGTAGGGGCGCATGTTTAGCGGACCTCAAAATAAGGCTCTGTCAAAACAAGTTGGGCTTGAGGACACGGCGGGGTTTGATGTTATTCCAAAGCGGCGGTCTTTGTTGACCGTCACTGCCACTCCAACACCCTTGCCACACACTTTTGGTTACAGGTCCGGACCTTCTGATCAAACTCCCACAAAAGAGAAAAAAAGACAACAAGAGGCAAGGAAAGGGAAAGGAGAGAACCGGAAAGAACAACATTATCACCACAGAATTGAATACCTCCCACCAACCAATGGGCTCAAGAGGCAAAACAGCTCCTGCCTGCATCCGACAAGGTATCTCTGGGCGACATCCCTGGCATGCGAAACTGTGCGCTTTCCGAGCAAGCCCACATGTCAAAACCACCGATATAGTCGTCGTTGGCCCCTGACGAATCGAGTGAACCCAGTTTTCGGGGCTCTCCTCCTTCGACATGATACACTTCAGGAACCTTCCTTTTCGGAAAGGTCCAGAAGCGCCGATAACTTTGTTCACAGCCTGGATCAACAGGATGATTTGGTTGGTCCCTTTTGTTTCCCAAGAGAGACTCTATCCGTTGACTGAGACGTTCAGGTGAGAGGAAACTGCAACCCACATCAAAGGAAAAGTGATGGGCACAAAGTTCACCAGTTTAGCTCCTCTCCAAGACCTCCGGCTCTTGATGTGACTCTCTCTCTCGCTCTCTCTCTCTCTTCCTGGACCCCCAATCGAAGTTTGTGCGGCTGCCGTTGTGCATACTCCATCGGGTCCACTTTGTAGATCAAAGGCTGGCGGGTTGTCCCAAATTCAAAGGTGGTCCTTTAAGCTTTTGAGCTTCCTCTTTTGGCATTGATCAATTTCTGTTGAGTCAGCAGTACCCCTCCAAAATTTCACAAGCCTCCAATTGCCCGCAACCGGGGAATCGACGAAGGTTGCATAGCAAAGGGACCGGTTAATTCACCTTGAAGCCGAAGAAGTCATCCAACATCCAAGCTGGTCAGTTGGCCCCACCACTCTAGGGCCCATGCGTGCACAAGTCTTTTAACATCCTCCCCGACCTCTAGTCGTCTATGTTTACGGGCCCAGTCGAAATGAGAAAAACAAATGGCTCCGCAGGTCTGGAATATCCTACCAAACAAAAAGCATAGGGCAACTGAGTGTTTGATCACAAGGTGGGAATCCCAATTCGACATGGGACGCTTTGGTGGACATCTGACTCATGGAAATCTCAGTCCAAGTGGAGCAAATATTGCCAAGACCTCCAGTGGCCCAGCGGTTCTTGACATGACACTCACTGCCATCTTGAGCAGAACATCGGATTTCAATTGCGAACAAGGCTTGAGCCTCTTGGAGATCGCAGAAAAGAAACGAAGGTGCTAATCGTTGGGAAATCATCGATTGGATTAGCTTCAGAGTGGTTCACTTTTTGTCGGGGGTTCTGGGGGATCACTTTGACATGCGGTCCCGCTCTGCTCCGCTGAGATGCGCTCCCTCGCTGCGCCGGCTCGTCCTTAAGTCAACCCATCTCAAGTGAGTGCTGAAAACCCATTGACTGCTGGGACTAAGATGGTAAAAGATTCATTTGGCCGTGGCTCAAAAAGATGTACCCAACATGGCCCCTAAGTAAATGGAAACAAAGACTAAACCCTGCGCAACCCTAGCTCTTAAATTTTGAGCCACACCCATTCCATCTTTGCTATCTGAATGAACCAGGTGGAACCACCTAACAGGGCCAGTCACGCACTGGGCAGATGGGGTTGGTGGTGGCTATAGATCCCTTAGGGAATTCGGACCACAACGCCATGACGCAGAAGTTTGCCTCGGGTGGTGAGTGCCTGTGTTTAAACCAGCTCCAAATGGGCACCATGCTGTCCACCAACGTGGAACCCGCCAGAGGCTCCCCTTGAAAGGACAATTTTCCTGACCAGGACCGCGCAGTCGAGGTCCATATTCGTGGACGGGAGGGTCGATATGGCTATGACATTTGAGAGTTGGAACCTCTAAAGTGGCGCTTGGACATGACTACATGCCCATGTGGGTTGGTCTACCCAATTCTGAGACCTCAAGGGTGGCATGAGCCGTGGTTTCCCTTTCACACCAAACGGGTACCGACTTGAGAGGGTGTAAGCCTGCAATCCTCACTGAAATAGGTTCTGAAATGGGTGGCGAATTCACCTACCAAAATGTGTTGACAAACCACAGCCATTTTCCCAGATGCCCTTGGGGACTGGCCTGCCAAATGGCCAATGGACCTGATGGTCCCTAAAGCCTTGGGCCCATGGGAGTCCATTCTTTCTTTCGCCCAGAGCTTCAAGTTGAAAACCCATCGGGTTGTGTGCTATCTTTTTTTTAAAGGGAAACCACCAGGAAAACCTCAAAAGGGGCGTTTGTTTTTGTTCCTTGAGGTTTAAGGGACACCACTAGGAAAACCACCATTATTATTCTCTCAAAAGGCGAAACCTGGTTGCAACTCTGCAAGCTGTTGCAATTGGAAAGCTCTTCGACCGACTTTTTCCGGGGTAGAAAATTGGTCAATGGGACGCCAAAAAAACGCCACCCCGCTGTCAGGGGTAAGCCACTGATAGGACTTTAAACAGGGGACCGGATTTCCCCAAATCAAAGTTGATCAATTTCCCAGTGGTTTCCCTTGAAACTGCCAATGTTGCAGTCCTTTGGAAATATTCCTTTTGCATGCACCGTGCTGAAAAAACACATGGTATTTCCTTGTCCTGATCATGTCTTTTTACAACCAAACAAACACACAAACAAACAAACAAACAAAAACAAAAACAAGCCAACAAGCAAGCAAGCAAGCAAGCAAGCAAGCAAGCAAGCAAGCAAGCAAGCAAGCAAGCAAGCAAGCAAGCAAGCAAGCAAGCAAGCCAGCCAGCCAGCCAGCCAGCCAGCCAGCAGGCAAGCAGGCAAGCAGGCAAGCAGGCAAGCAGGCAAGCAGGCAAGCAGGCAAGCAGGCCAGCAGGCCAGCAGGCCAGCAGGCAAGCAGGCAAGCAGGCAAGCAGGCAAGCAGGCAAGCAGGCAAGCAGGCAAGCAGGCAAGCAGGCAAGCAGGCAAGCAGGCAAGCAGGCAGGCAAGCAGGCAAGCAGGCAAGCAGGCAAGCAAGCAAGCAAGCAAGCAGGGATATGTTTTTTCTCAAACAGCGAATGGAAGGAAAGTGCCAAGACGAATTCCCCCTCTGTAAGCCTTGGGAGTATATCCTGCACCAATTTCAAGCAGCGGATGCGGAAAAGTTCAAACTGCTACTTTTTCTGTATCCTGGTCTTAAAGAGGCATTTCATCCACCGGCATCCTCCAGTAACGCTGTTTCTCATGTTCAATGCCTTCTTTATTCTTCGGGCCTTGAAATGTAAACCCCGCATTAGTTCACCCCAATTCATCAATAGGGGCGCTCCCCTCCAAAGTGATGATTCCAAACCAAGCGCAGGGACACCCTGGGGACAAACAAGCCAGGGCTGACTAGTCCGGGGTTCCCGCTTTGGAAACAAGCAGTTCGGGGAAGTCCGTTACGAGTAAAGGCTGATGCATCCAGGCCAACCAAAGATTGAAATACCCAACCATTCCACCTGAGCTCAAGTCCGGGGTGGACGCCCCGAAATCGAAGGCGTGGGAATGAACCAGATCGCCTGGGGTGATTTATGGGGGTCATTCCCCCTTTCCCTGAGAACCGGCTCCCTGGGCGAGCCCGGCGTGCTGTTCACCGACATGTTGGGCCGGAAGGGTGGCATCTGCGCGAAGCTCCCGATGTTGAAACACACGGAAAACTTGGGCGAAAATAGGGGCAGGCTCTGTTTTGAGGATACCCTTCAACCCTGCCTTCCAAGAGAACAGGGTTTCAAGGGGAGGCTTGCGCACTTCCATGCACTTGTAAGGCTGAATAGCCTCATTGAAGCCATATTACGGCTGCAGAAGGCTACAAGGGGGGAACCTCCAGTACGGCTAGGGTAAACCACAAGGGCAAGTATCACTGATAGTATCACCAGTGCCAGAGTCCACTGGCCATGGCAAGACCAAAACATGTACGGTGAAAAACGTCCATGGAGCACGTTCAGGTTCATGGCAGGCCCTGGCAGGCTTTGACTCTTCCAATTGTAGATGGGACGTGTCCGGTGCTTTCAGTGCGGCACGGCTCACATTGGGAACGGCGTCGGCCGCTATACTCCCTGAGCCCAACTGCCCATGTTGTGGTGTCTTGCCCATGTTGTGGTGCCGTTTGCTGACAAAGCGGCCTCCATGAGTCATCTTCTCAGCTGCCCCATGATTCATCGGCATCCCAGCCATCAGCAATCATATTGGGCCTCACCATCAACATCTTTAAGGAATTTCAAGGAGTAGATCGTCATGAGCAGAGAGTCTGACAGCGCAATGCGCATGGCCGTCCCGACAACCGGAGCTGGTTGTGGCACCCATGTCTCACCAGTTGGGGATGGCGACTCACGCTTCAATTGCTGCGTGTGAGATTAAACAGTTGTGCATCTGGCTGACCCTGGGGTGGCCAGGGACCCGAATGCAGACACCAGGACATCTTTTTCGCCCTTGAGGGTGCAACCACCTGTTCATGAACATGATCTTGCCAGGTCCTTCTTGGCAATCCCTTTATGGTTGAGCATTGAGAATCAGGCCAAGGCCTGCTTTTTTAGAGTCCTGGAGGATCAAGGCAAGTGGACACCCTTACAGTTTTGATTTACACACATCGCAACAACAGCAAGTTTTGCACTTCTCCGCAAGGCGAACATGTGTCTAAACAAGCCGGCCTAATCCCTGTGAACAGGAACTAACGACTTGATTGCTGTTGACCCCTTTGCAAAAGGTTTTTGAACTTTTTGTGGGTGCAATTCGGACATCCGACCTGTGTCAACCAAAAAGTTAAAGTCACATTTGTTACCAAATAATTAGCCATAACGAGCTCAAGAGGTTGCCTCAACCCACAATGTGCTCAACCACGGTGGTGTGCTCACCCTGCTTCGCAATCTGGCACGCCCGTTGATTTGCTGGTGGATAAGCTGATCTCTGCACAAGTTAGGTTCTGTTACCAGAACAAGTCCAAACTTTCTGTTTGACACTCAAATGTCTTTTCTAAAACTGAATAATGAACGTGGAATTCAGGAAGTGAGACCTTAGCCCAGTTTCGTTCGCCCGCTAAACCTCCCAAATGGGTGTTCTATGTTCGGAAACGAAAGGACAACGACCACTTTTTGGGGGGGTCCCTTACAAAAAGACACCCCCAAATGCAATCTGCCGCCATCTGCATTTCTTCACCCGAACCAGACCCCAAAGGGTCCGACTGGGCATCCCGGGCCGGCACACTCTGCTTGGCCTCCTCCCTCCGGCGACGCCTGGATCGAATCGTCTTGTTGACGCCCACTGAAGCTTCACCGAGACTGCACACCCAAAATGGGCGTATGTATCAAAATAAGGGAACCCACATCATAAGGGTGTCTGTGTGTCTGTGCAAAAATAAGGGGATCTGGAGAAGAAAAATGTATTTGTCCAATTTGGCCTCCTGTGAAGACCACCCAAAAAGGGTAGCCCCAAGGAAGACACATCATGACACTTCAGATCCACTGACGGGGGCCTAAAAGTCGCTACTAAGACTGTTGGAGGCCATGAAGCAAGGGCCATCATCTTCCCGTGGCAACCTTTGTTGCGGCTCCAAGTCAGCGTTCGAACACCGGTGGAACCCAAACTGTTGAGGAAACCCATGATGAGAATTCAGTGTTAGTGGCCACGGACCCCCCCCCCAATGGACAAACTTGGGCCTGGGGTTCAGCCACTCTCCATACATTATGACTCATGACCCTATCCAGGTTCTGGGAGAGACTGTCTGAAGAATGAGTATTCATTGATATTCATTGGGGATATGTCCCGCCCCCTCCATATTATATTACGTAGCGAGTGGAAAATCTCAGGTGCGTCCTCTTACCATCATGCCAGGGGAACCCAAGAACCCTTTCTAGCTCCTTCAGAGAACCCTGATGTAAATTACCACTATCAGCTCAAAGGAGGCTTTGCATGTAGGCTGCAGCAGGGTATCTAGAGTTCACGTGCTAGATGGAAACTCTGGCGCCCTACTAGAATCACCGGGTAAGTTGTTTGGGCACTTTATGAACATAATAAGAATGCCCAAAAACAGGAGGGAATCACGTGTTTCTCACCTTGGAAAAATGCAACTATATTTATGTATATATATATATACATATATGTGGTCAAAGAAAAAGAGACTGTGTATCGTAGAGGCGCAGTCCCGTCCCACACTGGGGGTTGGCATGTATCAAGAACTCCAACCATTGGGTAACCATTTGAAACTTACTGGATTGAGCGCCTGTGCCCCAAAGAAAAACACCATTCTCAAATAAGCCGGGTTGAACACTGCAAATCCCTCCACAGTAGGCAAACGGATCTTATCAGGAAATGGGATGCTTTCCAGTGAATCTTGGAGCATCTCACCAACATAATTTATCTTTGTCAACTCTGGCAATTTGGACGGGTGCATATTCACCCGCTTTGGCTGAACATGCTTCCGGTTTTCATCAACTGTCTGATAACATCTAGCAAGCAAAGGGCTCGGTTCTCCCTAAAATTGATGGCTAAACTGCCACATTCAAAGGGCTGGGTCAACCACTGGTTTAAACACATCTCAAGTTTCTGCCACTGGTTACTTTTAGGGCAAGGGTCTGGCTGACACAAACAGAAGCCCAAGCCATCCCCAGCACGGCCCGAAGCTGACCTGTCGAAGCTGTCCCGGTAAAGGCGCTCGTTGATAGACTCATGTGGCTGGAACCCGTCCGGATACCTGGCTGGACGAGTGTCATCTTGCCAAAACACGGCGCGGTTTCCCAAAAATTGGTAGAGGACCTTTACCACATCAGCGGCGATTGCAAGCCCATGCGCAAAGGTTCCTTTTCAGATGTGTGTTGTCAAGAATACGGCTCATATTGTCCTGTGCTGCCTGTCTGGTGCTCCCAAAATGGTTAGTAGGTCTGAGGTGAACTGGGACTCCTGGACTCCTGGAAAGCACCACTCATACAGTGCCTCACACGCTGATTTGGCGACACATGCACTGAATGGGTTCGAAGAAATAGGCTGCGTTCGAATGCCACATCACGACGATCCTTTGGTGTAAGCGATCGGAACCTGTTTGGGTATGTGTCAAAATGCGGGCACCAAACAAATGATGTTCCTTTTGGTTTCCCATGAAACCAACCCCTTGATTCGGGGTGCCCTCAACAAAAGCACACACACACACAATTTAGTAGAAACCAATACACATAATATATATATATATATGAGATAGATAGATATATGTACATGTATATTGTATATATGCATATGCATATGGGGCCCGCTAAAGTGGAGAGCAAAAACGGGCGCAAAGCCTTGAGCTGGCCTCGCCAACGGCAGTTGCGGCTCGAAAGTGCACCTCAGGCGAGGTTGAGGCCATGGAATTTTCAGGTGGAGCAGCGAGACGGACCGGCAGCCGTGTGTCTCTCACGTTTTTGGGCTTCATGGAGGATGTGTCTCTCTTTTTTTTCATTTGGCTTCATGGAGGGTGTTTCTCTCTTTTTTTTTGTTGGGCTTCATGGAAGGTGTTTCCTTTTCTTTTTTAGGGCTTCAATCAGGGTTGTTTCTCAGTTTTGATTGGCTTCAGCTGTGACTGAGGGTGTTTCGCAATTGCACGTAGGGAGAAAACCAACTAGGAAACCAACTAGGGGTTCAACTAGGAGGATGTTGACCCCTTTTTTTCGGCGGTTGGTGAATCGCTTTGGTTTTCCGGAATACCGTCTACAGTTCCTATGGTTCTCGAAACCCCCGTAAAGAGAAGACGCTAGTCATAACTCGACTGCCTGGTGTAGAAAAAGGACACCCTTCTGGGGACCGTTTTTAGCAAAGAACCCAAACAATCCGGGGTGGTTGGAAGTTGAACAATTGTAGACTTTGGTTACCTGTTGGGCCCTTGTCTCAAACTGCTCAAACAAACAACCAAGAGGTGGGAATCAGTAGATGTCCGACTCAGACGTTCAACCCTAAACGACTTGAGTCTTTCCTTTACAAGACTCCCCTACAGCTTAACACGGAACTCCAAAACCCCACATCTTTCGAGGAATCTCCTGCGGGCTCCTTTTTTGGACAAGCCTCCCGTGAAGTTGCAGCAGCCCCGATCACTTTAAGACCCGCGAAAGAAGTGCAAAACCTCCCATGCCGCCATGGGACCTTCGGGCTCGGCTCGTGGCATTTTTCCAAGCCCATCCACGTTGCCATGGAACCCGAGGTTTCGGGGTCCTGGAAGACGATGTGCCGACAAAAAATTGAGGCCCTCTGGTGAAACGAGTCCATGGCGGGGGCGGTAGAACATTTCGGCTCATTCTTTGCATTTCAGCTCCCACGTGTCTGACCTGGGGCTCCGCACATCTGGGCCTCTTTGGCTTGCTCCACCAGCAGCCCCAGCTCTGCATAGACCCGGCGCCTCAGACGGGAGGAAATTCTGGGACCAGACGCCCACAGCTCAGCTTCCGTGGTTTGGACGGGTGGTTGAGGGCAGTTTCCCCACCAGGGATTCAAATCCCAACTTAAACCATCAAGTAGGGGTGCCTAAACAGTTGGGATTGGTGGTTCATCAAGAGATATCACAATAGGTGTTCATCCAGCATACTGTCCGTCACTTCCACGGGCGGTCCATTGGCCTGAACCGCGCCCCATGTCCTACAACCATGACTGGGTCCAGGCTGGGGCAACCGTTTCAAAGCAACTGCTCTGGTCCGCTTTCAACGGAAAACGAAAGGAGGCATTTCAAACCACCATGGTTCCAACACGTTTCAACGAGGAAACCTGGTTCAAAGAGATAATTGGAGGGGGGGAGAGGAGGATACGAGAATGGTGACCAAATCCGAAAAGCAACAAACAAACGGGGGCACGAACCGGGGGCCCCGACCTTCGGAGAGACTAGGTGTTGAGTCCGGGCTGTGGACATCGGTTTGGAGCCAGGTGCGTGAGCCGTTTCAGGGCTTCAAATCAGTCCCAAACCATGAAGGGCTACCTGACCGAGAGATCTCCAAAAATAACACGTTTCTCAAAATGGTGTGTGGACACCCAGGTCTGGAAACTCCTCCCCACCTACGTCCCAGGTCTATTCTTAGAGTAGCCCAAACCGTTGAAGTCACATGAGTCACAATCAAAACCCGGTACACAAATGGTGCACCCAGAGCCATGTAAAGAATTAAGAAGGCGGCCGCAGCTATTTATGGTTGGGATCGTCCCTTACATCTACCCGGGTTTTGATTGTGGCTCACATCTCCTCTCAAGGGCCCAACGCTTCAACGTCTTGCCCGCTGGCGGGCTCTTACCCCCCACCCCACCCCGCCCGCTTGAGGCTTTTAGGTCCTGGAAACACAGGCTTTGGAGACATATCTGGACCCTTGCTGCAGGGTACCAAGTAAAAAAAAGTAAAAAAGTGGGTCTTTCCGAAAGTGGGCGCGCATAGATCTGGACGCTGAGAGAATCAAGGTGAAATCTTGCTGTCCTCAGCACGGGCGAATCAATCGCCGAGTCGAAAAGCCTCAAAGCTTCTATCACTGCGCGCTCGCTAAGTCCCCAGCCTGATGCGAGCGTCCTTCCCGTTTTTGTACCTCAAGCGTGCTTGAGGCAAAAAAACACTACGTGACCCTCGTGGTTCGGTTCGCACCCCTTTGCAATCATGGAAGCTGATTGCAGGGTTTCGGAAGACCTCCTGTCCACTTACATGATTGTTGAGAAGCGCGCAGAATGCGCTGGAGGCCCTTGAAGGGCCTTGCCAGGAAGTCACTCTGCCAAATCGTGGTTGGTACATCCCTCAACGAATTTCCTGCCGAGCATCCCTTCCCGGGCATGGGGATCTTGCCTGCACATAATATATACATATATATATATATATATATCCAGATTACAGCGGTTATCTTGCCAATACTCGGGTGGCGCTTTTTCTGTGAGAGTATCCTTCTGGGGGTCATTGGTCACTCCTTTTGGAAGGCTTTGACGTCCATTAAAGTATCCTCAAAACTTGATCATGAGCTAATCTGTGGTTTGAAGGGGACCCACATAATTTTGAGGAAACAACCTCGTTGCCAGGGACTGATTCTTATACAGACTTGTACGTATTTGGACCCTGCTCATCCTTTGTTTCTAGTTTGGGCTGGTTTGGAAGTTCATGGGCCGGCGCCCTCAATTGACTCTAAAAAACTATGAACCAATTTGAACCACCAATTGAGGGCTAGAGACTCTTGAGACTCTTTGAGCTCCCGATTTGTTTCGAGAAACGTGAAAAACCGGAAACTGCCGCCACACCGGGGGTGGCGCAGGCGGTCGAAGATCTCGCGGGCTTTATCCTGGCATAGAGAACCACTTCGATTGGGATGTGTCCCGTTCAAGGGTTCAACACAAAAACCAACCAGTCATTGGAGGGGCCTGGGTTTTGCCTCTCCTTGTGTCTGTGAGTTTGCTTGTCTCGATGTCTGTCTGTCCCGTCTCTCTCTCTCCCTCTTCCCCTCTTTCTGTCCCCGTCTTCTCTGTTTGGTTCTGTTTGTCTTTGTTCTAGGGGTTGATTCCCCATTTTTTTCAAGCAGCGCTCTTTTCAAGAACCAGCTGTTTCCCTGGGGTTCTAATGGTTTTCTGGAAATAAGGATCCCTGGAAATAATGGGGACGTGTCCCCTGGATTTGTTCGTCTGCTGGAAACAACAGCCATTCCCTTGCCGCTCAGGACTCTTCCAGGCCAACCCCGCGCAGGGCCACCGAAGTCGCACGGCCTCCCTTGGCTTTCATAAGCCCAAAACGGGCAACTGAAAAGCGAGCCCTCGATCCATCAATTCGCTTCCTATAAATAAATGCTTCTCCCCCGATCCTACTAAACTTAAACCTTAAACCAGCTAGTTTCCCGCTGACCTGAACTCCGGCCGTACTATTCGGGAACGCCTTTCAGCGAATACTAATCCAATACGAAACCGATACTATACAATCTGTAAGCGAATTCGAAACCAGCGCACATTCGAAACATGACTCTGATTTATGTGCTCTTTAAAAAGCTTACCTGCAAATTGGCATGTTGAACATTTGTTTAGCCTGGAAAGGATCTCCTTTGGACGAGGACATAGCGGAAAACCCTTTTTTAATAATATATACATATACTTGTGTATTTCTATCTATATTGGTGAAAAAGCCATGTTTCAAATGGGCAAAATGTATCTTTTAAGGAGCCCTGGATGAAAACCGCCCTGAAGAAACTTGAGAATCCCTCTGACCCACCCAGGTTGAAACACATGCCTTGTGTCGTGCCTCCGACACTCGCGGCGACTGCTTCACAAAGTTCCCAATATCCTGCGGGCGTATGGAGCCGCCAATCTCGAGCTCCAGTTACTGTAGCAATGGATTCCCCCGGTTAAGTAAGCATAATGATTATACAGAAGGAACTATACAGTAAGAATCTCTTGACTGCAGGTTTTACCTACTATGGCAACTGGAAGCAATGGCTCTTTGAACACACACACACACACACACTCTAATGCTGAAGCATCCTGCTGGTTTTCTGCACCGGAGAATTGCAGTGGTTCAATGGGTCCAGGAGCCACCCTGGAAGAAAAAAGACATCCACCCGCGTGCAACAAAACAAGGGTTTTCTACATCACATGACCTTGGAGTTTCTATCATAGCCGATTGCGCATGTGAGCAACAAACACAACAAACAATATGCCCCCGGTATCAAGTGTTGATGGTCCCCTATCAAGTTTGCAGATTGCGGGTATCCTTTTTCAAAGCTCCCCCGATTGATTTCTAGTTAACGAGTGTTGCCGGGCATTCATATACGTATAGGTGGTTCAAGGACGATGCTAGTTGCCAAGGATCTCCCCATTTCCAGTCTTCTGGGCGAGCGTGTCCTTTTGTTTGACGCTTTACTGTTTCCCCCCAGACCTGTGGAAAATGACCTCTTCTGTGATACAAGCCCAAAGACTAACCCGCCATAAAGGGAGATCCTTGTAGCACAGAAGTGCTTGGATAAACCCCGAGTCATCCCACGACTCTGTTCCCCCCCGGGCCCGCGGAAGGCCTTTGATCCCGACTTCACCTCCGTTTCGGTACCCTCTGATGGCCCACAGAATCTCATAAGGTCATATATCCAATATGCCTCTCGTTCTCGTGTCCACAAACTTTGGCGGATCTTCCATTTCAAACTAAGAAATTCAAGCAGGATCCTGACTTTCAAGTCTTTTTCAGACCAAGATAGAGTTTCCTCAGCGCTGAAGAGTTTAGCTAACCACAGATCATCTAAGAGCACGGCCTACCTGGAACCGTACCGCACCTCCCCGCGCGTGGCGACATCTGCCTGATGCGCCTGGCGTGAGAAATCCACGAACCTCCCCCACGAGCGCCTGCTGTCCCCATCCCGGAAGGGTCCCCGGTACCCTAGGACCCTTGTTAACAAATGCGCGGGGGTATCATACCCAGAGGGTCCAAGTACCTTCTAAGGAGGTACTCAGACCCCTTTTTACACCCCAGAAGCCATCCTCAGGAGGTACTTGTACCCTCTGGGATAGGGATATACAGCCGCTCTATATATTTTCTATATATATATAGCCACCATACCGCTTTTTTCGACGTGAGGAATTGCTTGGACCCCATTGCCATACCTCCCCCTTGGTACAGAGACACACTTTGGGAAAGGAGGGAATGACATTGGCCATGGGAGAATTCACCCCGCTTGGTTCTTGCCCCTTCAAGAAACTTCTGCAATGTTTTCCTTTGCCCAGGGATTCGGGGAACCAACGCTCATGGGCTCTCCAACGGAGGGTCCCCCTGACACCGCGCCTTCAAATCGCTTCTTTTCGGACGGGGGCAGAAGTCGTGAGCCCTCGCAAGCATGTTTTTTTTGTTGAGAGGGTCTTTCTGCTTGTCTGCAGGAGTGTTGTCTGACCCGCACATTTCAAAGCCCTTCGCTTCCTCATGAAACCAAACGATTAGGCTTCCCCACCCGAGAAAGCTCCGACAGTGGGCCATAGCTCACAAAACTTCGGAAGACTTTCGCACGCAAACAGGGCTCCCTACAGTTCCCTTTTGATGGTTTAATCAAACATCATCTTTTCGGCCCAAGATGAGTTTCGGACACATGGGGCTCCCTACAACCCCCCCCCCCAAAACAAAAAACGAAGAAGTGTTGTCCCCTTTGGCTTCTCTTTAAAACCACCCCAAGGGCACTGAGTCGATCCTGAAAAGACGCAAACAAAAAACAAACCAACCAACCAACCAACCAAACAAACAAACAAACCAACCAACAAACAAACAAACAACCACACACACACACACACAAACACACCCTTTCAAAGGTTCGGAGCAAGCTTGCCCAGCCCGCTCCATTCAGTGCCCAATGCTCCCCTCTCGATAGGGCCTCCAAGAGTGCGTCCAGGTATCCGGACGCATCCGTTGACTCTGCCAATGGGCCTGCGCACTCGACTCGTCAACTTGGAGTCTGCCCACAGCGTAAAGAGCCGAAGTCATGCGTCTGCTTTTCGTGAGGGTGCCCTTTTGTTGGTTGATGTTAAAGGAACACCAAAAGGAAAACCACCATTTTGAGGGGGCCCCGAAAAGAAGAAAGACCTTCACAATCAATGTCTGTTGGCTTGAAGGGAGCCACGGGCCCCGCAACCTGACTTTGTCCCCTTTCGAAAAACAAAACAGGTATAAGCCGCAAAATCTTAGCTGAGCCTCAATCAAAACCTCAGAATAGGGGCAGGGGCAGGCCCAACCATAAATCGGTGCGGATGTCCCTGATTCTTTGTGGGTGGATGATTGAACTCCTGTACCTGTGCATAAAATATGTCCTGTTGGGGTTGAACCTGAACGGTGCAAACGAACCGCTCCTCCGAAGGACACCTGGGCTTTGTTGGCGCCCATGTTTGCCACGGCGATGCGCGCCATCTGGCGATCGAGCGCACATCGGGGATTGGGCGGAGGCAGGTAGGGGTGCTGAGCAAGGATCCATGGTTTTGGCAAGTCTACAGCAATTTTTGCCGCAACGAAAACAAAAACACAAATCGGTCTGCTGCAGATCGAGTCAACCTTAACACGTACAATCATTTCACGCAAGCTCCCAAAAGTGAGGCTCCATCAACAGCTTGCGTGCAGAAAAGGCATGCAAGCATACCTGGGTTGCTCAAGCTGTGTTGCGTAATGCATATCTGTGGTGGGACCTGCACCAAGAGAAACCACTTCCATCCGGTAGTTGAATGTGGTAGACCCATAACCCAGAAAATGAACCCCCTACCATCCTCCCACAGCATACGTCATTTGGGGATACATTGGATGCTCAAGCAACATTACGTAGGCGCTCATCAGGGCTTTCCCACTGGAACAACGGAATGGGCTGAGCTATGCAAACAATCAGCACAAGCAGTGCAGCAGCAGCAGCCGCGGCAGCAGCAGCAACAGCAGCAGCAGCAGCAGAGAATCTGTATGATCTGTGGCGCCATGGAATTTGCAATGCAAGAGCTGCGCAATACCAATGTATGAAGGTGCCGAGGCCATCGCTTTGCTGGAACCATCACAAACGCTTCGACTGAGTTTGAGATGGTTTGCACGCGTTCGCCAGTGTACAACTTCCCTCTCTGTCTCTGTCTCTCTCTCTCTCTCTATACAATAATTACGTACATATCTCTACACTGTGTCCTTCTCTTTTCGGCAGCCAAAGATTGAGAGCCTCAACAGTGCTTCTTGCGAGACACAGCCCCATCCAAGCCAGTGCTTGGCTTCATCTTGGCTCCACTGAGTTCTTGGTGCCCGAGAAAGGAGCGAACGCTGGTCTTGGCAAAAATGTTGAAACCCACAAGTAAAAAAGGACCGCCGACTCAGCGGGTAGGGTCCAACCAACTGGGGCCGGACTTCAGGTAACGGCAACTCAAGCCACTTGCATGCGCTTTCGTCTTTCTTGGGGCTACTATGAGAGAAGGACTTAAATAACTAGAATGGGGTTGCGCTCACAGTTTTTATTTTTGACAGGAGCAACTCGATTCGTCCTCTTGGGGTTGCTAAGAAAGAAAACCCGAAGGATCACCGCCAATTTTGGGAGGCGCTCCAAGCAAATCCCGGGTTGGTCTCTCAACCACGCAACTGGGGACCGGCCATATGTCAAACGAATGGGTCATTGGGAAAGCCCCTGTTTTCCAAGAGAATCCCTTCTTCGGTCATGTAGAAAGTGTCAAATTTGGGGGCTTTCAAAATTCCCGACGCCTTTACGGCCCAAAAGTTCGAAATCTGCCAACTGAGAAGGCAAAACAGGGGTCCCTATACTTCCCTCAAAGCATCACCCCTGACAAGGAGAAACTGAAATGGGCCCAAATTGGGGGTACACGAATCAGATTCATGTTCGGTCTACCCCAAAACATATAACATACCCAGTGCTTCCAGGCGTTCCGCCCCTATAGGCTGCTTCAGGAACCGTTTATAAATTTTGTTAACCCCAGGTTCTACAGGATAGTTTCCCCTGGTTAGAATGATAACTGAGAGTTCTTCCCTTCTTTCGAGGCTGGCTGCCGCTTTTTGGTGTCTTTTTGTTTCTTAGAAGGTCCAAGTACCTTGTAAGGATGGCTCCTGGGGGGGAAAAAGGGGTCTAAGTAGCGAGAAGGTACCAAGGGACCCTGGGTTTGGGAGACCAACCGGAAACCCGCTGCGCGCCAGGGGGGGGGGGTCCGATTCCTCGCGAGCCGCAGGCCGGCGGCCTGCTCCGAGGGCGGAGTGGCAGGCGCCGTGAGGCGCCGGAACACCTGCGACTCCGAGGTCCGATCGTCCGATCGTCCGAGTTCGCCGAATCGGGGGGCGGTGGGACGGGGTGGGGGATGGGGGCGGACGTTGGAAGCAACAACTTGAGCCAAAAACAGCAGAAAAGCTCGGAATCTGATTCTTTTCTTTTGAGTTGCCAGGGAGGGCAGTTGTTTGTTCTTGCCGCTGAAGCAGGTTGTCACGCTTGACATATAAGGGCTCTCTCCCTCTCTCTCTCTCTCTCTCTTTCTCTAGGTTGACGTGGAAGAAGGGCAATGGCGGAGCAATGGGGACACTGCATGGGAAGGTGAAACAGCCTCCCCGGACTGGCCTCAGGGGGAACTATTTTGCCACTTCGGTAGGCTTCGCAACACGCTTAAACCACTCTTGTTTCAACCTCCTGTCAGTTTCCCCTTAAAGGTGGCCAGGCAAAAGAGCGCCTTTAAGCTTCCACCAAGGCACAAAGGCCACCAAGCAAGCCTCAAGGCTAAGCACTCAGAACAAATACATGCTCAGAAACCCAGGCGTCCCTTGTGGAGAAGATGGATTGGAACTGAAACCAATCTATGTTCAACCAAGCAGCGCTAAACAGACACTTATTTTCCTTTGGAACCTTTCTTTTAAGAGTCACCGCCTTTTTTGGGTCAAAAGGTTGCGGAGCCCAAACTGCAACTCGACGGCTCGAAACAGTCCGTTGTCTTTTTCGCAAGTCGAATGGCTGGACTTGAATCGCCGGATTTCCTTTTGGGGGGAACTCATCCAGTTCTTGCTTCTTGCAGAACAAGCTCACCCTTGTTGTTGCCAAACTCAGGCTGGTGTGGCCGCGTTGCGTGAATGAAAAAGACCAACATGAACTTGTTGCGGAGCTCGGTAAGTGAGTACATACTGCCTTCAAGCGACCAGGTAATCAGCACGTGCCATTGGCTTGTGGGGGCATACTTGGCTCTTGTAGGCCTACCCGGTGGCAAATGCAAACAACTTTACAATATATTGCGTATACGAATTGAGATTCGGGACTTGTTGGTGGACATGATCTACATAAGGGTTTGTGCAAGCATTTTGAGTCGGCCTTCCCCGGTTCCTTTTGCAAGAACCTCAAACCGGCCGCCCAAGACAGGGGAACCGAACCCTGGAGCGTGGCATGGGCACCGATCCTTGCCTGAGGCATCTTGCCGTCCCGCGGGGAACGGGGCGATTGGTCCTGGCTCTCCGAGTTCGACATGCCGTTTAAGCTGTCCCCCACTCCAGGATTTTTTTGGGGGTCCATCTTTTTGGAACCCCTTGTTAGAAGGGACAAAGAAACGATCGTGCGCGTCCTCTAAAACGACCCCACACAGTTTGAACCGTGGTTCCTATGCTAAATGCAGTGCTTTCTAATAAGCGATTAACATGATACCCCAAAAAATGGTGGGTATTTGCAGGGGGTGTGTCCAGAAAAGGGATTCCTCGAGACCAGAGCCTGGGATGTTGAGGGACCCGACACCTTGGAGTGGGTTCCCGAGCGAGGCTCCAATGGGCAACTGGCCCTTGTGACCAGGGAGTTGAAGTCTTCGCACTCGTAACGTTCCAACAAGCCAAACAAACATGCGACACAGCATCCCATCCCATTTCTCACAGAAAGTGGGATATCAAAGGTCCCTTGTCCATGGGTGGCGGTGCAGCAACAGTGCAAAACTCCCGATTGGCACGGACTGACAATGCAGCAATGCTCCAACACCTGTGAACCGTTGTGCCCTGATTTAGTAAACTTTCCAACATTGAGGAGAGTCTGATGTCGGTGAGGATTCCTTTCTGCCGAGCACCCGCTCAAGTCAAGGAAGAGCTGAGTGTTGTGCTGTCAAAATTGAAGCAAGCTTCTGAAGATTCTAGGATCCGTTCGGTGTCATATGCACCGTGCATTTGGTGACAGAATCAGGCTCACAAAAACTGAAGGGGATTCACAAGACTATGACACTGTGACCCCAGAACAGTGCTCCGTTTTCAAGCCGGCACAAAAAAGACACTCTTCGGACACGTGGCCGCAATTCCTTTCGGCACTCGCAATTCGATATGAGGGACCTGGCAGGGGATCCCAAGCTGCGTTCCCCAAGAGCCAGGCCCGTGAAGTGGGGGACCCGAGCATCAAACTCCATGGGATCGGTTCCAACTCTTCCAATTCTCTCGACTCGACCCCCAGCGAACGTCTCTCGAGCCCGCGCCCACGTTTTTTTTTGCGCCTGGAGGCCGGCCCGCCTTGGAGAACGGAAGGCAAGCAGAGGTCTCCGGATGAGGGGCATCATCTGGAAAAAGTACTTGTGCATCTCCACATCTGGACAATACTCTCCATCTTTCCAGCTGGGAAAAAGTACTTGTGCATAACCCGCCATCTACTAGCCCACATCTAGGGCACTCGGAACAAAATGCATTTAGATTCCTCTCGTTCCATTAAAAGTATGACATAGTGATAGAGAAGACCCCAGATCCGAGTTCCATGGATGCCTCTGCCAAATCCGAAAGACATGTCTGGCATCTGCTTTCACCCTCTGGCAAGGGCGAGGGTGTCTTCTTTTGAGGGTGCCTCTTCTGGGGTGGTTCTACGATGAAGCCAAACCCCCCCCCCCCCATATCTCTTTTGTTGTAGGTCCCCAAAAAAGCGGCACACCCCCAGAATGGAACCCCTGAAAAGGGGGCAACCGCCGACTCGGTTTAACCCAAGTCCTGAGGTGAGGGCTCTTGCAGAAACTTCAGATACTCCGCCTGGTGCTGCTCCTGCCGCCAGCTGAGACGCATGCGTCCGAGTCTGTGAGGTGGTAGCCCCCTAAGGGTCTTGAACCCCAGGCCTCAAATATTGAGGTCTTAAACTCCTAGGGTATGTTAAAGGAAGACGAAAGGGGCACCATCCGTTTTGGGGGTCGGGTGTAAGACACCTCAAGTGGGTCTCGAAATTGGGCGGTTTCCCCAACTTCAAATAGGCTGTCCCTCCATTGGTGCAACAAACGGGTGGGCCCTGGTTTCTTTGTGGTCTCCCTAAAAAGGAGACATGGTGTCCCACTGTGTGATGCGCTTCAAACTGGCTGGTCCCTTTGGTTTCCCTTGAAACAGCCCCAGAAAGAACTGGAATCCTGAAGAAACCGCACACCCAACTGGCCCCAGAAAGGAACCTCAGTCCATCATGCCCCAGAACCTTCTTTGGACCCTTTGCGAGGAGCAATCTGCCCACAGAATTTGGCAAACGTGTGGGTGAGGTGTTTTTCGGGGCACCATCAAACACATCACACGTGGTGTCCTAGTTTAGCACCCAACCCCACTCCCCATTCGAGCCACTCATTCCTCTCGTGCCCCGTGGAAAAAATGCGGGTTAACCTCATTTTTTTCACTTGCGCCCAATGTCTCGGAGTCTTTGAGTTATCCTCTCACCAACGATCCCGCGATCGCACGACTCAGGCGAGGGCAGCCTCACCCATTGGGGTCTGTGCACTTCTATGTTCCTTTGCAGGAGGGCCCGGATTGTTAGCAAGTGCAAGGCGCGCTCAAAATTGCCCGATTCCATCAAAGGACGTGTAACAGTTAGGGTGCGCCCCCTAGTTTGGGTAAGAAACTTAAGGAGCTCCTCTTATCCTCCCCAAAATTGCCAGCACTTACCAAAATGAGTCCCCCCACCTCACTGAAAGTGGTGGCTGAAACTGCACTCAAACAACTACAAGCAGTTTCATATACTCATGTGGGTGTTTTGTCCTTTTTAGGGGAACCGTCCCCTTGTTTCCTTTTGGTTTCCCTTTAAAACCAACCAAAAAGGGTTTCTCCCCAAAAAAGTGACCTAGCCATGCTATGGCCACACCTGCAGCCGCCGGAAGTTCTGCAGCTGACCGCCTTCCTGAAGCGCCGAAGCGCCGAGCTCTGCCAGACCCAGGAAGCTCAGTTTGGGCCCGAGAAGCTCAAACCCACCCAACCCACAACAGGACCACAGGGAATATAGGGACCCTGAGTTGATTCTTGAGAGGAGGCGGTGAATCATGGTTAGGGTCTGACTGATATCCAGGTGTACATATGTGCTGCGTAGGTTGAGCATACAAGTATACGGTTTGTTTAAAAAAAGGGTGCCCCTTAAACTCCTTTTTGCTGCCGCCTATTCCAGGACATCCCTATATCTAAAATTATAGGATTTTGTTTCAGGGTGGTGTTGCTGTCTTGGGTTGGCTCAGTCCGTTGGCCCTCCAAAGAAACGATCGTATTAGGGGACCTTCTTGTTGAATTTGAGACACCAACAATGGGCATTCTCGCCAGCTCTTGGTATGGTCGCAACACTGTGCTTTTTGCAGTCCCAACTAAGAATGAATTGAAGAGAAGATAAACAACCTAAACACATGCCAACAACAGTGCAGGCATTCATCCCTCCCCCCAAACAAAAGAACGAAAGAAACAAAAAAAGAAAGAAAGAAATAACAAAAGGAGAACAGACACATACTAAAGCGAATTTTTAGAGTGTTGGGGGAGCATGCTGGAAACCATCAGAATTGGGGGAAGCCCTATAGAGGTTGATTACCAATAGTTTCCCAGGCACACCCAAAGGGTACCCTCAAAGACCAGCACCCTGGTTGTCCATTGGTACTCAAAATGGCTCAAGGGCACTTCCGGTACAAGTGGAAAAGCCGTTTCAAACCAAACGGCTACCCCGAACAACACACATGCCCGCTCTGTGGGGCCAGCCATCGGAACCGATTGAAATGGAACCCAAGGTGGGGGTTCACAGGCGGCCAATGGACGCAGACCCCCGAACCCGCGGGTATTGCATTTAAATAATGGAATTCACCCCAGAATTTTGGGACAATAATCCGAAAAACATGGAAATGTTGATGGTTCAGGTATGCCCTTTGGCATGAACAGGCGAGTCATTCTGTCCTTCTGCTTGCGAGGCGAGAAGAGCGCTCCAGCGCCGCCTTGGCACTCAATGGATTCGATGGACCGGATTTGTGTTGGAACATGACAGAATTTACCCCGAAGGACATGCCTTTGTCCCTGGCTATGCTGGACATGTGGGCTAAAGACAATAGGAATCTGATTTGTGTGTTGGATAACTGTACACACGGGGAACTCTTTGCCCCTTGGACCGGGCTTTTGTGTTGAAATTGGCTTGCTCTAAAGGACCTATCTCTTGTCCTCTGGTTGCTGTGGATTGGTTAAAGTCCCTTCCTATGGCCCCCAAACTGCGGGATGTATTTCGCAGAACCAGCCTTTTGTTTTGCGGATTCATGGTATTTCCCGAGCGCTAAGATGGCAACCAGTGGTGCCTGCTCACTCCGCTCGCGGAAGTGGATGGGAAGGGTTAATCTTGTGGCGCCAGTCGCCTTGTTGAGAATGGTAACCTGGGGCTTCCCAAGGAAACTACAGGTACGGAGGTTCCCCGTGTGGCCTGCTGAGTCGCAGGTCCGCCGGTGGATTGGAATGTATTTGGGGCCTCTTGCATTCGAGCATTTCTGTGTTGCAGCCAGCTGCACTCTGGGCAAAAAACCATTAACTGTTGCTCGTCGGTGGGAAAACAGCTCCAAACCAGCAATTGTCCCAAAAAGTGGTTGCGGGTCCGTGGTTGCTAGGTGGGAAAACTGCCCTTTGTTCAACCAACAAGTTAGTGATTGATGCTCCAACTCCAACCAAACAGCAGCCAAGATTGCTTTCATGATGAGGCGCACTGTACAAAGACTATGTCAATGCCGGGGTTGTCAAAATGATGAGCCTCTGTTTGGACCCCCTTTTAAAGGGGGCAACCCCTTTTACAGGGGGCACTAAAATATGTTGCCAGATGTTTGTGTTGGGGTCTGGAAGTGTGTGCGTGTCAGCCTCAGATTGCAAAACCTGAACTTTGCGCTGACAAACCTACTGGCTTGTGTCCCCTAAAGGTTTAAACCGGCCAAGAAAAATGGGTAAAACCAAGCTCCGTGCAGCTATCCCGAGGACTCCTTGCAGCAAGGAGTGTCAATCCCCGCTTGCGGGCCGTTCAGCTTCACAGGTGAGCTAGTGCGTCAGAAAGGCAATCACTTACTTCCGAGGTTTAATGGGATATACCATCACTATGGAGTCCCTATATGCATATACAAAAAATACATATATGTATATACATATACACATACATATATTCATATTTATTAGTGAATATATACATGTATATATATATATATACATATTCCGTTTTTTTCCCCAGGTTCGTGGTTTGGTGGTAGTGGATAACATGTTGGAATCAGTCTACTCAATGATGGAAGTTGGCTGAAATGATGAACCTCCAAAGAGACTTGGGTTTGCAAGGGACAAGCAAACAAAACGATTCCTGCATGTTGAGTAGATCGATCTCTACCTGCAGGTGAAACACTGAATTTATCTCGCAATTGGCTAAGGTGTGTTAAGAGTTAAGAGTTGGTTCCCCTCGCACCAAATCGGGGTTGAGAGAACCGAGTGACTCTCCGGGCAGTGGGAAATTGAGTGAGTCGTCCCATCCCATGGACCAAGCGCTGCTATCTTGACCGAACCGCACCTGGTATCACAGCTTTTGTAACCATCATACCCTGTTTTACCACTAGGTGGGGTTTTCTCAACATGTTGGACCCTTTAGTGGTGCTAAAGGGAAGCCAAAGGGGTTGAAGCAAATCCGTAGGAGAAGCACCCAAGGCTGAACATGAAATAGGCTGCTCTCTTGACCCGACTCCCCCCGACGTCCTCGGAGCAGACAAGTTGTCCTGCAAAGCGTAGCATCATTTCTGGCTTCTTGCTCGCCGGAAGTGGTCTAAGGCTCTGATATATATATATATATATATATATTATTTATTTATTTATTTATACATATCTGATAGTATATATGCTTGCACATACACATCTTTTTAGATATACATGTGTATGTACAGCCAAGTGTTTACATACATACAGTTCTACTCATGTACATATCTGGCAGGTGCCAAGGGGATCCTTCCACATTGGCAGGTTTTGTTTGTGACATGCCATCCGTTTCCTGATCGATCCATCCGTGGCACCGTGGGTGCTTGGGATTGCCTCGTTCAGGCACAGGCCCCCCAATGACAGTAAACCGTGTGGGTAAGAAGGGCTCCAAAAGAGGAGGCACCTGTCTGGTATCTGAAGATTCCCTAACCCATTTAGAGGGAAACCAGCACCCCGCACCGCTCCGTTCCGTTGGGACAATTCATAAGGTTTCCCAGAGGAATGAAACCTGCCCGATAGATCTGGGACGATAACTCGCCAACCTGAAGTAGCTCCAAACACCTCCAAACAAGGAAGCTCCATGACGTTGATTTAGGAGACTTCAGTTGAAGGATAAGCTTCGATTGTCACCGGCGGCGAAGCTTGGCTTAGGATTGTGGTAGTACAGACTCGCTGACAGCGTACCGGGCTGGAGTTGCCCGCTGTCATTTCTGAAAAGGCAATCTGCAAATTGTTCCTGCTGGTGGACAACATCCATTTCGCAATTTTGACAGGCCCGAACCATCGTCTTAGACAGGCCACTCTGGGGTTGATGTTCTGGTATTAATCCCTGGACGAAGGGCAAATGTGCAAACGCCTGGATTGGGGCAACATGTTCACATCGCTATTCCCAGCACTGCTTCCAGTTGCAGGCAACTAGAGTAAGTCACCATGTGCAAGCGAGAGGTAAGCATACCTGGTTACCTAGTGGCAACTGGAAGCACTGGTGGAACATGATACGATCTCCCTGGTGGTTGAGCCACACCCGGGTAAGTGAAGGCTAGTAGGGCACGGTACCAACCAGAAATTCTTCCTGCGACCGTCTTGGGGGTTGCCTTTCAGCGAACCCATCTGGATTGAACGGTGAACCCTGCCGGGTTCACAGCCGCTCCATCCTCCCCATTTTGGGCTGGCCTGTAAAACATGAGCAGAACAACGGTCACAAAAGGAAGTTGGCCATCCGAAAAGCTCATGGTTCTATGAGGAAAACCCAAACAACAAACAAACCGACCAGGCGCTTGGAGCTTGGGATGCGACGCCCTTCCATTGCAGGGAAAGAACACTTGTATCTCATTAAAGGGGGAACCCAGCCCCCACTCTAAATGTTTGCTTTTGCCATGGGTGGACATCATACCATGTGGTGCCTCAAATAAACCCCTAAAATGGTTGGTTTTCAAGGGAAGCCAAAAGGAAAAATGCTGGAGTTGCCAAAATTTGAGAAACACCCGTAGACATCAGCCGCCCGTTTCCCCGCCGAGGGCCCTGCCCCACGGTCCCTGCCCTGGCCGTTTTGGCACAGGTCAACCGAGTCACAATCAAAACCTGGAGAAAAAAAACTGGACCGTGTAAATACTCCGGACGGTCACATGTTGGGACCGTCCCCGATGAAACAATTGTGTCTCAACTACCTTTGAGACCTATCATGGTCCATGTTTCCAGGGCGTCAAAGCCCGAAAGTTGGTTGCGAAAACGGATCAACAGTTTCTGGTCCCAACTATAGCTGCAACACTTGAACACTTGCTGAAAGGGAAAGTGCCCTAAGGGTCCTACTGGAATTTGGGGCCTCAAAATGTACCCCTTTGACATCCCCTACAACAACTCGTGGTGTAGTACCGGCACCCCCGGGTTCTGCATACAAACCATGTGTCGGACCCTTGGGGTGAAGAATATCCAAGAGGGCAAAAGGGGGCCGCAGCTTTCTCTGGGCGATTTGACATTCCGATGGGTCTCAGCCTGAGGCATCCGCTCTTTGACCATTGGCCCACCGTCCAAAAGATCAATCGCTCCCGGCTTCTGGAGCACATGTGGGACCCTGATTCCCGCCAATCCGTCGATTGACTTGGCGAGGTTCTGGGTCCAATGGGAAATCCAGCCTGTTTCAACCGAAAACTTAGAGTCCTTAAGGATCCAACCGAATAGCCATAAAGAGAAACGCAACGAGTTGAAGGAGTAAGCTGCGAAGTTTAGCCATGCGCTTCAAATTCACCATCTCGATTGCTGCTTTTGAGGGAGGAATGCTTCCAGGCCCTATGTTCGGCTGTTTAGAAATAGAGTTATGGAGATGAGACAAGCAGGGTTCGTCCCCTGGCTGCGTGAAACTTAGCGAGTTCCACCATGCCCCTCCACACTACTGTATATGTTGGCCGCATCTAAGCTGGGTCTGCTTTCCCTGCCCTGCTTTGGGCTAATTCCATGTTCAATTTGCCGTTGGCCAGGGGGGGAAATGACCCGCCACTTTCTCTGTTGGCTGATTTTAGCTTGCCTCCTTCCTAGACTGGCCACAAAGTCCGAACCTGTGCGTTGCGTAAAACGGCCTTCGACAAAAGGGCGCAGAATGTTCATGAACTCGGGGAGTGAGTCTCGGGGTGTGAGTTCAAAGGAAACAGGCGGGAAGGAACGATGTAAGCCTGCAGTTCATCTACCGGAAATCCTTCAAATCCCAGGGCTTTGGTTAACCTGATGTTCATGTAGCCGGTTACGGCGACACTGGCTGGCTGCTTTAGAGACAAACAAGCGCCTTGGTGGCCACACCGCGACCAAATTATTTCGACCCAGCCTGCGATACCACGCCGGGCAGTGTGGAGTCCCCCTGCGGAAAATCGGATCGGACTAGGCCGCGCAAACGTTCGCCATATTGCAAGCAAAACAACCATACGCAACTGCAAGAAAATTGTAAATATTGGGCAACAGAAGAGCGTTTACTTGTTCCCTTGCTCGCAATATTTAGGGCATCCAGCGTTATTATCTAGGGGAAGAAACAAGATTTGTCTTGTGGTTGGTTGATTTGAAGAAGGGGCTACAGGACCGCTGGAGGTGCTGCGTGCAAAATGGCCCCCCCAACATTCAGGAAATCAGCGTTGAGGAACGAGGCCCTTGACAACTTATAATACCAAACCTCCACCATGTGTCGAGACAAACCACATGCCGCCAAAGTCCTGAAGGGTTTGGGTTCAATAAGCCTTAGATCCAAAGCCAGCTCCGGCCTCAAGCACCTCAAACTTACCACCACCACAAGAAACCAGGGAGAGGACAACAACCTGCTCACCCACTCGCCTCCTGAGTGGAGCAAATTTTCAAACAAACTCTGCATTTGATCTGGGCTGTTCTCAGATCCCCCGCTAAAAGCTTAACTTTTAGTTGGTTAAAACGGACATCCCCACTAAACACTAAAAGGCTAAAAGGCTAAAAGGCTAAAAGGCTAAAAGGCTAAAAGGCTAAAAGGCTAAAAGGCTAAAAGGCTAAAAGGCTAAAAGGCTAAAAGGCCAGAAGGCTAAAAGGCTAAGGAACCGGATGGCTGGGAGCCACCAAGTGATCTACCAACTCGAACGGGTCTTCCCAAGTTGCAAAACTCAACGCGGCCACTTTCGCAGGCCGCTTCAGATGCGCCGCGCCGTTTCGAGCTCTGAGCTCCGGGCCCTTGGAGAGTGGGCCCTCGGCGACCTCCTAGCCCGGACAGCCGCGGGGAAAATACAGCTGGGTTCTTGTTTCACGACCCCCCCCAACAAAACAAAAAATAAACAAATCAATTGTATTTGTTTATTTTACTTTTAATAAATACAAGGTGGGTTTTTGTTTAACGCCTCCCCCCCCGCCCCACCCCCCGCCCGCCCAGAAAAACCAAAAAAAACATGGCTTCAGGTGTCCTTTCATTTCCCTCGAACCAAAACGGGTCACACCCGTGTGGGCAAGTGTGCCGCGATTTTTTGGCAGACCCTTCGAAATGGCTTCAGGTGCCGCTTGTTTTTCCTCTTAGCACCTAGCCAGTAGTTCAACCAATGTAAAGCGGACACTGAAAGAACACCTAACCACCTGGAGGACCCTTTGATACACAAAAAAGTGCTCCAGACAGTTTTTGGCATTCGAGCGCCTTTTTTTCTGCTCAAATTCTATTCGAGCACTTTTTGAGGTTGCCTAGATGCTTGGTGAAGTGCTCGAGAGAAAACAAACCCGCAACTCGAGCGCAATTGCCCGCTACTCGGGCGCAATTTTCCTCCACCAAAAGGGTACCCTTAAACAAAAACACACAGTTGGACACCCACGCACACACACACACACACACACACACACACACACACACACACACACACACGCACGGCACGGCACGGCACGGCACGGCACGGCACGGCACGGCACGGCACGGCACGGCACGGCACGGCACGGCACGGCACGGCACGGCACGGCACGGCACGGCACGGCACGGCACGGCACGGCACGGCACGGCACGGCACGGCACGGCACGGCACGGCACGGCACGGCACGGCACGGCACGGCACGGCACGGCACGGCACGGCACGGCACGGCACGGCACGGCACGGCACGGCACGGCACGGCACGGCACGGCACGGCACGGCACGGCACGGCACGCATGCATGTTCTAACCGACTGCACCCTTGAAAACCCTGGAAATGATGCGTTTTTGGCGGCCCTCCAAAACTAACCATATAAGAAACCGTTTCATTTATGAGACTCTCAATTGGAATGAAGCCTTGGCAAAACAAGCAACACATCAAGGAGGTTTAGTTGTCCCCTGGATACTCGTTTGGGCGGACATGGGAAAAAGAGAGCACCTTAATTGTGTTGCTTGATTTTCAAAAGACACCCCTTTTAAAAAAAGGAAGTGTGCGGCTGCCACTGGGCAGCTAGGTTTACAAGACCAGTTTACTGGTGGTCGACCTGTCATCCTTCACCCACTCACGGGGAAAATGTGTGGGTCCCCAAACAACTTGTGGAGGGGGGGCGCTGTTTGTTGGCACTCCACACGAAAATATTAAAGAGATAAACAATAAATGGGTAGGCCAGGGTTCCCAAACCACTGACTTCTCTTGACTCTCTTGGCCCACATCTGGGATACACAAACCATGCTCTCCTCTGATTCTCCTTCCTATTCGGTCTGGCCGAAAATATCAAATCTTTCTGGAGACCACAGTTCGCGGAAACCCTGCAACCGGCTGCGGGCTGGCCTCTCGCTCGCCTGCGAAGTGGACCGGCCTGGCGGTTTTCTTTTCTATCATGGCGCGAGGGTTGACATTTGAGTAGCAATTGAAAGCAAACCAAAGCATACACGACAAACTGTCTACCCTTGTGGTTTGGTGCCTATTTCTCTGATACGCTTCATTGAGCGACCACAACCCAACTTTCGGTGCTACGAAGCCAAGGTGCACGGAGGCAATAGAAGCCGGCAAAACGGCCAACGGACAATTGGGAAGCCGCTCAACCCTTTGCAGTCCTTGCCGCCGGCTCGGGAAGGAACTAATGCTTGCGCAATCGATCTCGGTAAATGGCACAAATGGTTGCCAGGCAAAGCAATGTGGTGATTGCGTGACCCAGTTCCGCCAAAAGGAAAAACCTATGATGATATTGTCAGGTTGTCACAAGCGCTAAGAGACCTGCTTAGCTCCTTGGTTTGATTCTCTACGCATGTCAACTAGCACTTGCAAACTGGCTACTCAGGTGGCTACAAAGATCTCTACGTTCGCCCGCTCCACATGGTCGGTATGTTTTTTCAGTCACAAGCTTGGGCTTGGGTGTCCAGGAAAGGAGGGCTTGAGTAAAAGGAAACAGGGAGCACCCTGAGTTTGGGAAAACAGCAACTCTTCATGTTTACCTCGGCTCTTGCCCCCCCAATACCCAAATATGTTGTTTTGGATTCTGGTCCAATCTCCACAGAGAAAACAAGGCATCCACGCCCGGATCGCAGACTTGTTCAAACCATCCTTAAATACACAACGCCTTAGACAGGGGCCAAGGGGGTTAAAATAGGTAAATTTCCGGGGAGAGAAAACTTTCAGGGTGAACCTTCAAACAACAACAAAATAGCATTCCCGAAAAGCGACACACCTACATGTTCCATACTGCTTCCCTGCAACTTGACATATGTACGGCAACTCTGGAACGCTCTTGTTGACTGGAAGAGCACTGGCGCAAAGCATATATACCTTGCGAACATGCACCGTCAACTGCTTGGTAACCCCCCCCCAAAAAAAATAAAAGAAAAATAAAATAACATTCTTGCAGGCATCTGGGCTGTTCAAATGGAGGGTTAGCCAAGCCTAATCCAAAATCCCTGTAGAAAAGTGACTGGAAAGGGTAATTGACGCTGGCTTACATTCCAATCCTAATCCATACTTCCTGTAGAAAGAATGACTGGAAAGGGTAGTTAACCCTAGCTTTTATTCCAATCCTAATCCGTATTTCCTGTAGGAAAATGACTGGAAAGGAAATTCACCCTAGCTTGCCCTCCAATCCTAATCCATACTTCCTGTTGGAAAATGACTGGAAATGGCAATGAACCCTTACACTCCAATCCTAGTCCATAATTCCTGTTGGAACATGACCCTGGCTTACATTCCAATCCTAATCCATGATTCCTGTAGCAGAATGACTGGGCAGGGCAACTAACCCATTGCCTGGATCAAGGGCTGCCTTTGAACAGCCGAGCATTTCGAGGGCTGCGTGTTTATTTGCGGCGTATCGTTTCCTCGGCTTTCGGACTGCCGCGGGCGCGGACGCTTCCAGCCGCGCCTTTGGCAGACTTCTTGCCCGCCTGAGAGGCAGCGGGTCTTCGGCGCAGCCAAAGCATCTCCCCCCCCCTTTGGCTTTCCGGACCAATTATTTTGTGTGCTTTCGGGAACCCTGAACAGGAACACATGTTTCCCATGATCATTGCCCTTTAACAGCAAGAAGAACACAACACCCCAAAAACATAATGGGCCGTTGCCCCCCCTGGTTCTTTCTAGAAGCATTCCTGTGGGCTACAAAATCCACAAGCCAATCGGCACCAGTTGGGATGGATGAAACCCAGCTTCTTTTAGGGCACCCGAAGCTGGTGGTGGTTGCTCTTTTATTTTGTTCTTAAAGCACCACAAAGGTTCTATCATAACCATTGTTGATAAACCAACTACCAACTGGTGCAAAGTGAGTTTTGGCAATCTACAGATGCAATTCAACTCATCCACGATCATCCACGAGTCGGGAATGAGACCCAAATGCCTTGTGCTGGGCAAGTGGAAGTCATGAGAGCCCCCAGGCACTCAGCGGAAATGTCGGAGCAGGGCCCCCCTTACTAAATGTAGACCCCTTTGCGTTACTTGGAGGATGGAAACAAAATAGTCCCCTCCTTTGTGCAGACATCAAGGTGAACCCCCAATATGCTTGCTTTCGTTTTTGGGGTCCCTTGTACCCTCCCCCAGACTAAAATGGAAGCTCCCAGGACCTCTTTGGAAGACTTGGTTCCATTTACAGAGGCCTTCTGGGAGCTTCCATGTTAGTCTGAGGGAGTGTAAACCCAAGGCCTCGTTCAGCTGTGCGATCTCCTGGTTCTTGCGCCTCAGCAGAGAACTGAAGGTTCGGTGGTGGTATCTGATTCACGCTTGGCTCCTCACTACGACCAAATCCATTTCGCACCAGTTGGGATTCTTGAAGTGAAATAACCGGGGCAATTCACCTACCATCTGAAGGAGATTGTACACTGACAGAAGTATCAATATTCAAGATCAAATGGCGGGAAGTGAACCTAATGAACACCAAGACATTGCTTGGGCGCCACCCAATACGTAGCCTCACAGGGACACCCGCATGGAAACATGTACATATGCCTGTCATGGTCAAGGATCAAAGCTATTTCTGTGGTTCATCTTCATGGTGTGCTTAACTTGACTCACATCGGTTGTCAACCCCTTTGAGGTTGATGACCATTTCTGCCAAGGGATCAGGGATCTTTTGGCCATGGCATGTGGGTCTCTCTTGTCTTACGGGACCTCAACACTTCTGGTTGTCCTCTTGGTTTCCCTTTTAAAACCGCAACACAAAAGGTAGCCTCGGCAGTTTTCCTTAAGGATCCAGGTCTTTTGACGTTCGACCCTGGCAAAAGCCCCAGAGGCCTTCCTCGGCCCTCAGATCCCCTGCTCAAAAGTTTAACTTTTAGTGGGTTACATGGAAATCCCCACTAAACACAAAAAAGCCAAGGCTAAGCGGACGGCTGGGGGCCACCAAGCTTCTTCAAGTCCACCGAAGTGCAAAAACTTGGCGCCGTCTCAGCCCCAGGCTGCAATACGCCATAGAGCCGGCGCACGATGCCTGCGGGCAAGCCAAAAGCGGCCGAAAACTGCGCGGAGGTTCTCGGGAGTCTCTCTCAAAACGGTGGACCTGTTTTTTGTTGGTATGTTTTAGTGGAAACCGCAACGAAGCCGGTTGTTTTGTGGGTATTTTCAGGGAAACCAACCACAAGGAAGCCCAGGCATTTTAGGGGATCCTGTTGAGAAACACCCGATTGCATCTGCTTGGCGTTGTTCTCATGTGGCCCATGCCCGTTTTCAGGGCAGACCTTTTCGGGATACGGGTCAGCCACTTGTTCCGCTCTCAAGCCAACGCCTCGATCACTATGTTGATGTCTAATTTGCTCTTTGGCAAGGGGTGCGAACCCCAAAAACGGAACTGCAGAGTAGCTTTTCCAGGCTGGGATGTCGAAAAACAAGGAGCTAATCAGCACATGCGATGGCAGAGAACATCATAATGCGTGCAACAATGTACAAAGCAGAGGAACAGCTGAGCATGTAAGTTCTACAATGTGAGAAAGCGAGTACTGTGACGTGCAAGAACACAACGTTGTGCTGTGGCAACCCTGCGGCTCTGAACAACAGCTCAGATTCCCGCACGGGCGTTTGTTTTTGCTCGTCAATCACTTGAAGTTTTAGTTCAACCCTCCCGACAAACATGGCAGAGACCCCCAAGACGACTTTCCTCTAAGAGAGGGTTCCTGGGCAACAAACCGTGTTCTCGCTTGAGAAAAATTGGAGAGAAGATATATGCTTGGTGGAAGTGTAAGGGCTTCATGCGTTTGATTAGGTGGGCCCGAAGACCCGCGTTCCAAAGACGTACATGCCAGTTGAGCGAGTTGGGGCGGGGTGTGGGGACACCACACCACCCTTCGGGCGTTTGCATGGCTGAACCCAAAGGATACCGGGCAAGAATGGGCTCCCTCATCTCCAGTTCCGACAAGTCTTTGGGGAGCAACTCTGACAGCCCTCACCTCGCCAAAGCAAATGAAAAAAAACACCAGCGACTTTGAGGCTCGCAAAACAAACACTTTGGCCTTTCTGAACCCTCTGAGCTCCGAATCCCCTGCATACCATGGTAAAGGTGCTGCGTCGGTGCCTTTTCGTTCATCCTGTGCCATCGGCTGCTCGGTTGGATGTACGAACACTAAGAACGAGGCAGAGCTAGCTCTTGCGCAAACACCACGGCCCACATGCCTTACCCCAATCTGATCAAACAAAACATTCAGAAACACGACACACACACACACACACAGCAAAGAAATGACCGCAAAAAAAACTCAAGGACAGGCAGACTGAAGAGACATACACAAAAATGCAGCGAACGCTAACACAGAACCACAATGAATCGACGCACCCTAGCACCCACGCACCCACGCACTCACTGCCGCTGTTGAAATCTGTTTTGTGTTGCGTGTTGCGCATTGTGCTGTTCAATCCTTGCCCCTAGTGACGTGTCATGTCGTGCCGTGCCGTGCCGTGTCGTGTCATGTCGTGTCTCGCAATGTTGTTTCGTGCTGCGTCGTTGGTTGCGCGTGCGTGCGCGCTCGCCTATCTCCATGTGCAACACGTTCGGACTTACACACAGGCACACTACCCAACAAGTCTGCCGAGAAATACAAGACCAACCAACAAACCGAACAAGCGAGCGAGCAAGCCAGCAAGCCAGCAAGGGGGGGGGGAAGCGGGGGTGTGGGCGCGGGGGGGGGGGGGGAGCGAACAAAGAAGTTACGCCCGGACAATCAGAAGCAAACGAACAAGAAAAGCACACAAACAAGAGCAAGGAAAAAACAAAGCAATCACTATATAAGAAGCAAACAAAATATAGCACTACGCTCGCCAACTGCGTTCCTCCATTTCCCCCCGAAAGCTGGCCTTCCACGGCACGGCGGTCCAGGCGCGACACCATGGAGCCTGGAGAGCACTGCGCGAGCATCGAATCAGTCCAAAGAGAGAGGGTTTGGGTGGGATGGACAATGTTTCCATGGATTAGCATGGGGGGGCTCACCTCCCATGTAAATCAATGGCATATCATTGACCACAACAATCAAAAGAGGTTCTTTCTGGTATCCCCTTTGAAAAGCACAAGGCAGCACCAGGACGGACAATAGTATCTCTGGCAAGGGAGAAGGCACCCCATGGGACCTAAACTGACTCCCATGGGTAAGCACAAAGCCCATAGGAACCCCCCTTGTTGGTTAATATCAGCAGAAACCTAGCCAACCATTATTTTTAGATCCTTTAGGTTTTGGGGCAATGTCAATTTTGGATTTGGGGGGGCTTCGGGGACCCGATTTGAGGCATCTCCTTGTATTCTGCATGCGCAGATCCCAAATGGCGAACCCGGGGTTTCCCAGTGGTTTCCCTAGGCAGTTCCCCTGGTCCCCTTCATCTTTGAAAGGGAGCCCAGTGGCTTACCATGTGCAAAGAACTCAAACTGGTTGCTTGCTTGGTTGGCCTCGTACTTGCTCTGGTTGGGGTTTGGTTGGTGTGCTTTGTTTTGGTTTGGTGCTTGTTTGGGTTGCTCTGTGTTGGTTGGCTTGGCTCGCTTTGGCTTGATTTGGCTTGATTTGGCTTGCTTAGTTTGTCTGTTTGTTTGTCTGTTTGTTTGTTTGTTTGTTTGGCTTGGTTTGGTTTGGCGTGGACTGACTATTTGTTGGTTTGGCTTGGATTGCTTGGTTGGTTGGTTGGTTGGTGAGCATGTTGGTTTGTTTGTTTGCCTGCTTGCTTGCTTCTTGCTTGCTTGTTTGTTTGGTTGTTTGTTTGTTTGCTGTGTGTGTTCATTCAATGACCTTTTTGGTTGGTTTTGGCTTTGTTGGGTTTGGTTTGCTTGGTTGGCTTGTTTGTTAGTTTGCTGTGTGTGTGTGTGTGTGTTGCCTTGGCTTGGTTTGCGTGGTTGGCTTGCTTGGTTCAATTTGTATTTTAATGTGGGTTTGTTTGTTTGGGTTGAGTTGGTGGATTGGGTTGCTTGGCTGGTTGGTCTGCTTGCCTGTTTGTTTGGTCGCTTGCTTGTTTGCTTGTTTGCTTGTTTGCGTGTGTGTTGGTGTTTGTTTGTTTGTTGGTTGGTGTTGCTTGGTTTGGTTTGCTTGGATTGATACTTGTTTGTTTGCAATGTGTGCTTGTTTGCTTGGTTTGGTTTGGTTTGGTTTGGTTTGGTTTGGTTTGGAATGCTTGGTTGCTTGCTTGCTTGCTTGGTTGCTTGGTTGGTTGGTTGGTTGCTTGCTTGCTTGTTTGCTTGTTTGGTTGGCTGGTTGGTTGGCTGGTTGGTTGGAGTGTTTGCCTGTTGTTTGTTTGTTTGTTTGTTTGGTTGGTTGTTTGGTTGGTTGGTTTGGCTTGGCCTGGCCTGGCCTGATTTGGTTTTGTTTGGTTGTTTGTTTGTTTGGTTGTTCGTATGCTTGCTTGTTTGTTTGTTATTGTTTGTTTATTTGTTTGTTCGCTTGTTTGATTGTTTGCTTGTTTGCTTGTTTGCTTGTTTGCTTGCTTGTTTGTTTGTGTCTTTGTTTGTTTGTGTGTATATGTGTTTGCTTGCTTACTTGCTTGCTTGCTTGTTTGGTTGTTTGTTTGTTTGGTTGGTTGTTTCTTTGTTCGCTTGTTTGTTTGCTTTTGTTTGTTTGTTTGTTTGTTTGGTTGGTTAGTCTGGTTGGTTTGGTTTGATTGGTTGGTTCCTTCTGGGTACGGGCTGTCTCTAGCGTTGCAGCCACGACCCCGAATGCAGATTCATTGCCACCGCAGCGTGGATTTATGGGAGATCTTGGTGTTTCCCCATGGCTTTCCTTGATCGCCCAATGCTTGCAGTGAGCACAACTCAATCCTGATGGGGCATGGAGAGTGCCTCGCGAGGTTGATTTCTCAATCGACCAAGAGAAGGTCCCATTTTCACGGCGGCTACCAGAAACGTGCCCAAATGGTTTCATCCATTCACTTAAGTCCCCTGGCCAAGAGGAAGCAAGTGCCAGGTTTGTTGTTAGGGGGTTGTCCGGTGCAGTGTTTAAAGGGTGATTCCCTTTTAAGGGGAGGGGAGGGAACCCAAATATGGCCCTGGCTTGGGCTTTGAAGCTTTATCCAGGCCTTTTTTCTTGGGCTCCCTCCCCCTCTCCCCAACCCCCGTGATTGTATGCCTGAGGAACATCGATCCATTGGGCTTAGCGACTGCGGTTTGCTCTTGTCGCCCCAAACAGTTGCTTTGCATTTGGCTATGGTTATAAACACGTCTCAGTGACATTCCTTCTAAGCCCACAAATGTAGATCCCCCTGTTGAAAGCTTTGGGTTCGCTAATTCCTTGCCAAATGTCAAACTTTGCTGAGACATGTCATAATCCCTGCTGAGATATGTCATAATCCCTCTCTAAACTAGAAGAATCTAACAGTCACAAAACTCCATACTAGGATGTTCAACATACTTTGGGTCATAACCCCGTTGCTAAGTAATATTGAGGCTAGATCATTACTCACCGGTTTAGTCATATGTCATATATGCTTAAATTGGATACCCCAACCTACCCGTGCTATTTCCTCCCCCCCCCCCCTCCCCCTCTCTCCACCCAGTGCTTCCACAACTGCCACTATAGCAGGTCACCAGATCTGTTAAACAACGTTTTTACCTTGGCTTCCCCTGGTTGCCTACAGTAGCAAACGCCTGGACGCACTGGGTATCATTTTGTCACATCCAAGTGGCTGGTCCCATGTTTGATCATCAAAGTCACCTCTTGGAGTCCAAGGAATACCCAGATTTTCCTGACTTTGACCCCCCCGGAGCAGTAAAAACCGAACCGAACCCAGATGATTCGTCGCTGTGATCCCGGCTGAGCTCCCGCTTGGCGAGATCCTTCTCGCCACTGTTCAAGACGCCTAAAGGAGCAGATTTTGCGTTCAGCAGGCGAACCCGGGTTGATTTCTCGCAACCCCCCTTCGCCCCAACACTCGAACAGCAAGTCACTGAGATGAATCCCAACATGTGGGTCGTCTCGTGGATGAACAAATTCCTGAACCAGTTGGTAGCTAAGGCAAGGGTTTTATCTATCCCAAGTGCCAAAATTCGGGCAACATATTGTGATGGCTCCCTTCGCCCTACCCTCCTGAATTCGGCAAGCCCTACTCTCCTGAAGACAAACCTGGAACCTTCAAAGAGTGTCGCGCCTTTCAGGTCTGAAACCCCGGCCCATGACTCGAGAGGAATCGAAGTCCTCGCGGATGAGTTCAGTACTTGAGTCAACATCATGCGATAGAAACAACCCAACTCCATGTGGGTATGAATTTCAATGACAAACCCCTTTCAAAGACTTTAAGCATCAGAATGCGGAGGGGAATGAGGTTACCAGCAAGCACTCGGGCAATAGTAGCTATTCAGCAGTTCATGGCCTGGTTGTAGAGGCCCTACAGAGGTGGAGGGTCAAGGCTTGGGCATCTGCCTGGCCATGGAAACCAAAAGGTTGCCCCTCCCTTAAAACGCAAACCCAAACAAGGTTGGCTAAACAAGGGTAAGCAAATTTCAAGCTCTTCAAGTCGAAGTGAACCAGGGTTCCCTAAATTTCCGCAGCAACAACGCCCCCCTACCAGGGAGAAGTCATTGGCAAACCAGCAGGTGTTGTATCACAAAAGCCCAAAGGGGAAGCTGTTCTCCCCATGTCCTTGACATGCCATAAACGTTACTTGCTCGGCAGCAGGCATTCTCACAAGGCGTTTCTTCACACCACTACTGCTGGTAACTGCTACTCGCCATGACATATCTGGGTGCTAAATAGCGGGTCTGGAAAATTTAGTTCCCTGGTAACCTACTGCTGCGCCGTCTCCGCAAGCACTGCAGTTGGCTTGACAGCCCATCCCGTGTCACAGCTGAAATGGACATTGACATGAGTTATTTACGTGTCCATGAACAAATGGCTGTCAAAACTCCCAGTCACCCAGTGGCCCTGGTAGAAAAAGGGGAACCTGATTGTTTCTTCTGCGATTGCCAGTTTCTACAAGGGAACTTAAAAAAGAGGTTTCGTTGGAAACCACTATGAATACTGGGGTACACCACCTGCCTGGTGCGGGAAACTCTCCATGTGAGGCATGTACTGCGGGCCGGCAAGTGAGGCAGAGGCCGAAGATCGCCGGCTTCCACCCAACCGTTTTTGTTGACAGGCTCCCACTTGCACGCCCGGAGCCCATGCTCTTCGAGTTTCCGTGAAAGCGGTGAGCGTGGCTAAGGCCCGAAAGGTGCGTCTGAGCGCTGCCCCCTCTGCAGAAAAACTGCCAAGTGGCATGCCCCGAATTTCCTTTGTGACCTATGGGCTTGGAATATGTTTTCAAGTAAGCCTTTTGGGGGGTGCATGGTTGAAAAGAGAAGCCAAAAGCTTGGGGTCCCCTTAAGACACACCCATATCCTTGCACGTGCCTACAAGCACATCTAGGGACATGGCACTCCAGAGAACGTCAAACAGGATGATCTGCATGGAACCCCAAAGATCCCAAAACGTGAGGATCTCCGTTTGGGGACCCCACGCCTTCTTGGGTCGCGTAAAAAACTGCAGGAGCGCATGTTTGATGATTGCTCTTGGCGGAAACAAACAACAAATCGTTCGTGCTGTTTCTCCAAGCCGCAAAGAGTCTCGCAGGGGTCAGCACGTTGCCAACCCCACCCCCTACAAGCACCGAACCAGAGAGGCCCAACAGGCGACAACGCATTCGTAAGACCCCTGACAGTCCACTTGAGCAGCGGGAGACGAACCAGGCCTCGTCCAAGTTTCCAACTGGCCCCTTGGGTTTTCCCTCTCAAAAGTTCAAGGAACACCCCACCCCGCTCTCGCCCCAAAAAACAGATGCCAAGGCCAGCTCCAATGAGTTGCAGCGTGTCGTCCCTGTTCAACTCGAAGGTTTCGCCTCGCGGAGGGTTTTGCCTTGCATTTCGCTGGGGTAACCCGGAGGAAATCCTGGTAAACTTTATATGATTTTTAGTTTGGCCTCTGGCTGGTGGATGTTCTTGTTTGGCCTCTGGCCGGAGAAGCCACTGTTGCGGAAGGATATAACGTGGGCAGAAAATGGAAGTTGGAACGTTGATTTGAATGCGTAAGTACCAGTAAAATCAAGTTCAGAAGCTAGACCATACTCCAGGGAAAGCGAGTCGAAATGAGAGGAGAGTCACCACAAATCCTCATTCGAAGGGGAAGTTGAAGCATCCCACATTAAGCCAAACTTGACAGTCAACTGCTCATCCATGCTGGCACAATACTTGTCTTTGATTCGTCAGTGGCAGAGGTATGACGAGCAACAACCCTTCAACAATGAACAATTCAATTGCGCATACCCGGAGTCTCCATGACCCTTAAAAAATGGGTCCATGACTCCATTATTTTGGGTAGTGACCCCATTTTTGAAGGGTCATGCAGACTCCAGGTAGCTTAACACCCATAAACCTTAGCGCCTCGCTGGCCATTCCACATCAAGATACTTCCGTGCGCAAAGGCAAACTTCTGCTGAAGAGAGCCCATACTTTCAAGAATTGCTCCAGAAATGCAAACTCACAGAGAGCCACACAGAAAAGCCCACACGGACACACACATACACACGCACACTCACGCACGCGGATAAATAAATAAATAAATCTATATATATATATATAGACTCGAAGGCACAAGGCACGGACACACAACACACACTCGCAAACACACTCACACAATGACACTATCGCATAGCAAGACTTGCAGACAGACATGCAAACAGACACCCAGACAAACACACAGACACACAGACGTGGACATACAGCCACACGCACACACACACACACATACACAGAGACACACACCCGGACAGGATGCGACACAAAAACAAAGACACTGCAACTTAAACCGAGGAGACTGCAACTAGTCGCACAGACAGACGGACAGACAGACAAACAAACTGACTAACAAACAAGCAAACAGAAGCAAACGGTACCAACCTACTGACCTACTGTATGTGTGGGGTGTACAAGTAAATGTCAGGATAGATATTGTGGGTTCCTTTACCACATCCAAGCTCCAAAGTTCCTGTCAAATTGCTGTAGCTGAGTTCATATCTTGCCCTTGCAACATGAGTGTGTAAAATAAATGAGTCGGCATCATAAGGGACCCGTCTTGTTTTCCTCGGCGTTGGCTCTGAGCGTTGAGCCGGCACCATCTTCGAAGTCGTTGATGGAAAACTTGTACCTATGGACAAAATCCGCCAGTTGGTAGATGCCTGCAACCCCAAAGGACCCCTTCGTCCTGCCTTTGTACCCCTTTGGTTTATCAACCAGTATTCATAGGGTTTCACCATCTGCAGCAAATGAAATTTCTGCAGGTGGTTTGGAAGTGGAAACCATCTCGGAGATAAAGGACACTATTTTCCTGCTGCCCCAGAGGACGTGGGAAAACCGGGTAGCCTGCTTTTTGTGGGAAATGTGTGCTGTCCTCAATGTCCCAAACCAACAGCAGACCAATATGTTTAGTTTCTCACGTCCGCGAAACAGGACATCGGGAATCAAAACGGGACTCCTTTTTACCGGATTCGCGCTGGATAAGGTCCTGGGTGTTGCAGGTTCTGGACCCCTTCCACATGATGATGTTACTCCCATTTCCGCTGGACCCATGATTTTGACCGTTCGGAGTTCTGAGCATCAGACACTGGGGAGGCCGGTAAGGGTTCCTCTCACAGGTGGATCCATGCGAGCTTCCATATGCTTGAAACCTTGCCTCAACAGCCATACGGAGACTCTGAAATCCAACGTGCGGGATTTCGGATGCCAAGAGCCAACATCCGGAACCTTGCAAGAGCCTTGCAAGAGCCGCCAACATGACGGATTCTGGCCAGCGCGAGAAGTGGCACAACTCCTGGTTGTGGGGGAAGTAGCATGGAACCAACATGGATTGGAACTGTGCCACCTGTACTTTCTGACAGGACATGCAGCCCAAAGTAGAGGAATCGCCTCATGGACGAGATGCGCAAAACAACTTCTGTCAATCGGAGCAGTCATGCAACCCCGCATTTTGCCAGCCGGAATCTGGGATTGGAGAATCCCTCTCCAAAGGATTGACCAACTTGAAAGCCACTCCCACCCTTTGTAAGGAGGCACCTGGCTGACGAATTCCAGGTTTGGATGGTGTGCCCAAAAAGCACAAAGTTTAGTCACTAGGAATAAGTCACCAACCAAGTCTAGAAAGCCGAAATCCGAGGCGGGGTGAAGGTGTTGTATGTATGTGTATGATGTATATATATATATATATATATCTACGTGTATGTATCTTGTGTATGTGTATGATATGTACATCAATAAATATACATATGTATACATATATATATATATATGTATGTGTTCATCAACTGATCTGCCTGAGTACTTGCTTATCCCTTTTTTGTTTCATACCGTCTCTTGTTCTTATCTATATATATATGCACATCATAATAATAAGAATAATAATAATAATAATAATAATAATAATAATAATAATAATAATAATAATAATAATAATAACAATAATAATAATAATAACAATAACAATAACAATAACAATAATAATAATAATAATAACAATAACAATAACAATAATAATAATAATAATACTAATAATAATAATAACAATAATAATAATACTAATACTAACAATAACAATAATGATAATAATAACACTAATAACAATAATAATAATAAATAATAATAAAACAATAATAATAATAAAAAATAACTAATTAATAATAATAATAATAATAACACTAATAATTATTAACAAAACAAAGGCTCAGCGGAGACCAACCCTGCCGGGCGCACGAGCTGCCATCCTTGGCTGCGGCCTGCTGCGCCAAGAGCCCGGATATTTGCAGCACCTCCGAGCCGTCGGCGTTGATCTGTCGGGTACTCCAAGACCTTTCCTATGAAACCTCGGTTGCTTTCTGCTTTGCTAAAAGTGAATAACTCTTAGTGGCTTAATGAAAAACAAAAATGTAGTTGGCAAAAAGTTGAAGTTCTGACGTCCAAGCTACATGCAACAATGAAACCCTGGCATCATGCCCAAGGACAAATCACCTATTCTAGCCTACTTTCCAGATAAAACCTGTGATGTCGGTCATGTAGGAAACTACCAATTTCTTTGAGCCACAAGGTAACAAACTTGTTTTGTGTTGGGCAGCTAGATGGCATTGATCTGTTGGGGGCAGAGTCTTGGAACCACTCCCAGTGCTTCCAGTTATCACTACTGAGTGACGCTTAAAAAGGTTCGAAAAGATGTGTAGGATGCCACACACAAGCTGGAACCCGTTTATTAGGATCCATTTCGGGTCTGCCACTACAGTAGGTAACCAGGGTTTCTTAATTCTAGGTTTCACATGGCTTTTTCTGGGAGTCCTCTTTTAACTGAAATGGGCAGCCCTCTTTAGATCCATTTGCAACACGTTGGCACCCCAAGAGAACTGTTCGGCAGGGCCCCCAAAACGAAGGGGTTCAAAGGGCAGCTGGTAAAAGTCTGGCAACGTGTCTTACACAACCTGCGGGTGTTCTTGAAGCAAACATTGGACCCCCTACGCCGGTCTGTTGTTTGGGTTTCCTTTTCCGGAAATTCAGGCAGTCAGCCAAAACTTGATGTTTTTGGTGCTTGCTTGGCTGAACCTCCTAGATCCGGTCTCTATGGCCATGTCCATTCCTTTACCATATGCAGGGTATCAAATGACCAGACTATATCATCAGCCCAATGTCAGACTACTCAACAAATCGATAACCCGCAAAACCGATACGTATACGGTCTGCTGGTGGCTGCATGGATAGTAAGCCTACAGTGCTTTGCAAGGGGGTTTAACGGAGGTTCAGTGGAAATTACCAACGACGTAGGGATTCCGAAATCTAGGTCTTGCTTCCTGAGTGAGTTGGAAAGTCTGAACTTCTGGTTTGCCACTATGAAAGCAACCATCCGGTGAGAAGGGGGCCACCCCTTCTACCGACACCTTTTTTTTGTGTTTTGTTTTTTGGTGAGCTCGGCACCGTCCTGATTTACCCCGCCTCAGCCGCCAGGCTCGAGTTTCCAACCTTGGCTCCAAGCAAGGTTACGGTCCGGATGGGAGTCATGCTCAAGACCTGGCAACTCGAAGGTCGACGGTCTACGCCATGTAAAGTGAATCCCAAGGGGATGAAGAACCTTTTCTGACCTCAGACTGGTAGGACAAATGCAGATGTTGAACTCACAGTTTCAGTTCTGTCAATTGAATTGTTCCTAGGCACAAACGCCGCGAGTTCGAAGTGCAAACGCTCGTTTCAAGCATGGCAGTTCATCGGAGACGGTACCGACCGGCAACCTCGACCTTGTCGTGTTCAGTTCGGTGCTTCCACAACTTCCTGTTCATCCCCCAGATGGAACGCCCCCAAAGAAGCTAAAAGGCTGGCAGGGCCCAATAGTGCGGCTAGCTCTCGGCACAAGTCTTTTGAGTTGCTCAAAGAGCAACGCGGGGATTGGGGAAGAGCAGGGAGGCAGAAACCTGCAAGTCATCCTCAAGTCTTCCTGAGTGGATTGGCACTATTTGCCACCAAAATGGCTATCGAAAAAACACACAGAGCAAACACATCATGTTTGAGGTCCAGGAACTCTGGGAATGAGTTGCTGCTCAACCATCCCCTTCCAACCATTCTTCTGCGCCTTTGGTTTTCTGACCTAGAAGTGTCTCCTTTCTCCAAACCGCGAGACACATCACCAGGCTCCCCCGACGTCCTCGGAGGCCATGGCGTCAAGTCTTTCCGGCTCGAGATGAAGTGAGCCCAGACCCCGACGAAGGGAACTTGAGAGAAGCTCACTAAGCCTTCGCTGGTGGAAATGTTCATGCGTCGCGTCGGGTCTGTTCCAAAAGCCAGCTGAAACGGCAAAGGCGAAGGCGCGCGCAATAGGCGCCCCAAGATGCAATTCAGGTAGGCACTGAGCAATTAAGGTAACTTGCAGCCACGGTTGAATCAGCACGCAGATTGCTCTAGGTTGAGCAGGCTGAACATCCATCAGCTGTTGGTTGCTTGCACTTCTCGAGAAGGCGACCAGGAATGGCGTTAGCGAGCCACGGGGGGATCAACGAGTTTTGTACATGCGGGAGTTTGTCAAAATGCTGGAGCCCCCTTTGGTGAATATTGAAAGGGGAACCAACCGGAAACCAACCAGTTTGGGGAAGGTTTGGTAGAGCAGTGGTGAATATATGATATGGATTCCAGCACAGTGATAATCACCCCCGGGCCGGGGTTTCCTGATAACTTCAGGTCCCTAGCAGCATGCTTGGATCAATGAGGAGAATATCCTGGCCATCTTTTTCCGAGTGCGTGTGTTCCGACCTCGTTTTTGCAAATCGGCCCAAGTGTGCTTGTTGGGTGTAACTTTTTTGGGGTCGGTTTACAGGAAAACCAAAGGGGAAACCACCATTTCAGGGGTTCAAATGCCTATGTTGACTCATACCCGCATCAAGCTTGGCTCGACATCTGTTCCCAAGGTCACCTTGCCAAGTAGTCAAGGAAGTCTTTCTGGAAACTTCAAAAAAAAGCCCCGATTCCTCCCCAAAGGACTCAGGGAAATTTCTGGCTGTGGGAAACTTTGTCAGCCCCCTCATATCCCTCCCCAATGGACTATAGACTGGTAACTGCGACCTGCAACAACCGAGCATAAGACTAACATACGACGTGACAAAGGGAAGTGGCCACTCGCTGAGTGTGACTGGAACCGAATAGCGAATGGCAAGTAAGGGCTTTGACCGGGAGGGTCAGCGGAAAATCGCCAGCTGAAAGTTGCCGCTTATGTCAAAAACGGGACATTTGCAGCTTGGCTGGAACTAGGACCCCAGCAAAACACTATATTTGTTGCCTGGTTTGTGGAACGCAAAGGGGGCCCAAAAAAGCGCAAAAAGAAGGGAACTAATTCTAGAGGCAGAGAGCGGAGAAGGGCGACTGGGTGCCAGCCTCTTCTTCTTTCGCCTCAGCGAAATAAAGATGGAAGGGGGCCTCGCCACAAAAATGCCAAGCTTCCCACTCAAGTACTTTGTCAAAATACAGACTTGGACCCTGAACTGGTGGCTGTCCTTTTGGTGTCCCTTTCAGCTAACCTGAAAAGTTTGATCAACTCCTAAAACACACGCTCCTATTAGGGAGCGTCGCTTAAACCTTCCAAATGTACCGGCGGGCAACACCCCGTTGTGATACGTACTAAGTTGCTCCTGGTGCCACCATTCGCGGATTCAGCAGCTGCTGTAAGGTCAGCGGCATGCTCGCAATATACATTATATGTGTGCGTGTTTTGTGGCATGGAGTGTTTGCCGCAATAACTAGCGAGTCAACCCATAGAGGGGACTCAATGGGGAATACCCTTCCCCCAATGGTTGATGGACAACTAAACACATGCACCCAAATGATGTCCACCGAACAGTTCCGAATTACCAGATCTGATACCCTTTTTGGATGCCTGGACCCAGGGCCCCTTTGCTGCCTTCGCCCCGCAAAAAGTGTGTGTTTTTGTTGATGGAAGCAAGACAACCCAACCAGCTCGAGAGGTCTAAGCCATGAGACTGGAGGTTTCTCATGGCTTGACTCGGGAAGTTTGCCGATGGATTTGCCTTGTGAGCAGCTCAGATAGAAGTACGAGCTGGCCAATGGAGGATTCTGATGGGGCTCTTAGTTCAAGTGTTGGAATCACAAGCTGCACACTTGTGTTGATTTGGTGGCTAGGTTTCAGACAACCACATCGGTGAATTACTGGATATCTATCCAAAAATCTAGGGACCGTATAACCAAGAACCCAAGATGTCGTGCATGGCCCACTTGCAAGACTGTGACTACGCACTCGCGGATATGGGATCACCCAGGGCCGGGAACCGCAATAGAGGACTTTTCAGGAAGAACAAAGACATGGATCCCTTCTTGGGGCCAGGATGGAACTAGCGAATCCCGCATCCAGTTGGCACCTTCCGTTGCCCAGAAACGACTTCCACGGAGGCTTTCCTACCAGGCGACTATATTTGGTTTACGAGCACGTCGAAGACGGGATCATTGGCCGGCGGCTCATCTGGTGGAGAAGAAGCACGACAGCAGTTGAAGCTTACTCGTCAAGCTGTCAAGCATATCGAGAATAGCAGCAAACCAAAGTCAAGCCCACCAAACCCTGATCCCCAGATCCCCGCGAGCCCAATTCCCGCACAACCCAAAACCGCACCAAAGCACACAATCCAAGCCTGCCCAGCCACAACCACTGCAAGCCAAACCCCCCCCCCTCCAACCAAACCGGAGAGCCAATGCCCTAAGGGCGCGGGTGCCCGAGCTACCGAAGAGAGGCTAGCTTGGACGCAATGGTTCAAGCACCTTCTTGGGAGCTTCGAAGCCCAAGGGAGCTTCGAATTTGAAGGGTTGAATTGTGTTTACTGCCATACACATGTACATATCAGTAGGCAAAACGTAATGGTACCTGCAGGTGGTTGGTTTTCAATTAGGGCGTCTTTCAAACCATCAACAAAAAGGTGGGCTGAGGCATAGCCACATGGTGGAAGACAAGGACCCGGGTTTCCCTTTGGTTTCTGTTCAAGATCGGGGGTCATTTCGTATCTGGTTGGTTTAGAGGCAAATTGTCGTGGCTGGTGAAGGCGCTGCTCAAGCTATACGCTGAAGGACAAAGGAAACATTGCGTTTTTCCCCTGACTTTTCTGGCTGAAACTGAGTGTCCAAACCCCCAATTGACCAACAACTGGCAGCCTCAATCGAACCAAACCTCACTCTCGTTTTTTGGCAAAACCTGATACTCAAGGTGTCAGGTGGAAGAATCAACGGGTGGCAGTCCCCTACCAACCTGCTACCAGTGTTTTTGCTTGTGGCTCATGTGTCAAGACCATGAGTGCGGCATGGGAGCGCTCCGTTACTTCTGGACCCATCACGGTTGGCATCCCTGCCCGGGACTCGCAGATTTTGCTCGCGCATGCCGGCGGACGATAAATGGACCCCCCCCAGGCTTCCAGTTGCCACTAGGTCCTTTGGTACTTTGTGCTCTGGGTTTTGCGCGGCTTCCCCTGGTCACAGCAACTGGAAGCTATGGGATACGAAAAAGGGCCAGCAGGCAATAGCCTAAGGGCCTAAGGGCACGCATGTCTAAATGCTCACACTAGAATCTGGGTTGCTCCTACTTCGTCATGATCAAGACCTTGTAGCCTTGCACAATTTCCAGCACGGACAGCGCAAGGACGCCCCATGTTTCGCTATTCTTGAAGGGAAAGTTGCCATTGACAATTGAAATATGATAAGGCATAACCCCCTTCAATAAAAAAGGCCGACCACAGGGAACCGGTTGCTTGGCTGGTGGTTGGCACAACCATCAAAAAAAAAAACAGAAGAAAAACACACACACACACACACACGAGCACAACCTCGGAACGATCCGGAGCCATCGGGAAAGAAGGACACCACACAATCCGCCGACCCCTTCTCCTCAAAGGGGAGGCGCACGGGAAGGGTGGTTGCAGTACAAGCGCATGGATTAATCTTTGAGGCAAGCATATGACTACTGGCATCATACGGATGCCCATCATCATCATCATCATCATCGATATGATCCTTCATCATTCTTATCGTCAACATCATCATCATCATTTCTGATGACAAGCATGATGACGATGATGACGGCGATGACTATGATGACAATGACTCTTATGACAACCATCATCGTAGCATCCTCTGCATTGCCAAAGCTGCGGATGACTGTCATGATAACTATCATCGTAGCATCCTCTGCATTACCAAGGATGAAGAAAGATAGAAGAAAATCATGATGACGATGATGAAGGCGATGACTAGGATGACAATCATCATGAAGATGATAAGGATGATGACTCTTATGATAACTATCATCGTAGCATCCTCTGCATTACCAAAGCTGCGGATGACTGTCATGATAACTATCATCGTAGCATCCTCTGCATTACCAAGGATGCCTAATACCGCATTTGAAATGATAGAAGAATATCATGATGACGATGATGAAGGCGATGACTATGATGACAATCATCATGAAGATGATGAGGATGATGACTCTTATGATAACTATCATCGTAGCATTTTTTGCATTACCAAAGCTGCGGATGACTGTCATGATCACTATCATCGTAGCATCCTCTGCATTACCAAGGGTGCCTAGCGATGATCATGACTACGCATCACTATCGAAACGGCACCTCGCCTCAGATGCCATTTGTGTCATTGAGATTTGGAGTCCTGCCTTGATGATAATCATCACTACGCATCATTCGCAGCATCTCTGGCAATCATGAGGATAATCATCACTACGCATCCCCAGCATCTCCAGCAGCGATGATCATAATCATGACTACGCATCACTGTCGAAACGGCACCTCGCCTCAGATGCCATTTGGGTCAAAAAGAAACCAAAGAAACCAAAACCAAGGGCACTGTTTTTGGTTGCTCGAAAACCACAACTACATCCAGGGGTCGGCGGCACTGGGCGGCAGCCCTTAAATCCGGCCACCGGACGTGATCGGGCCGCAGGCCACAGCCCGTTAGGGCTTACCTTCAGGTATAAGGCCGCGCGCCCCATGCCGCCGACCATGAGCGGACCATGTACATACGTTTTGCGCTGGGCCTTCCTTATAAGGGGCGAAGGATTCGCGGATTGGTTTAGGCGATTTTTGTAGCATCTCCCCGCAGCGCCAAAAAACGAGCATTTTTAGGGGGTGCCTAATACTGGACAACACCCCCAGCATTGCCAGCATCATCCCGGATGATGCGGATGATGCTATGCATGCTGGCGATGCGAAACAAGGGGCTTAGGGGAAATGCAAGGGAACAGGAGTGACTGGAAGTGAACGAAATGCAAGTCAAAGGAATTGCACGAAAATGAAGAGGCACTGGAGAGAAACCGAGCTGCAGGAAAATGCAAGGGACAGCGGGAACGAAAAGGGAAAGGAATGCGAATGAAGGAGTCTTCAAGGAAATGAAGGGAGCTGAAACGGCAGTGAAGTGGAAGGAAGTGAAGGGACATGCCAGGAAACTGTCATGGAAGACATGCAAAGGAAGTAAAGTTCGAGTCACCCCGAGAACTGGCAGAACTTAGAGGGAAAGGAGATGCAAGAACGGGAAGGGGTGCCCGGTGGCCGGCTGTGTCGCGTCAGCGTGTAAATCCGGCCACCGGACGTGATCGGGCCGCAGGCCAAAGCCCGTTAGGGCTTACCTTCAGGTATAAGGCCGCGCGCCCCATGCCGCCGACCATGCGCAGAACATGCGCCGACCATGCGCACCATGCGCATACGTTTTGGGCTGGGCCCTCCCTTATAAGGGGCGAAGGATTTGCGGATTGGTTTAGGCGATTTCCGAGGATTTTTGTAGCATCTCCCCGCAGCGCCCAAAACCGAGTCCAAAAACGAGCATTTTTAGGGGGTGCCTAATACTGGACAACACCCCCAGCATTGCCAGCATCATCCCGGATGATGCGGATGATGTTATGCATGCTGGCGATGCGGGTGATGCTGGGGATGTTGTACCCTAAGTCGGGCCAATTTTGCCAAAAACGTGCAACCTGAAAATCTTAAAATCTAAAGTGGATGGAAAATGGATGGAACATGGCCTGGATTGAAATCTCAAAATCCTAAAGTCTTAGATTCTTAAAATCTTAAATTAAAATCTAACAATCAATCATAGAATCTCAAGATCTTAAAATCTTAGAACTTAGAACCTTAAAATCTGAAAATATAAAAAAACATCCTAAAGTCTTCGAATCTTCAAACCTTAAAAACCTTATGTCTTTGAATCTTGAGATCTTAAAATCTTAAAATATGAAATTCCTAAATTCTCAAACTCTTAAAATCTCAGAATCTTAAAAAGCTTTAACAACTTAAATTCTTTAAACCTCGAACAATTGAAATCTGAAAATCTTAAACTATTAAAATATTACCTTCCTTCAATCCGGGCTATATTTTAACTTCCTTAAACTCTTAATCTTGAATTTTTGAAATCTTGAAACCTTAAGATCTTAAAATTACAACCTTAGAAGATAGAATCTTGCAACCTGAAAATATAAACATCCTCAAGTCTTCGAATCTTGACTTCTTAAAACCCTCATGTCGTTGAATCTTCAGATGTTAAAATCTTAAAATATGAAATTCCGAAATTCTCAAACTCTTAAAATCTCAGAATCTTAAAAGCTTCAAAAACTTAAATTCTTTAAATCTCAAACTATTGCAATCTGAAAATCTTAAATTCATACACAAGTAAAATATAATAAAATTCCTTCAATCCGGGCTATATTCTAAATTCCTTAAACTCTTAATCTTGAAATTTTGAAGTCTTGACATCTTAAGATCTTAAAATCTTAAATTCCGAAAGTCGCCAAATCTGAAAATCTCGCCAAAAATAAAATCTTAAAGCCTTCGAAATCTGATAATGGATGGAAAATGGCTGGGCAATGGCCTCGCTGTTACAACCTTCAAACACCTTAAGTCTTTGAATCTTAAAACCTTAATTCTTAAACCATTGAAGCCTTAAATTCCAAAAGTCTTCAAATCTGAGACCCTTAGAATCTCAAAGTGTTTAGATTTTTTTAATCTTAACATCTACTCATCGGACTTACCGGAAAGGAAAGTGACAGAACGGGCAGGGCAAGGTGCCCGGTGGCCGGCTGTGTCGCGTCAGCGTGTAAATAATTTTGGTTTCGCCGTTGGTGTTAAAACCTAGAGACAGAAAATCCAGCACAAACCACATCGAGTCTGGGGCTCTGTTTTGACACGGGTGTCTTGGGGGCCTCGACCATTTACAGGTTGAATGGCTGACATTTGGACCACCCAGTGAACCATGTTTTTTTACCCACATGTAAAGACAAATCAAGAAAACAAGTCCAGGGACGTTCCTCGTTTGTAGGGAGACCGAATTGTGCAAAGACCTCAGGGCACACAAATCACTGCCCCTTGTGGTCTTGACGCAAGCTCTGGCAAGCAGCCGTTGTTGCAGAAGTTGGTGCCGGTGTTCCAGTTGTAGTAGCTCAGGCTGGAGCTTCCGCAGGAGTTGCCGGTCCCATATCCGCGAACATAGGGGAAATCCTTAGTCCCATGGATGCTTGAAGTACCCGGATGAGCCAAAATGGATAAAAGGCCCGGGCTCACCAACAGCCACGCACCAAAACATTGTTTCGTGTTTTTGCGTTTGGGGACTTTGGCCACGCCGAATGACCGCCCAAACCGCCGAATGGCCGCAAAAACCAGCTCCGGGTGAATGTTTGAACAAATGTTATGCATACCGCATACCCCTTTTTAATGTCCCAAAACAAAAAATAGAACCTGCACAGAGCGGCCTGGAAGACCATATTCTTTGTAAGGGAACCCCTGAACTCCGCCCTCCACTTCCCCTCCGGGGCGCGATCTCCTCCGGCACAGCTCCGCCCTTGCCTGCGCGAGCAAAGGACAAGCGCTGGCTAAAGGAGAACGCGTAGCAGTATGGGCTGTGCAGGGTTCTAGGTCCCCCAGTAGAGAGGTTAGAATAAGGGTGCCCCTTTTGTCCGTAGTCTATTTACCAACAAAACTGGGGGAAACAACGAGACAAGCACGGTCCGTGGACAGCTTCCACCAAAAATTCCACTGCCATTTGCTCGTGCAAAACAAGAAACATACCATGTGCCATAGCAATTCCAACTCGAAACAACCCGACACGCACACGCACACACGCACACACGCACACACGCACACACACACACACAGACGCAGACGCAGACGCAGACGCAGACACAGACACAAACACAGACACAGACACAGACACAGACACAGACACAGACACAGACACAGACACAGACACAGACACAGACACAGACACAGACACAGACACAGACACAGACACAGACACAGACACAGACACAGACACAGACACAGACACAGACACAGACACAGACACAGACACAGACACAGACACAGACACAGACACAGACACAGACACAGACACAGACACAGAGACAGAGACAGAGACAGAGACAGAGACAGACACAGACACAGACACAGACACAGACACACACACACACACACACACACCCACACACCCACACACCCACACACGCACACACGCACACACGCACACACGCACACACGCACACACGCGCGCACGCACACACACACACACACATGAGCCACGGCCAATTCACCTTTGCTCACATCTGCAGTGGGGATGTGACAATGGTGACTGACAAAGCTCGTTTCCTTGAGGAGGTGGCAGCAGCGCAACGTGAGTATATGTCAAAATGGGCGGTTTCCGTTTGGTTTCGAACAATGGTGTCTTCAAAACAAGAACGCACGCATATGTACACACCAAACAAAAACATGGGTGCGACTTTGCATTGCAGGCCTTGGGTGGACATCATGCACAGTGATAGTTGGGCACTCCACTCCCCACCCCATTAGAGGGCGTTCCCCCTCAATGAAACAACTGCCACACAATGTCCACCCGCGAGTAATCACCCCTGCAGAGTTGTGGGGGTGTGCGTTCCTGCTAAAGTGACACATTCCTTCTCAAAATCGGACATCTGTTGATGAATGGTGTTGAATCCAGGCATATCCTCAACAACTTCCTGAATCGCTGGGTCTATTGGCCCAAACTTTGCGCTGGCCACGGTCTTTCCTACATCGCGCCAGTCCCTTGAATTTCAGGGGCATCGAGAAAAGTGGGGGCCCCACCCAATACTTGCGCCAAGTTGCCAGTGCACTTCCAGCCCCCAGCCGGCGGGGTCTTGCCGCGCATGCAGATACGGCCCCAATGTCCACCGCCTTTGCCGCACTCGCAGCCCCCCCCGTAGTTGGAGTAGTCAGTGACCAGCTCCCCCTGGCTCCAGAGATCAACCAACCCTGTCACTCTATCGGAAGTTTCTAAAGTTCTCTTTCTCTAATTGTTCTTCAAGATGTCGCTTGTTCTTCCTTCCTTCTTTTCTCTCCGTCTTGTTTTCTTTATGTATCTTGTTTGTTCTGTGTTTCGCTTTCTTTCTTTCTTTCCTTCGTTTCTTCCTTCCTTTCATTCCTGTTTATGTTTGTTTTGTTTCTTTCCGGCTCCCTTTTCTTTCTGAATTGTCGTTCTGTCTTTCTGCATTTCTATTTCCACATCGATTCCAGGACGGGAAGGGAAAGAAGTGTGAAGTTGCGACTGTAAGTCACCTCTCTCTCATCTCTTCATCCTATCTTATCTGGTCCGGAGATAAGTAGACATGGAAATGGGACCAAATGATAGGTGAAAAGAGATGACACCAACCCATGCAAAAGCTAATCATATATAAGGGTTGGGAAGGAAGGAACAGATTTGCCAAGGATTAAAAGTCTAGACTTATATGGTTTCTATTTCAATTTTATACCGTCCTTATGTCAATATAGTTATGTTCATCAGGAAATGGAACTTTATCTCCAGAAAACAAGAACTTCGGTCACATAAGCATGACATTGCAATGCCGTTATTATCATGTTCTCGTCAATAATGCCTGGCAAGTTTGGAGGAATTGGAAACTATACTGTTCCTATCTTTCCAGGATCGAAGTGGTATGACCGTAATTATGTTACTTTCATATTTTTCCGAATGCTTTCTTCAACCTCAAAATAGCGAGGTGGTTCAGGATGGAGGGCTTAATGCGGTGCCAGAAAGAATCCCATCCTTTCCAGTTACTTTTCATTCCTGTCAAAGGGGTAGGCCGTGCTATGGACCCAGCACAGTGCTAGAGTAAAGGAATTCTCTCAAGCTAAGGAGCTGACACTGCTCAGGATGAAGCCCTGGTTTTGGCAGGGGGCTCGCGCAAACTAAGCTGCGCATAACGCCTAGACCAACCACCAAGCTTTACATTTTGCAACAGAATCAGAACTTGATTGTGCTGTAGCTTGCCCCAGCCTGCTGTGGCTCAGATGGGGCTGCAACATTACCGCTTTTTCAACACAATGAACAAGCGAAATCCACAATAATCACGACAAAATGGTTGAGGCATTACTTTGAAGCACTTGTGCATCCTTGTAAGTAAGTCCGGTACTTTCATCATCATCATCATCATCATCATCATCATCATCATCATCATCATCGTCGTTGCCATCATGATTTACTTTGTGCTTGGGGCTCTTGGAAGCAACTTCTGCGCGGTTCGTCTGCCTGCAAGATCGACAAGGGCATGTCCTGCGCTTGGAAACTGGCACTGGCTGACGGTGTCACATTGATGAGTGTGTTCGAGCGTCACGTGCAAGTTCCGCATCTACCCAGTACTGAGGAGTGAGTGTCGGGACAGTTCCCTGGTCAAGGATGTGGATGCTGGTTCTGGCTGGAGGAGTCCTATGACAAGTGAGGCGCAATGTCCAATTGACATTGGCTGACTCTCTCTGGTGGCAAGCGTTCGTTTGGTATCTGCTGTGATGCGCTTGTAGGAAATGAGGTTCTTCACAGAGCCGATTGCCTGAGAATCGCTGGATTGGCCTTGCGCGCCTGTTGTCTAGGATTGCATAGGTTGGATTCTGCCGCGGGTTAGTTACTGGTCATTCAAATGCTTTGCTTTGAAGTTCTCATGTTTTTTCCATTCTTTCCAATCTTCATGTTTCACCCTGACACCTTGTTTTGTCATCAAGTACAGATCTGCGCCCTGGTTGCCGCCTTCATCTTCTAATTGCACAGCAGCCTTCTTCTCCGTAACAGTCTAGGTTCCAAAGCACAGACTACGTTCTGCTTGCTACCAACACCTGATCGAAGGTTGGGGTCTTTGGACTGATGTTCTTCTCACAGAAAAGAAATGTCTTCAGCATCTCGCGCCCATAGTTCTCGAGCGAGATGTTCCTCAATGTCATTTCACTGACCAATCTTTCTCGTTGTTTGTCCGAGACCTTGCTCTGGATGATGAAAAACTGGGCCAACAGGTTGTCACTGCGTGGAAACGACGCGTCCCGGTGTCTGTGCATAGGGCAGCGCTCCAGCTCCAGCAGATTGCTGAGCCTGCGCGTTCCTTGCATTGATTTCCTGAGCTGCTGAGGTGGTTGCAGCGTGATTCGAGCATCAAATCGTTCCATGCTACTTTGAGTCGTCTGAACAATATCTCAATCTTAGAGATGAAGTGGAGGAACTCGCTGTGGGGCCTTGGTGGTTGAAGAAACTGAGAAGTCGATGTGGATACAGGTTCGTGCTTCTCTTGGGGAAAGACTTTCTGAGCGTGTTCTTGAAGAGGCAAGGCCTTCCGCAGGATCTTTGAGCTGATCATTGTCCAGCAGCTCGCAGTAGAGAAGCGCTTGACTATTCAGCCTGCCCTTGAGAAGTGGTACTTGTGTGATATTCAATAACTTCTCACAATAAGGAAAATGCCAATGAGGATGTCCTCGGAAAAAAAAAAAAAAAAAAAAACATATGTGTAACTGTAGGAGCACGCAGTATGCTTCCGTTTCTCTGCGCTGATGAAATGCTTGATGAAAGGTCAACACATTGCAAAAGCAACAACGCCCCACCTCCTCCCGACTTTTGCGTGAAAAAGCAGTAAGCCCCCCGTTTCTCAACTCTCAATGGACCATAGTCAAATGGGTGGCGTCTTTTGGAGCTGGTACCCCTGGAACCCTTTTGGGGGCTGGTGTCAGAAGGAAGCCACACGGAATCAGCTGCCTCGTAGGTCTTGCCGTCAGTGGCGCGGATGGCTTCGATGACGTCGCCCTGCCACAAACTAGAGTCCCAGAGTCTGACCTATTTGAGGCCTTCCGGGGGCAAAGGCCATCATACAGGGAGTGTTGAAACCTCCGTGGACATGAGCCCCCCACCAGATGTCATATCCACCAGACCAACGAAAACAAAACCCATGGTGTGTGTGTGTGCGCGCGTGTGTCTGTGTCTGTGCCTGTGTGTGTGTGTGCGTGCGCGTCTCTGTGCCTGTCTCTGTGCCTGTCTCTGTGTCTGTCTCCGTGCCCGTCTCGGTGCTTGTCTCTGTGTGTGTGTGTGTGCGTGCGTGCGTGCGTGCGTGCGTGGGTGGGTGGGTGTGTGTGTGTGTGCACGTGTGGGCGTGTGCGCGTGCGCGCGAGTGTGCGCATGAGCGTGTTTGCGTGCGTGCGCGTGCGCCGCGTGCGCAAGCGCATGCGTGCGTTCCTGAGTGCATGCGTGCGTGCGTGTGTGCGTGTGCGTGTGCGTGTGCGTGTGCGTGTGAGTGTGTGCGTGCGTGCGTGCGCGTGCGCGTGCGCGTGCGCGTGCGCGTGCGCGTGCGCGTGCGCGTGCGAGTGTGCGTGTGCGTGTGCGTGTGCGTGTGCGTGTGCGTGTGCGTGTGTGTGTGCGTGTGCGTTTGTGTTTGCGTGCGCGTGCGCGTGCGCGTGCGCGTGCGCGTGCGCGTGGGCGTGCGCGTGCGCGTGCGCGTGCGCGTGCGCTGGGTGGGTGGGTGGGTGGGTGGGTGGGTGGGTGGGTGGGTGGGTGGGTGGGTGGGTGGGTGGGTGGGTGGGTGGGTGGGTGGGTGTGTGTGTGTGTGTCTGTGTGTGTGTGTCTTTGCGTGCGCCCGCGCGTGCGCGTGCGCATGTGCATGCGCGTGTCCGACCGTTGCGTGTGCGCGTGTGTGTGTGTGTGTGCGCGTGTGTGTGCGTGTATGTGTGTGTGTGTGTGTTTGCGTTTATTGTTTGAGTGTGTGCGTATGTGCGTGTGTGCGTGTGTGCGTGCCCGCGCTTGCGCGTGCGCGTGCGCGTGGGCGTGTTTGCGCGTGCGCGTGTGAGCCTGCGAGTGGCGCGCGCGTGGGCGCAAATGCGCCTGCCTGCGTGTCCACGCACGTGCGTGCGTGTGCGTGTGCGCGCGTGGGTGTTGTGAATGTGCATGTGCGCGCGTGCGCGGACGTGTGTGCGTGTGTGCACGCGTGCGTGCGCGTGGGTGCGTACGGGTGCGTGCGGGTGCGTGCGTCTGCGTGTGGGTGCGGGCACGGGTGCGGGTGCGGGTGCGGGTGCGTGCGGGTGCGCGGGTGCGTGCGGGTGCGCGCGGGTGCGTGCGGGTGCGTGCGGGTGCGTGCGGGTGCATGCGGGTGCGTGTGGGTGCGTGCGGCTAAGGGTGCGGGTGCGTGCGCACGCACGGGCGGGCGGGCCCGCGGGGGCGTGTGGGCGTGCGGGCGTAAAGGCGAGCGTGCATGCGAGCGTGTGTGCATGCGTTTGTCTCTGTCTGTGTCTGTGTCTGTCTCTCTGTCTCTGTCTCTGTCTGTGTCTGTGCGTGAGTGCGCGTGCGTTCGTGCGTGCGTGCGCGCGCGTGCATGGGTGGGTGGGTGGGTGGGGGTGGGGGTGGGGGTGGGGGTGGGGGTGGGGGTGGGGGTGGGTGTGTATGTGTGTGTGTGGTGTGTGTGGTGTGGTGTGTGTGTGTCAGTGCCAGTGTCAGTGTCAGTGTCAGTGTCAGTGTGTGTATGTGTGTCTGGGCGTCTGTGTGCGCTTGTCTGTGTGATTTTGTCTGTGTGTCTGTGTCTGTGTGTGTGTCTGTCTGTGTGTGTGTGTGTCTGTGTGCGTGTCTGCGTGTGTTTGTTTGTGTGTGTGTGTCTGTCTGTGTCCGTGTTTGTGTGTCTCTGTTTGTGTGTGTGTGCTTGTCTGTGTGTGTCTGTGTCTGTGTGTGCGTGTGTTTGTGTGTGCGTGTCTGTGTGTGTGTGTCTGATGGTGTGTGTGTGTGTCTGTGTCTCTGTGTGTGTGAGGGTGTCTGTGTGAATTCGCGCGTGCGTGCATGTGCGCGTGCGCGTGCGCGTGCGCGCGGGTGTGTGTGTGTGTGTGCGCGCGTGTGTGCGTGTGTGCGTGTGTGCGTGTGTGCGTGTGTGCGTGTGTGCGTGTGCGTGTGCGTGTGCGCGTGCGCGTGCGCGTGCGCGTGCGCGTGCGCGTGTGCGTGTGCGTGTGCGTGTGCGTGTGCGTGTGCGTGTGCGTGTGCGTGTGCGTGTGCGTGTGCGTGTGCGTGTGCGTGTGCGTGTGCGTGTGCGTGTGCGTGTGCGTGTGCGTGTGCGTGTGCGTGTGCGTGTGCGTGAGCGTGTGCGTGTGTGTGTGTGTGTGTGTGTGTGTGTGTGTGTGTGTGTGTGTGTGTGTGTGTGTGTGTGTGTGTGTGTGTGTGTGTGTGTGTGTGTGTGTGTGTGTGAGAGTGTGTGTGTGTGTGTGCGTGCGTGCGTGCGTGCGTGGGTGGGTGTGGGTGTGGGTGTGGGTGTGGGTGTGGGTGTGGGTGTGGGTGTGGGTGTGTGTGGGTGTTTTTGTTTGTTTGTTTGTTTGTTTGTTTGTTTGTTTGTTTGTTTGTTTGTTTGTTTGTTTGTGTGTGGTTGATGTGTGTGTGTGTGTGTTTGTGTGTGTGTGTGTGTGTGTGTTTGCGTTTGTGTGTTTGTGTGCGTGTGCTTGCGTGTGTTTGTGTGTGTGTGTGTTTGTTTGTGTTTTTTGCTTTTGTGTGTGTTTGTGTGTGTGTGTGTTTGTGTGTGTGTGTGCGTGTTTGTGTGTGTGTGTATTTGTTTTGTGTGCGTGTGTCTGCGTGTGTGGGATTTGTTTTTGCGTGTGTCTGTGTGTGTGTGTGCACTGTTCTTTTGTGTGTGTTTGCGCGCGTGCGTGTGCGTGCGTACGTGCGTGCGTGCGTGGGTGGGTGGGTGGGTGCGTGGGTTGCTGGGTGGCTGGGTGGGTGGGTGGGTGGGTGGGTGGGTGGGTGGGTGTGTTTGTGTGTGTGTGTTTGTGTGTGTGTTTGTGTGTTTGTGTGTGTGTGTGTGTTTGTGTGTGTGTTTGTGCGTGTCTGTGTGTGTGTCTCTGTGTCTCTGTGTCTCTGTGTCTCTGTGTCTCTGTGTCTCTGTGTCTCTGTGTCTCTGTGTCTCTGTGTCTCTGTGTCTCTGTGTCTCTGTGTCTCTGTGTCTCTGTGTCTCTGTGTCTCTGTCTGTGTGTCTGTGTGTCTGTGTGTCTGTGTGTCTGTGTGTCTGTGTGTCTGTGTGTCTGTGTGTCTGTGTGTCTGTGTGTCTGTGTGTCTCTGTGTCTCTGTGTCTCTGTGTCTCTG